GGAAAAAAGGAACCAGAAAAAAAAGGGCGGTAAGGAGAAACTTTCAGAAAAAGAAAGAAAAAGAAAGAAAAAAAAAAAAAAAAAAAAAAAAAAAAGGGGGGGGGGAAGAGAAGAGGTGATCAGAAGAAGAAGAAAAAGGGAAAGGCATTTTTTGGGAGCAGGGAAGAAAATGATCAGTGAGAAAGAAAATGATAGATGATCAGGGGGTGATTGAGATTTGATGCAGAAACAGGAGTTCCGGAGTTACAACTCCCATGAAAGGCCTGGATTGTATCAGCAACAAAGTGTTCCCTTTGTTTGTAGCAGACTCACTTGTCTATCCTGGAATGCAAGACATCCAAAGCCTGCCCTTCCTTTTCTTGCTTTTATATTATACATGAAGATCTGAAATATTTAAATTATTATTATTCATTTTTCATTGTGTGTATATATATAAATGAGTATATATGGGATTGAAAATATCTGATGGATCTGTGGATATATATATACTACCTATGTAAACCCAAAAAAAAAGAAAACATCACAGCCACCCAATAAGAAAAAAGGGAAAGAAAAGAGTACAAGCATGGGACCACAACCAAACTGAAACAAACAAACAAACAAAAATTAAGAGCCAGACTAGATATTGTACATGCATACCAAACTATTTTTGTTGTTGATGAGAGGATGCCATTGTGCATTTCTTTTTTTGTTTTTCATCAATGAAACAACACACCAAAAAGAAGGGAAGGGAAGAAGAAGGCAAGAGGGGATAACGACGAGGATGACGACGAGATGGAGGTTATACGAAGAAGAAGGAGGAGGTTTTTTTTGTTTTGGTTTTGGTTGTGGAGAGCATTAGAAGCATGATTGTATATGTATTTTTTCGGATGTAAAACCTCAAAATAAAAAGGAAAGGAAAGAGGATCGAGGAAGGAAGGTGCGACCCAAAAAAAGGGGAAGAGATTTCAAGCCGACTTGGGCTTCCTCAACAACGAAAGATGAAAGACCAACTGAACGATCGCCTCATTAATTTCGAGCAAGGCTTTTCCATCGTCGACCATATTGATGATACACTGATTGCCGTTGAACTTGAGTTCGAACTTCTTAGTCTCGTGGAGCTGGAACTTTTGGTTGAATTTCTTGGTCTTAAACCGGAGTTGGTTGAGTCTATATTTCAAGACGATCTGTTTTCGGAGGCCTAATTTGGTGGTATAAGTGCTTGATGGATTAGTGGTTGCTGTTGTTGTTGAATTGGATGGTTGAGGATCTTGTGGGGTGGTAGGAGGAAGAGGTGGTGGTGGAAGATGATGGTCGTCAGGATCCCTTGGGTTGATAGATGATGTTGTTGGTAGTGGGACGGTGGTGCGGGTGGTTGAGACGGTTGTGGTGTAGTTAGGCTGATGGGTCGATGGATCTTCTTCGATCCTTAGATGGGCTGATGGGCCGGCGGTGATGATCTCAACAAAGGCCTCGTTGAGACTGATGGGACTTGGCGTGATCTGAGTAGAAGGTTCTTCCTCGATTGTGTCAGCAGTCGTGGTGGTAGTCGTGATGTTTGTTGTTCCCTCTACGACGATGACTTGTTGTTCATGGTGCTGATGTTGAAGATGATGATGAGGATGAGGATGAGGAGGAGGAGGAGGAGGAGGGTGGTCTTGGGGGATCCGGAAGTAGTCGTCCATCTGGTTCATGAATCTCTGGAGTTCTAGTGCCAGTCTGATCGAGGTTCGGGTGAAGGATTGGTCATGTGCTTTCAGCTTGTCCCACTTGATCAGACAGCGATGTAAGGTCGAGCTGTTGGCTTGGAACCGGGTCATCGTTTGGTCATGTTTGGATAGCGTGTCGAGGAGAAGGTTGAAGGTCAAGATCTGATCTACTTGTCGCGATGTGGCTTGTTCCAATCTAGAGTAGAAGGAGAAAACCAAAGCGATCAGGAAAAAAAAAAAACGAAGGATATCGTAGAAGTGGAGAGAGACGACGAGGATGAAGTTACTTGGACTGAGTCCGTTGGATGAGTTTTTGTTTCTTTTTTGACTTGCGACGGTCGATTGGCCTGTTTGTTTGGGAAAAGAATATGTTGAGCCGATCTGTGTTTTTTTTTTTTTGGTTTTGTTTCTTTGGTAGGGAATGACATACCTCCACATGAAGGAGATGAGTTTCTGAAGTTGCTCCAGTGTGATAATAAAAGGAGGTAGTGGGTTGGATGGACCGAGCGATGAGACGATTCTGAGGCAGATGTGAGAGTGAGTGAGAGGTGTAGGAAAGTTTTCGAGGTTCGTTGAATTGAAGGAAGCTGAAGGTGGTGGATGAAGTGGTTGATAATATGTAAGAGGAAAGGAAGAGAAGAAGAAAGGAAAGGAAAGGAACAGCTGGGAAGCTGTGAGATAGATATGTATGTAACTATGGATTTACATCTTACACTGGCCAAAACACAACTTCAAACACATCATCAATCAAACAAACATATAAATAAACAAATATTCATGTTCAATCAGAAAGTCCCAAATCCAGTGCCAAGAGATCTACCACACACACACAAACCCTTCAAAGCATCAATCATGTCCAAGCAAAACTATGTAAATAACTAATCAACTCAGAGAAGAGGCCAAGAGTACTGCAGAGGAAGGGGGAAAAACAAAGCACTTGAACTTGTCTGTTGGAGGGTTGGAGATGACCATTGAGTATCTGGTGATCAGGACGTCTATGTTGGAGACTGGAGTTGTGGTTGGATCATTAATGGATCCCATCATCATGACACCCTATATTGCCCAGCTGGCTAATAGGAGCCATTCAGAGACAGGGCCAAACTGGCTATCTATCATCAATCAGCAGAGATTCCTTGAAGAGAAGAGAAACCTTCCTTGGCATAAATGACTGACTGGTACATATAAACAACAACTAAGGTTTAGTATCTCTCTATGTAAGGGAAAATTTAAACTGAGTTGTGTTTGATTCAATTTAGCATTGATCTAGTAGAAACCCTTCTGAGGAATCAAACCTCATGGCCAAGCTATTAAGGATTCCTTCTTGGTAACAACATTTCATCCAATTCAGAGTCAGACCAAGTTGAATTCCTCTTCAACACACTGGTACATCATAGCTTGGCACAGAATCCCTCCTCAACAATCAATATTACAGCTTGCTACCAGTCTGTCTTTACATATGTGCCAGTTCATCAAGCAGCATTGGTCTGACCCTGTCCCCTCCCCTCTCACTCTCCTCCTCCCAACCTGGCACAGCCTGTACAAGTTTTCATCCAAGTATGTAAGATTTATAAATTGTGTGATCAAAAAAAAAGCCAGAGTTGAAAATTCAAGTTCATGCTGGCCCTAATGTCAAATGTTTTGAGATCAAATTGATGCTTTATTGAAGCTGGCACAAATTCCAAAATAGGAAAGAGGTTTGAAGATGTACTGGTTGAAACTCCTGCAAGAGAACTGCCTGTCATCAAAGCTGCAAAGGTTTAGTGATCTCAGTCTGGAATATCATCAGCCCCAGGACCCTTAATAAGTCTTATACATATGAATTTCCCATTTGTCTGGTCTCTCTTCATTTTCTCATGTCTTGACCCTGTCACTCCTTCCACCTGGGACTCTTTCTTTCTTCTGCTTCTGCTCTGCATTGCCTCTTCATTTGTCCCTTCTGTCCCATCACCTGGCCCCTCACTGCACAGTTGTGATAGATAAATATGCTTCTGAGTTAGAAATTAAAAACATTAGTTATCTGTGAACTGTTCCCTGAGGTTATTAAAAGATACAACAACCTCTTTTAGTGTGAGTATGTTTGTTTCCACACACACAGTAGTAGCTCTTAGCACCTTTTTGGGATCTTTGACTTTGTTTTTTCCCTTGTGAGTCCTATGCCTCAAGATTGTTTCTAGGTCACTCTTCCCTTGTTGTCATAACATTTCATCTGTTGAAGTGAACTGGACCCAACAGGATTGGAAAGGATCAAGGTTCAATTCAACACAGAGACAAACAAAAGTAAAGAAGGAAAAAGAGAAAAAGAGAAACTCACCTGGAGCCAACAGGATTGGAAAGGTTGAAGAAAGAGGAATCCTTTGCAGCACTGTTGGCTCCAGGTTAAGAGCCAAAGAAAACAAGATGCATGTCACAGATTGTAACATGTGAGAAATGAAAAGCAGGAAGAGGCATAATAGGCAATGTGGCTATAGTAATGAAATGAGCCAAGTGACATGGATAGCTCAACATCATCATTATATCAAAATCACCACCTAAGTTCTACATCCAATGTAGCTTCCAAATATGCAGATTTGTTACATGATGGTGTATGTAGCATGTGATTATTACAAGCTTTTTTTACCATTCCAAGTTGGATGTGTTTTTTTTTTGCGGAAGGGGAAGTACTGGAGGACTCCCTGTCCACATCTGGGGTTCTCCCAGTTTTGATTTTGAGCCTGTAAAGCTAGATTTCCCAGCAAAACTCTCAACTTTTTTGGGCCCCAGATCCAACAGGAAGTCCTCCACTGTGCTTACAATGGGACTGTGTTTGAGGATGTGCCGTTTATTTGAATTTATGGGATGCATAATGTTATGGCAAGTCAGAAACATTAATTATGATTCAAATCTCAATCCATCCAGTCAGTGTTGATTTTAATTGAGCTGGTGCAAGGTTGCTGCAATCATTCAACAGGGGAGATCCCCTGATCAACAACATCCTTATGATTTAAAAAAAAATATTTTCATGTTTACTCTGATCAGATAGGAGTTGAATCAAACCCTTTGATTTCTAATGCTTAGGTGCACACAAGGTTATATCCCTCTCAAAGAATTTCAAATGTGATTATTAGAGTCTGGTTTGCTACATAATTTTTCCAAATTATGATTTTGGGATCGACAGTTTGGTTGGGGATATTTTTTATTGGGAGGAGTCCATGCCTACGATGTGAGTCGAGTGGATGTGTTGTGTTGTGTTGGCTGAGTTTGTGATCAAGACTCCAAGAGTCTGTTTGTTGAGTGTGGAAGTGGGATATCCCACTTGGCCTTTTGGGTTTTCTATAGGAGTGAGTTGTTCTGGTTGAGGTTGGCTGGTTTCAGTTTACCATCAACCACCGAGACAATCCCAACGATGGCCTTCCAACCCAAAAAGATTATCGTCATCGGAGGAGAAGGCTTCCTGGGCCACAACCTAGTACAGACACTCCATCGAACCTACCCAGACTCAACCATCAGCTCACTCGACCTCACCAAGAGATTCCCAGACTGCAAGGATGAAGAACCGAGGAAAGAGCAAGGTCAAGCAGAGAACCAAGAAACCAACAACACACATCAGTTCATCCAGGCCGACCTGACCTCCCTGGATTCGCTGCTCGAGGCATTCCAACAGACCGAGCCAGAGCTCGTCTTCCATACCGCCTCTCCCTGGTCCGGAAGCTCCTCGGAAATCTGCGAGAAGGTCAACATCCAAGGAACCCTTAACACCATCGCCGCATGCCTCAAGTTCGGCGTACAGAGACTCGTCTATACCTCCAGTGCTGGCGTCGTCTTCAACGGCAACGATCTCATCAACGTCGACGAACGTTTGCCCGTCCCCAAGATCGGATGTGATCCTTATAATACTAGCAAAGTATGCGTCATCTCCTCCTCCTCCTTGTCTGTCATTCATTCTTGATACCCATTTCTTCCTTCTTTAGGCCAGAGCTGAAGCCATCGTATTGGAAGCCAATGGCAAAGATTCACTTCTTACCTGTGCCATCCGACCCGCCGGTATTTTCGGGTAAGCTCTCCTCAACTACAACAAACAATTGCAGAATGAAACGCTCATGACATTCAAAAAAACATGAGAATAGGCCTGGAGATCGACAAGCGATTCCCGGGTTGATCGAAGTTTTGAAGACCCGGAAACATGGAGTCCAGATCGGCGGCAACACGAATCTATTTGATTGGACGTATGTGGATAATGTGGTCCATGCGCACATCCTAGCGGCCGAGAAGCTGGATCGAGTGGTCCCGTTGGGCGAGTTCTCGACGAGTTTATCGCCGATCAGCAAGACGGTAGAGCGTCGGAATCTGCTGACGAGTGGGAGCAAGGCGGAGGAGGATGACTCGAGCATGGGCGGGACGGACGAGGTGTCGTTGGTGGATCTATCGACGTCAAGCAAGGACGCCGAGAGTTACAACCCGACGGGTTGGATCCAGGGGCACGAGGGAATGGTCGACCAAGCCGTGCCGGCCAAACGACACCGCTGGGACCAATGGGCACCCATCTCGACTCAGATCAATTATCCCGACGACCAGGTCCGCGTCGCCGGTGAGGCTTTCTTCGTCACCGGCGGAGAACCCGTCTTCTTCTGGGACTTCGCAAGGGCCGTCTGGCACGAATATGCCGCCCATTCCCCACAGGCTAAGGCCCTCAACCTCGACCCTAAACCGCGCTTCACTATCGTCATCCCTACCTTCCTCGCCCTCTTCCTGGCTTCCCTCGCTCAACTCTTCGCTAAACTCACCAACTCTACTACCCTCTTCACTCCCGAGAAAGTCCGGTATACTTCCGCTTCTAAGTATCATAATATCGAAAAGGCTAGAGTCGTCCTTGGCTATGAGCCTCTCATTGGGATCCATGAAGGCATCCAAAAAGCTGTCCAGGTTCATCCTTCTTTCCTCTTTCCTCTTCCTCTTGCCTTAGTTTTTCTTTGGTATGACATGTACTGACTGTTCTTTTTGTTTCTTTGGACAGTGGTATATATCAAATGAGTCTCTTACTCAAAGCTCTCAAACCTCAGATAAGAAAATTGATTAACTTTCTATCCTCTATTATTCTATAAACACATTGAAGTCTTCGTTAATAACCACCCAAAATTCTTGAATTATTACCTGTTCTCTTTTTGGGCATCTGACTCTTCTCAAAGACTAATATATAATGTAATGATATCGTTGAATAAAAGAACAACAACAAGAAGAAAAAATGTGATTGCTTTTCAAGAATGGTTGAGAGGTTTCTTTGATCAGATCATTTGTGGGAATACGATTGCTTTCATTTTGCTTTCCGAGTTTAGTGATCATCGGGAATGTTGCTGAGAGGGTATGAGTTTGTGTGTGTGTGTATGTGTGTTGCAAAAACTGCACAACCATTCAACAGCTGCAGTGCTGTGGACAGTAATTAAATGAATTGATCCACGCTGAGACAAATTTTGGCTTTCTCCAAATTGCAAAAAAAATGGAGAGCAGAAGCAAGCAGATCTTGTATGGGAATCAAGATTTGATGTATTTTGATCATGTTTGTGGGGGGGGGGGGCAGCAACAAAGCAGAGTGGAACACTTCTAAAGGCACAACAAAATGCAAAATGCTACCACAAATTCACAAGGGAATGTTACAATAAGATTGGGGGTGAATAGATCAGCAGAAAGGAAGAAACAAAACAAAAAAGAAATGGTCTGGAAGAAGAAGCATTAAAACCCCTATAAGTCAAGCAGAGAATCGGATTAAAGCTATCCTTTTATCAGACAGATTGTATTCATTCAAAATGATTGACCAAAAAAAAATGTTGACAGATATTCAATGACAAATCTTCTTGTAAGCAGGTGTATAGGTTCTTACATGACCAAGGAAATTTGAATCATGATCAAAATGAGTCAAGCTATAAACATCTAACTTTTGATGTTTCATGAGACTACCACCCAACTGTTTCATGAGAAGATCCCAATAATGATCTTTAATTTGGGAGAAAATGACGGGATGATGTGTGTTGTACCAGTAATAAATCAGTGCAAGCGAGACTCGGATCACGTGTGGTTGAGGATTCTCAAGCGTGAAGTAATGTTTGATCAAGAAGACTTGGAGATCACTGAAGTGAGAAATCTCAAATTTCCCATCTTCTTTGAGGATCTCCCCAAAGATCGGAATCCTTCCTTCTTCTTTATTCAGTAAGAGTTTGAAGAAGAATTCACTGAAATCTTTGATTAAATTCTCTGCATGATCTATTACTATTAAGCCTTCACTAAGAATATATTTTTGGCATAGGTTTAAATGGAAGAACAATGATTCTAGGACGTTTTTGAGTTTTGTTGGATTGATCTTTTCACCTTTGTTGTTAATGAGTGAGGCTCTATAGCTCTTATTAGCTTCATTGTTGATCTCTGGTATCATGACAACTGGAATTCCATCAATCGGTATCCTCAGGGTTTCAAAGAACTTTATTTTCTTGAAGATGCAGCTCTGAGATATCAAATCAATTTCGAGTTTCTTTGGATATTTCTTATAGTATTGAGGCTTCATTGAATTAGGAAATCTATATATCTTTGGGATCTTAAGGTCTCCTATCAAATCAAAATCAGCATCATTCTTGAAAGATCCTTGATAAACTTGCATTCTTGAATTCATTGCTTTTCCAACCATCGATTTGAGTGCTACTAATGGACTTGTCCCAGGGTGATTGTTTTCCAATTTCTCCCAGATTTCAGGTTTGAAGATCTTGTACCATAAGCCTCCGATTAAGATAGAATTCTCAAAACAGTTTTTTTTACCTTCTCCTGATGATAATTGATCCAATGTAATTTTTTGTACCTCTGAAAACTCTTCACCTTTTTTGAGAGCCAAGTAATTTGGGATTGTGCCCAAGATAGGTAAATTATGATTTGATGTGAATGACTCTCTGAAGAACCATGATATAAATTCCCTGTGAGAAGATAATTCCTCTTCACTTGGATTGGTTTCATTCAAATATCTTAGAACTGATGTGTTAATAAATATGAGACATTTAATCAAATTTTCCATTTCAATTTTCAAGTACTTCTTTTTTTGTATAGTGTGATTTTTCATGTCAAGGATCCAGATTGAAGGATCTTCTAGTGGCTTATTTTGGTATTTGATGACTGGAAATTGATGGATTCTGTTTTCTTCTCTGATTGACAATGGGACACGCCTCTGCTTCCAAAAATGCTCATCTATATATCCTTTGAATTCTGCTGTAACACTGGCCAGGAAATCATCATTCATGCTACCTTCAGGTGGAACATCAAGCTTCCAGCTTGAGTACTCAAGTTTGGCCATTGATCCTATTTCTTTGGTGTGATCTATGGAATTGTTATTTTCTGTCTGAAGATCAAGCAACCCCTTATCCAAATTGTTTCCTGTATGCACATTATCAATTTCACTTTTTTCATCCGTTGATCCCAATAGGAACATGTCATTTATGTCTATTTCTTTTTTTGTCAATTTGGGATTAAATGGTTTGCAATATTAAGAGAGACTCTCATTAACGATCAAAAACATCCCTTCTGATTCCAAACTTCACATCATTTTTGCGACTGACCTCCAATATGTTGATCCTCCACTGAATTTGGGCCATTTCCAATAGGCGAGGTCACTGAATCAAACAAAAACTCCCAAATTGATGTATCATGCTCCCCTGATTCAAAGGATAGGAAGGTTTCAACTAGAGGTTGAATTCCTGATTTCATTGTCCTAGTATGGCCAGATTCAAGCACAGATCCATATTCTGATGATGTGGCTCTAAGGTCTGATCCAAAATCTCTAAAATCTTCTGGGGATGATAGGAAGTCCAAAAATGAAGCATGATCAGTTCTCACTAGGATTTGGTGTGATTGATTTGATAGATTTCTCACCTGGAAATTTAGGATCCTGGAAGATTTTCATGGACTCCAATGTGGCTAAATTTTCAGGGATGGAATGTGACCTCCATCTCAGTCTATCAGGGGTGCCTTCTGGCGATATCTTCTGTCTCTTCTCAGCCCTTGATGATCCAACTTCAGTAATACCTATTCCAAAATCAAGATTATCTTAACCCCTGAAGAATTAATTGCAGATACTTTCTGGCTTACCTTTCAATTCATTTTCATAGAGACTTGACTGAGTGTTTGAAATTTTGAATGGTTCTTGGAGTGATGACATAAGTCCATTTTCTGATGGACTCTTGTGATTGTATTCATCATTGAAATACTCATACAAATCAGGGATAGTCAACTGTCCTTCCTCATGAAAAGAATTAACTGCATGTTCTCTGATAAATTCACTTCCTTCACCCAGGGATGGGTGGGCAAATACCTTGTGATATGGATGCCATGCCACTTGAAAAATGAGATGGAATTTGAACAAATGAATCAGCATTTTTAGAAAGTCTGGATAAGGGGCCAATCCTAAGTTCCACTTATGAAGAGGTCTGGAGGTGTGTCCAGGTCTGTTTTTTTTTTTTTGGTATTATTCAGCACCTAAACCTCAAGAATCCTCTTCACTTTTGGAATTATTTTCTGGTTGTGTTTCACTTCCTCGATCAAACTGATAGATTTTCAAATTTGAATGTTGAGGATAAAGTATAGCTGTGCATATCTTCCTCAAATTACTGATCAAAATAATCCAAATGCTTTTCTATCAGTTACATGTTTTGATAAGAGATATAAGGTCTAAAGAACATTTTCTTGGGAAATCTTCACACCAATGTTTCAGACTTGATACACTAACGTATGGTTGAATGACCAAATTTGGGTTTGAAAACTGCCACCTGGCAGAAGTCGCCAGCAGTAAGACAACTGTATGCCCCAAACATTGTTTAGTTAACAGATTCAATAAAGTTTTGCTGGAATGTGACAATTTCTAAGATTGGGGGTCAATAGATCAGCAGAAAGGAAGAAACAAAAAAAAAGAAATGGTCTAGAAGAAGAAGCATTAAAACCCCTACAAGTCAAGCAGAGAATCAGATTAAAGCTATCCTTTTGTTAGAAAAATTGTATTCATTCAAAATGATTGACCAAAAAAAAATGTTGACAGATATTCAATGACAAATCTTCTTGTAAGCAGGTGTATAGGTTCTTACATGACCAAGGAAATTTGAATCATGATCAAAATGAGTCAAGCTATAAACATCTAACTTTTGATGTTTCATCAGACTACCACCCAACTGTTTCATGAGAAGATCCCAATAATGCCCTCTGATTTGGGAGAAGATGACGGGATGATGTGTGTTGTACCAGTGAAAAATCAGTGCAAGCGAGACTCTGATCACATGTGGTTGAGGATTCTCAAGCGTGAAGTAATGTTTGATCAAGAAGACTTGGAGATCACTGAAGTGAGAAATCTCAAATTGACCATCCTCTTTGAGGATCTCCCCAAAGATCGGAATCCTTCCTTCTTCTTTATTCAGTAAGAGTTTGAAGAAGAATTCACTGAAATCTTTGATTAAATTCTCTGCATGATCTATTACTATTAAGCCTTCACTAAGAATATATTTTTGGCATAGGTTTAAATGGAAGAACAATGATTCTAGGACGTTTTTGAGTTTTGTTGGATTGATCTTTTCACCTTTGTTGTTAATGAGTGAGACTCTATACCTCTTATTAGCTTCATTGTTGATCTCTGATATCATGACAACTGGAAGTCCATCAATCGGTATCCTCAGGGTTTCAAAGAACTTTATTTTCTTGAAGATGCAGCTCTGAGATATCAAATCTATTTTGAGTTTCTTTGGATATTTCTTATAGTATTGAGGCTTCATTGAATTAGGAAATCTATATAGCTTTGGGATCTTAAGCTCTCCTATCAAATCAAAATCAGCATCATTCTTGAAAGATCCTTGATAAACTTGCATTCTTGAATTCATTGCTTTTCCAACAATCGATTTGAGTGCTACTAATGGACTTGTCCCAGGATGATTGTTTTCCAATTTCTCCCAGATTTCAGGTTTGAAGATCTTGTACCATAAGCCTCCAATTAAGATGGAATTCTCAAAACAGTTTTTTTTACCTTCTCCTGATGATAATTGATCCAATGTAATTTTTTGCACCTCTGAAAACTCTTCTCCTTTTTTGAGAGCCAAGTAACTTGGGATTGTGCCCAAGATAGGTAAATGATGATTTGATGTGAATGACTCTCTGAAGAACCATGATATAAATTCCCTGTGAGAAGATAATTCCTCTTCACTTGGATTGGTTTCATTCAAATATCTTAGAACTGATGTGTTAATAAATATCAGACATTTAATCAAATTTTCCATTTCAATTTTCAAGTACTTCTTTTTTTGTATAGTGTGATTTTTCATGTCAAGGATCCAGATTGAAGGATCTTCTAGTGGCTTATTTTGGTATTTGATGACTGGAAATTGATGGATTCTGTTTTCTTCTCTGATTGACAATGGGACACGCCTCTGCTTCCAAAAATGCTCATCTATATATCCTTTGAATTCTGCTGTAACACTGGCCAGGAAATCATCATTCATGCTACCTTCAGGTGGAACATCAAGCTTCCAGCTTGAGTACTCAAGTTTGGCCATTGATCCTATTTCTTTGGTGTGATCTATGGAATTGTTATTTTCTGTCTGAAGCTCAAGCAACCCCTTATCCAAATTGTTTCCTGTATGCAAATTATCAATTTCACTTTTTTCATCCGTTGATCCCAATAGGAACATGTCATTTATGTCCATTTCTTTTTTTTTTTTGTCAATTTGGGATCAAATGGTTTGCAATATTAAGAGAGACTCTCATTAACAATCAAAAACATCCCTTCTGATTCCAAACTTCACATCATTTTTGCCACTGACCTCCAATATGTTGATCCTCCACTGAATTTGGGCCATTTCCAATAGGCGAGGTCACTGAATCAAACAAAAACTCCCAAATTGATGTATCATGCTCCCCTGATTCAAAGGATAGGAATGTTTCAACTAGAGGTTGAATTCCTGATTTCATTGTCCTACTATGGCCAGATTCAAGCACAGATCCATATTCTGATGATGTGGCTCTAAGGTCTGATCCAAAATCTCTAAAATCTTCTGGGGATGATAGGAAGTCCAAAAATGAAGCATGATCAGGTCTCACTAGGATTTGGTGTGATTGATTTGATAGATTTCTCACCTGGCAATTCAGTATCCTGGAAGATTTTCATGGACTCCAATGTGGCTAAATTTTCAGGGATGGAATGTGACCTCCATCTCAGTCTATCAGGGGTGCCTTCTGGTGATATCTTCTGTCTCTTCTCAGCCCTTGATGATCCAACTTCAGTAATACCTATTCCAAAATCAAGATTATCTTAACCCCTGAAGAATTAATTTTAGATACTTTGTGGCTTACCTTTCAATTCATTTTCATAGAGACTTGACTGAGTGTTTGAAATTTTGAATGGTTCTTGGAGTGATGACATAAGTCCATTTTCTGATGGACTCTTGTGATTGTATTCATCATTGAAATACTCATACAAATCAGGGATAGTCAACTGTCCTTCCTCATGAAAAGAATTAACTGCATGTTCTCTGATAAATTCACTTCCTTCACCCAGGGATGGGTGGGCAAATACCTTGTGATATGGATGCCATGCCACTTGAAAAATGAGATGGAATTTGAACAAATGAATCAGCATTTTTAGAAAGTCTGGATAAGGGGCCAATCCTAAGTTCCACTTATGAAGAGGTCTGGAGGTGTGTCCAGGTCTGTTTTTTTTTGGTTATGATTCAGTACCTAAACCTCAAGAATTCTCTTCACTTTTGGAATTATTTTCTGGTTGTGTTTCACTTCCTCAATCAAACTGATAAATTTTCAAACTTGAATGTTGAGGATAAAGTATAGCTGTGTGTATCTTCCTCAAATCACTGATCAAAATGATCCAAATGCTTATCTATCAGTTACACGTTTTGATAAGAGACATAGGTCTAAAGAAACTTTTCCTGGGAAATCTTCACACCAATGTTTCAGACTTGATACACTAACGTATGGTTGAATGACCAAATTTGGGTTCGAAAACTGCCAACTGGCAGAAGTCGCCAGCAGTAAGACAACTGTATGCCCCAAACATTGTTTAGTTAACAGATTCAATAAAGTTTTGATGGAATGTGACAATTCCATATCATTTGATCAACTGTATTCAAATTCTTGATCAAACAATGTGCTTCCCCTGATTTTTGGCATCTAAGAGTATCTCCACCCAGGGAGCTAAACCGGGTTGCTGTCCTGTGCTTAGTAACCCAACCCAAAAATTCATCACCCACCCGGGGTGCTTAATCAGTTTCTATTTTACCTTGGGAGGTAAAAATTTTCATCCAGTTGCCAAATTCAGCAACCCACTAGCAACTCACCAGCATCTGTGAAAGTCACCAATCTGATGACACCTGATCTGGTGTTTTCCTCGTGAATACCAGATGACAAATCATCACATATGTCACTCCCAACCCTGTTCACAAGTCTCTGGTAGGTATTATAGCAAACATGGGTGTTTGTCAGGGCTGCTTGGGTTGTCAAACATTTACTTTGTGTTGCCATCCCACATGGGATAGCAACCCGGTTTAGCTCCCTGGGTGGAGATGCTCTAAGGGAATCTTGAAAGCTGAGTGCATTTCCATAAGAATGCTGCAACTCACAACATTGAGAAAAAAGTTTGATGTGGAGGGTTTCAAAGCTGTAAATTTGATGAATTGTAGTGGAGGACTTCCTGTTGTCTAAATTTGTAAATTTATAAGGAAGAGTCAAAGCTTAATTGGCTGGTGAAAATTCTTTGACCTCAAGAATTCACCAACAAACAAAGCTTAGCCGGTCCCTCTAAATTCAGCTATCTGGTCAACAGGAAGTCCTCCAGTATGTTCATTAGGGGGTATCAAATATAACCAAATCCACCACTATTTAATTGACTGGTTTGAAAGAAACCACCCTTTTTTAAACATGTTAGTTATCCATTTAACCCCTTTTGGGGCCCATTTATGCAAAATAAAGTTTTTGTAAAAGTGACTGGTTTCTGATGGTGGATTTCCTATATTTGATACCCCCTATTGGTTGTTTTTGAGATCCACATCTCCTTCCAAAAAATTTGACTCAACAATTCTTTTATGTAACCATTATACATAGAATGGCAGGGAAATTTTCATCCTTCACCCAGAAATGATAAATCTCCAATTAAAAGATTGGAAGTTAAAATCTGGTAGCAAAAGTGGGTCACTACAATACACTGTGTTTTTTGCAAAAAGCATTAGTGTAGCAGATCTCTTTTTGCACTCAAATTGTGTACTGTTGGCTGCCATGTTGGCAGGTTTTTGCTATGCTACCCTGTGCTACGGGCCGCTAAAGGCCACAACAGGGGCAAAATTACGCTACCCATCACATTAGTAGAGCGTAGAGTTCACACTTTTGGGGGCCTGTTCACGTAGCATTATAAGCACAGATGGGGCAGAATTCTGTTGTGCTATACACTAGATTTGAGCCCGAGTTCCACTACATTGCTGGTAGGGTAGCTGACCCCCCATTGCTGGAAGAATGAATAATGTTTTCCTGAGGATTTTGCTGCTAGGATTGCACATACAGATTGACCATTCATTCTGGAAGTAGGGGCATGTCCCCATTACAACCAATCAGTTTCCTGCTGTGAAATACCACACCAAGACCTGGACAGGGAAAGGGAATGGTATACTTTCCAAGAAAAGGGCTACTTGAATAATCAAACCAAAAATTCCATTAAATGTTTATCTTTATCAAGCAAGTCATTGCAAAATGAGGAAGAAATTTTGGTTAATACTAAGTACTACTACTACTGCTAGGCAGACAGGGCCATGGAATCATAACATGGTCTGAGTTGGGGATGAGGTGCTTCAAAATTTGCATCGAAAAATCAATATTACTGACTAGAGTTTCTTATAATTGCTTCGCGCATCAAGAACAAGACGAGTAGAAACAAAGCAATGTGAAGATTGATCAAAAGAATTCCATTGCGGTGATAAGAGGTTAGAGCGCCAAAGAATCGGAGACCATGCTTTGTTGGAGCCTGTCTGCGACAAGTTGGACATGCAAGGGTATGTCTGAACACGCTCTCGATGCAGGGGCTTTCATCGAGCCAGCGAGTCAGACAACTCTCGTGGAAAACCTCGCCACAGCCAGGAAAAACCAGCAGTAAGGTGCCGGGCTCATCGTATTTGTACTCCTCAAAGCAGATCCTACAAGAGTCCAGGTCACTCTTCAACCGGACCTTTTTGCTCAACAATCCCTTGATCCTTTCGATCGAACGAGTGAATGGCTTGATCGTTGAGTCTTGTATCGCCTTAAGCCTCCTCCTGTACCACCTCTCGTTCCTCAGCTTTTCCTTCGGAGAGACTTGACCGGGGTTTTTCTGTGAGCAAAAAAGGGCCAATTAGATTTTATTCTTTAACTTGAGAAGTCGCCAATGATTACTCAACAGTCATGTCTACCGTCTCAAAAGAGACTGTGCGTTGGCGAGTATATGATCCTCTGAAATTTGTCCCAGTCGACCTCTCTACGAGGGTACGTTCTCATCTGAGGGGCTGAGTTCGGATTTTTCCGAGTATGATGATGAGAACTGAACGGATAGAGGAAGAGGTAAGCTGATCTTACTTGCCTGCCTGTACCGCGACTACTTCACAGTTCTGGTGTGCTGCTTCGGAGGCCCGATCCGCCAACTCTGAGTCCTCATAGGCTCTCCCTATGTCATAATCCGCCGCCACTTCTTCTTCGAAATGACTCCGCTTTGTGAGCTGGGCTGAAGTCGAACTGGAAGCGTAGAATACAAGAATCTACACGGGAGGTTGATTTACACCACTTTTAGTCAACATAGGGGTCCAGCCATGGACAATCAAACCTGGAGAAAATCTGATATTTATGGCCAGTCTTAAAGAGCGCTCAACTAGGATTGTGTTTATTGTGAGATACATGGTTTCTATCCAATTTCAGATTGGTCTAAGTGCACCCAGGCTGAGATTTTCGGCTTGTTGGGATGCGAAATTGATGATTCAGTCCATGAATCCAATCATAAAAGAAAAGAAAATCGATCAAATAAAAAAGGGGATCACGAGTGACTGACCTATAATCAATTACTTGTCTCTAATCTATCTATTTTTGCTACACAGTTGCATCGAGATTATTTCAGGAATGTGTGGGTTGATCGAAACTCCAGCCTTCAGCACACCTACTCAGCAAGTATGTACACGCTGAAGGATGATCATATCGTTTCGAGCATTAAAGTTAAACACCGTCCGCGTGTTGAATGGGTAACCACACTGTCCTTTTAAATATGTCCTTTTAAATATCTTCGGCATTTCCAGTCAGAGGGAAATCGGAGCGACTTGCAGGGAAACAAAAAAAACAAAAAATTGAATGGCATGTTTTTATTACCGCTACTGGAGCCAAGTTTCAGCAACAACAGCAAATTTGCTCAGCTGAGATCTGAGGATCTGTTGACGAACCAGAAACAAGCAGTTGACCTTTCATTCATTACATCATTTCAGACGCTTTTAGCCCGAGACAACAAGCCTAGGCTGTTGTCTGTCTTCCCGTCCAGACACTTTCAAGACATATTACTATATGCGACTTGCTTCTAGTGTTCTGCTTCATTCGAGTCTTGACTTGTTCGACCAAGCCAGTGCCGAGATTTCCGCAGCTATTATGCTTTCCATAATTGCTGTTGCAACATGACATCAACCTCACAGATGCAAGTTTTGAACTTGCCCGAAGCTACCGTGAGTCAAGTGAATCCCGCAGCCTGACACGGAACTTAGCTTGTGTGCTTTGATGTAAGTTGAAAGTGGATGGGATCCATCGTGGATGGTTGGTTTTGTAACAAGTCAAGACACGAGAAAATGATCCAACAAAAACGGAAAGAATGATATTTCGCAAACAAAACAAAACCAGAACAAGAGGATGTTTATAGGTATGGCCATGAGCTCAAAAGATCATCTTTCTTTTTTTCCGTTTTGATTGAGAAAAGAAGGAGAATGTACCTAGTATGTTTGCTTGTTGTACCTACATAGTATGTTTGCTTGTTTGTCAATCTAAATGAGAGAAGTATTTTGAAAAAAAATCAAGGGTTGTAGTCCAATAAGGTATATTTTAAAGATAGCTCAAAAAACAGAAAAAAAACAAACAAAGAGTAGATAAAAAAAGAAATAAGAAAAACTGATAGACAAACAAACAAACAAGAATCAAGTCCAACTTATAGTCAAACATCAAGCGCGGCTATATGAAAAATCACCTGGGAAGAAGCCAAAAAGCGAGAGAGAGATGGATTTCTATGTGAATGGATGGATATATATATATATGAAAAAAAAGAGCATCAAGTAGTATTAAGAGCATCGAATTCTTGTACGTATTCTAGAACGTTTCCCTTTCACAACTTCCAAAAAAAAAAAACGATTAAAATTAGTTAAAAAAGTAAACAAGAAAAACATCTGTCAAAAACGGAACGAGAATCACCTTAAATGGCCAGGTTTTTGAGCTCCCCATTGACTTCACTGATTGCAGGAGTACTCGAGCCATTAGTTTTAGGAAGCCCGTTAGGATGAGAGAGGCCGTTAGTAGTAGGGGGGAGATCGTCTTGGTCGACGATGACCGGTTCAGGGCCGAAGAATTGAAACAGGGCAGAATGCTCCGAGTCGTCGTTCGACTTCCTGAAGTCGTTATTGACGATGTTAACGAGATACCAAGAGTCCATGATCTGGTGGATAAACCTGGCGCTTTCGGGTGCGATCTCCTTATACAATTCGGCCCATTGGTGCCCGAGTTCAAAGGCCTCATCCTTCCATGCAATGAAGCTCACCAACTCGACGATCGTCGGCTGGACGATCTCTTTCCCTGGGAACACGCCCCACGTCACCGCGTTCGGCCCGGGGCGGGTGTTGTTCGTGACTAGGTCGCCAGTCTTCGTCACCGCATAGTACGTCACATCCGGGTCCTTTTCTAGCCTCTCTGTTAAGGATTGGAACTTCTCTGGACAACAGAAGAATTCAAGATACGCCTTTTTTCGATCGTCAGGAAGGAAAACACAAGGCCATTGTTAGTTGATGGAAGCACAATGACAAGATATATATATATCTACGGTGAACCCTACCTTCTGATATACGTAACCGCCTCTGGGACCCCACCCGTGGACGGGATCACTACTCTTGGCGCCATCGACGGCGGGTTGACTGTTGATAGTCAAGAAGCCTCTCTTGTTGATTTTGACCAAGACGTCTTCGATCTTATTAGTTTCTTCCGAAAGAGGGATGTCGCTCCAGGGAAGGTATTTCACTGGCTCTTCACCCGGGAATCGAGCACCACAATAGTTGGCAAAGATTCGGGCAAGATCTGCGAGACTGGTTGGGAACTTCTTGAGACCTTTGAGAGTCTCCATCGTGGCGGCATTGATGTTGATTCCGTATCCATCTAGTTCTCCGTAGGCTGGTGACCGCGAATCTCCCCATCGTCCATTCGGAAATTCATCCCAGGTCTCCGTTCTCGATAGGTATGATTTCGCTCGATTTGCCCAAAATATCGGACGGATCGATTCGCTTCGTCGTTTGCCCAACAACGACTAAATAACAATTTACAAAAGGTTGGAGATATGAGCAAGAGAAATTGATCTTGAAATTCATAACGAAAAAAAAACTGACCATCTTCCAGGGCAATGGGTTCGTGATATCTCGAGAAGGATTCAAGTTCAATTCATCCAAGATCATCTTAGTCCCACGTTCGAGATTCATAGTATAAAAGTGCAAGATACGAATGCCGAGATCGGAGTTAAGGATTTTCCTGCACATATCGGCGACAAGTTTGGTCCCGGCCTCACGGACGGCTTGGTCGTCGGATTGGATGGGTTCGAGCTTATCCAAGAAGTATTGAGGGACGATCGTTTTGCTGAAGTTGGTGACCCTTTTGAATTGGGCCCAGGATTGGATGGGCATGAGCCCGGGGATCACAGGCACCGTGATCCCCGCGGCCCGGATCTCTCGGACCCAATCGATGAATATATCAACATCATAGAACATTTGGGTGAAGATAAAGTTCGCGCCAGCTTCGATCTTCTCCTTCAAATAAATCGTTTGTTGTTCTCTTGATAAAGTCGAATGCATGTGTCCTTCTGGAAATCCTGCAACCGCAATGTCAAAATGATCTCCATATTCTGCTCGAATGTGTCGCTAAACAGATCCCAGATAAACCCAAAATGTGAGATTTCATGAGGGACATGATTTAGCTGAATCTGACCCAAGTTGAAAAGCAATATAATTATGAAAAACTTACGACCAAATCGATAGCATGTTCGAAGCCACCCTCCGTTGCCGTCCATTCAGTTGAGCCTTTGGGAGGATCGCCTCTCAAAGCGAGGATATTTTCACATCCGAACTCATAAGCTTCCTAAATCAGGAAGGATGTATACAACGATAAAGAGAAATTACAGATTAACATTCAAAAGACTAAATATAAAGAGAGGGAGAGAGAGAAGAGAGAATGCGAAAGAGGAAAACAAGACTAACCTTCAAAGCGGTATCGATTTTAGATTTGGGCATGTTAGTGCAAGTGAGATGCATGCATGTCTCCAGGCCGAACTGTTCATGAGCAGTCTTGACGAATTCGGTGGTCAGGTTCGACGTCGACCCGCCTGCACCCCAAGTGATGTCAATAAAAATCGGACCGAGTTGCGACATTCTACAGATTCTGTCATATAAATTCGTTAACCCCTATTCATCAATTCCAAGAAAAATCAAAAGATTAGTCAAAGTAGCAATTACAAGGGGGGTCTTTTAACATAGTTGGTTTTACAAGAGTAGCTCACATTGTCGGTTTTGGGTGGGAAGTATTCAAACGACCATGATATACGGTTCTCTGACTCGGCTATTTCACATCGATTCGCCGCACAAGTGGGTCGGGGTTTTTTTTTTTTTTAAGAAAAAAAAAAAACGAAAGATCATCAAAATGAGATCAACAGAACAGCACAAACAGTCAGTGTGGATGTCAACGATATAAGTTTGATTTTTGAATGAATCTTGACGAGGTACCAGCAGCGAGTTTTTGAGAGATTTTCATTGTTTCGGAAGGAAGAGCTTATTCAACAAGATTCCAGACAAGACGTAGGTAGGTTGATTATTTCTTGTTCTTGAGCGAGCAGAGTGTTCTCCTTGAGGAAGAAGTGAGTGAAGTAATATGGAGAGCGGCAGGGAATAGTTGTCTCGATCGGGTTTCCTTTTTCTGAGCAATCGGTTCGTCTTTTTCTGCGTCTTCTTCTCGACTTGGTATGTTTCTTCTATGTTGTAGTTTCCTGGGATGTGTGTCTCTTTCTTGCGTCTGGTCCGCTCGTGAGAAATACTTGAGATGGGATGGTTGCTGTTGACTGCTTCTGCCGAAGATCGTTGCTACAAGCTTTCCCTTTTCCTTTTTTCCTTGTTTTTTTTTTTTGACAGGATAAGGTTTTAGTACATGTTGAGTGGCTTATGTAATCCAAGGCTAGTGTCCGAATTGAATGAGATCGATTGCATTTGCATACCCTGCTGACTTGACCCCATCCCTTACGTACATACTTGGATCATATACAGGAATTCGCTCACGCTGTCATCCAAGTCTTCCAACGATCTTCGTTAGTATAGAGGTCAGTATACCCGCTTGTCACGCGGGTGACCCGGGTTCAATTCCCGGACGGAGAGAATCTTTTGCCCCTTTTGAGGGTCATCCTTACACATCCTCTGCATGGCCCCGGCGATGGACGGGACAGCTGTCAAGGCCAGGCAGGCCGATGACCAATGACGGAGTGTTGGCTCATGAATGTCAGCAACAACGATACATACTAGGGTCGAGCGATGACATCAACAAATGGCACCTGATCAACCTGCTTTTATGTATCGACCATCTGACTCTTCTCACATGGCGACTTTCTGCTTTCATGCCCTGGCGGTCATCCATGACCCCGGGCTCAGCTTGTGTGGATGCGACCGATCCGGAGAAGCCTAGCGGCATCCGGACGGCGGTGATCGCCGGGCCGGCGATGGACCATCCAGAGGTTGATAATTGATTGTAAGCTGCTCACTGCTGGTAAGTTGTTTTTTTTATACTTGTAGATATTTAGATGACCCTGGATAGGCTCACCGATCTGAACCTACAGGTCCAAAGGGATGGAATTGACAGCACAGCAGTTGCGGACATCTTGTTGGATGAAACTGGCTTCAGAAGGAAATCCAGGGCGATGTTCGCGAATCCCCTCCTCTAGCTCCCTGCTCAGTCAATTCATGTCTCCTTGACTCATCACGTACAGTCGAAAACTCACTATACTCGAGGGCTCAAGATGAAGGCCTTTGGAGATGAGAGTACCCCTGCTTAAACATCACACAGACATTCCTAGTGATCAGATGAGCACCAAGCGATTCATCGTCTTCGGCAATCCACCCACGCTACAACAACTCCGAGCTTGGTCGATCTCATCGCCGGACATACCAATCACCTGGCAGACGCGCACAGTTTATGACTCCACCTCGCAAGCCCATGATCATCAGTCTGGATCGAAACCTGATTGTACGACCGATCAACTGGTAGCCAACTCTCATCAAGCACATTCTTCCGATCCCCCTCGCCATCCATCTTCGGCCAACGAACGTTCGACCCGCCTTCCGACTCTTCCTTCTGCCTCTGTCGGCCACTCTAAACATCCAGGAGATATTACCGCCAGCTCAGAATCCCTCGATCTCAATCAGGGATCAAGGAAGCGACCGAGGCTACAAACACCAGAAGAACGCGATGATGAAGTAGATACCGATCAGGATGTTTCGAAAGGTCTGTTTGCTCTGTTTGAATCTTCCACATCTATGGAACTCTGTCATCCTGACATCTGTCTCTTGTCTCGATCTTGTTTCCATCATGAGACTTCCCTGGCAATGGGCATGATGCGGCGGCTACAAACTCTGACAGCATGGATTACTACCAAAGCCAGCTGGATTATCGGGACTCTTTCGACGAGGGTTCTGGGGACATCTCTTCATTGACGCCCACGCCAGGCAATCGTAAGGCTCGATCTCTCCACAATTCGTCTGAAAAAAAGAAAGATCATTTCTGATTGGCCTTTTATTTTGATCAGGGACCAGCTGTTTACTGTCGAACCCTCCACAGGAGCTTACAAACGATCCTTCCCCGGCCTCTGGCACGCTTCGTCCACCATCTCAGCAGCAGAGCCAAAGCTACTCCGAATCGATGGTCGTCAACCCGCCTCAATGGCACTTCGATTCCCGCTCCTGTACCCCACTCGACCAGCTTGAGAATTACAACAAGAGCCCGTATAGCATCCTGTTCTACCTCAGCGACAAGAAAGGCTTGAGTACGATCGAGCTCAAGAAGCCGCGCAAAGACGGCTCATCTACCGTCGATATAGCTCACTTCGAATGCATCGATGATAGCGGATCGTCTTTGAAGTTGGTCCTGTGGGACGATGTTGCCGAGTCGCTCGATCGGGCCTGTTCAGTCGGAGACATCATCTACTTATCAGGTCCATCCCCTCCCCCCCCACTTTGTTCCTACTATTCGGAAGACTGACCACCATGAAAACCGGCTTCCTTTTCGCTGTAGGAATTGCGATCTCTACGTACCAAGGCAAGCCTCAAGCAAGTTCGACCTTCGGAACTCGCGCGCAAATCTGTTATCGACTCCGACCCACCCATGCCTCCCATTTACTACTATATTGTCCTGATTTGAGGTTGGCTTATGACCCTACTACACGGAGAGTCAGTCAGTTGGTCGACTGGGCTAAAAGCGCATTTTTCTGATCTTGAGTAGTCACATTTTCAAGCTGTTAGTCAAACCAAAAGAAATCCTATCTTTCTGAACACTTAAGAGAATGTGATCAGATGGATTACTTAGGTGTTGATATAGATCTATATGTAGCATTCTCAAGAAGATGTAAACAGTTTGCAAATTCATACGTCGTACTATGTATCTAAAAAAAACAAAACTTCGAAATTATCTATGTTACTGCATAATATTTTCTGGATTGAATTTTTAATCATTCAATTTTTTTGAATCAAGTCAGTCCAACAAAAAGCACGGCCCAGAGGATCAAAAGGATAATAAGAGGGGGGGGGGGGGTCACTGGCTCAATTCAAGATTGAAGCTGTAAATCGCTCCTGGCTTGCTGTGGATTTGATGTTGCTGACAGTTGTGTGGAGGTGTGAGAGGAGGTTGGAAACAGGGAGCAATGGCGTACACAGATTGGTATTTGATCAGGATCACAGACGATTTTGATCTAGTGAACAAACACATGCTTATAAGGTCTAGTTCTTTTCGAGTTACTTGGACCTGAGGAGCTTGGCCCATCCACCAGCAAAAAACGATCCCACACAAGATCCATCCAAAGGGGCAACAACTCAACCGTCCCTTTTTTTTTCTTTTTTTTTTTTTTTGAAAGGAGACCTGATCTACATATCTGCGTCCAATGGGACACTGAAAACGAAGCTTTTAATGTGAGCTTTCAAAGAAGGCCACTCTAAGCCGATTCGAAATCGTGCCCATATTATCATCTTCGATCGGCTCAGACCTGCACATTCCATTGATCCATCCGAAGATTGGGGACGCCGTAAACTTGCCAGATAAAGCTCGTCTGGATCGTGGCTCATGGTTTGGTCTGGCTGATCGGCGTCCCCAAAGAGATGACCGATTGACGGCTTCCATGATAGCTTGGATTGGGGTGGTGTCAGGGAACTATGTACAATGAGAGAACGCTCCTTTTGGCTATACTTCTTTGTCTGACATGAAAGTAAAATGACCTGTGACTTGTTTGATTGTTGGATCTTTTTTTGGGGGGGAGGAGTAGCTCAAATGCCGCGTATCTGCTGGATTACTCTGGGTGCGCGTAACTTGGGCAGATCGCCAGCCACCCGGCAGCCAACGAACAGATCCGCAAGACGGGCCAAGTGGAAAGTGGGGAGATACGTTTTGTTCCTCTTTTTTTTTTTTTTTTTTCGCCTTTTGGCTCGAGTGTTTTGGGTCTCAGACTCAGCTCGTGGACAAAGATAACTCTCGCAGGGAAAACAAAACGCGCCAGGGAAGGCCGGCCTGGGATACTTGGAAACTGTCTCCGTCCCCATCGACAAACTTATAAGGGTGGACGGAGAACGAGCGGATGATTAAAAGAAAAATGCAGAATCAGCGGCTCAGAGGGAAAGGAAGTTGATGCGCGTGCAAATTGATGTCTTGAGGGCTCTCGCGAGTCACCGACCCAGAGCCCGGGAAGCGCGGGCTTCCACAGGCTCCGGTGATCAGCGCAACGGGACAGGCCAGCAGGCTTCGCGAGTTTCAGGCGAGTCCGGTACTGTCGAACGGATGATTGTATAGGCATTTTTTTGAAAGGAAAGTTGTGCCACCGGGGCTGATGAACCAGCTGGTCGCCCACGTGGGTGGCACGTGTTGGAGGCGCGCCCGTATTTGCTTCAGTCACTGAGGGGGTGATGGACGCTCGGCCGTTAATGGCCCTAGTCTGGACAGGGCAGCGGGGGTACAATATTGATTGATTCAGAGTGGCTAGCTGAAGCAGCGTGTTCGAGCGATACTGCTTAAGTGTAGTACATGCTCGCCGTTAGGCCCATCGGTCTTCCGGGAACCCTTCATATCATACTGGACAAGATCATCAGTATCCATGCACTACAATGTAGGCCGGCCAATGTGGACGACTTTCCGCCAGTCTGTTTACGATCGCTTCGCCACGATCAAATCGGAGGCCGGATCTACAGTTCTTCCGTGTAGACTGAACGGCAAGAACATTCCAGGCGCTGGATCACTGGTCTGTCTGGTGCACCAAGCACTACTCCTTGTCACTGCTTTTATCTTTCACGGATGATGCTGTGAGGGGATCATTGGTCTAACACCGCCCCCCTCCACTGTCGAGGGCAATCGTTCTTTGGTACACTGCCGGGATCATGGGTGGCTGTAGGCGCGCCCAGTCCTCGGACTCCTTATTCTGGATTATTATCAATCCGACCGCGCTTGTCCATTTGTACAAGATTCAGTGGATCTTAACCCATTCCGGAAGTACTCTATCAATCTTTGGCGCTCTGTTCTTTAGCTAGCCATGATTTGCCAGCTGTAAGCACAGACATTTTAGTAGCGCACCAATTAAATATATATATACCGATCTCTCAACTGTGCTTGCGAAGAAAAGAAACCATCCCAATCAAAACAAAAACAAAAGTATCCAATAAATCAACCGCCATCGTTCGCGACAGTTATTCCGGAAGCCTCGAAGCCAGACACGTAGTGAGACTCAGTCTTTCAAGGCCGCGTTAGATTTTTTTTTTTTCACGTTTGAATTGGCGGCGACATTGGAGAGGCCAGTGAAGAAGATGGCGATCGAGTTGAAGAAGCTATGTTTTCCGGAGAGCTTTGAGATCGTTCCGGGCCCGGAAGGCTGTTTTGAATCCAAACTGACATCCTTGCGGGTAAGTCGGACCAAGCTTCGGTTCCAAATCTCCCTTTTTTTCATCCGAATCCGATGATGCTGACGGAACTGCAAGTTGCGTTGTGTGTGTGCGATTTTCATTGATCGTTGGGCTGTTGATCACTTGACCACGAAATATAGGATTTTCGCGCAGGAGAAGTGCTGGCCAGACTGGGGCAAGAATGTCAAGTGAATCACAATCAAGCTTTTTTTTGTTTTTCTTTTCTCTGATGCGAGAAATGATGGATGTCCTGAACAGCGACGAAATGTCCCACCTGAATTATGAATAGATTACCCAGACGAAGGCGTATACTTCAGTCCAATTCGACGACGAGGCCAGGGCCCAGACAAGCGCTCATTTCGAGCTCAACAGTGAGCTCGTCTACATCAATCACAGCTGCCAACCCAACGTGGCGTTCGAGCTTCCTGGCGGGTGGCAGGGCCTGGAAGACGGCCGTTGGTGTCTGAGATCACTGACCGAAATCAAAAAGGGAGAAGTACGTTTATCTTTCCCCCCTCCAATCGATTTTTCTTTTGTTTTTGAATTGATGTCTTGTTGGACAACCGCCGTTTTGTTGTGTGTTCTTTATCTCGTTCCTCAATCCAGGCATTAACTTTTGCTTACTTCAGCACCGAATGGGACATGGCGCAGCCATTCGAGTGAGCTCTATTTTAACAATTGAACATCCCCTTAGTTTACATTTGGCTCTCATCTTAACTCGGACTGACATTCGAGTGTTTCTCCACAGGTGTCGGTGTCGCTCCGAACATTGTCTCGGGTGGATAAGCGGGGCGAAGGACCTGCAACAACAGATCTTGGACAGGTCTGTAGATCTCGTTTGAGCTCATGGGAAACCTCCCAATCTTGTAGAACAAACTGACCAAATCGATTTTGGGCGCTGCGTTTTTTTTTTTTTTTGTCTTGCGACAGATATTTCATCAATGAGCACATCAAGCAAATGAGGCAAGCCGCTCAGTAGTTCCGTATCTTCGATTTCCGGCGGATGACCCATCCACTAGAATGGATGTTTGTGTCGAACTCGGCTCGCAGCATCACCTCTTTGAATTCTTGGTGAACGATGTGCAATCCCATACGATTGTTCGATCAGATGGAATGATTCTTACTCCTTTTTCTGCTCTCATAGATCCAAAGAATTGCAATTCCAGACGGCTTGTAAAAATAACATTGATTAGAGACTCCGTCGTGACTTTCTTGAGGCCAACTCAGCCTTATTTGTTCAACTCATGGGTGTTGTCATCATCTGCCATCCTACCAACCATAGATATAGCTATTACTCCTTCAAGTCGTGTCATATGTTCGAACAAAACGTCGTTCCAGTATTCTTGAGGAAGTAATTGTGTACTTCAAATTCAGCAATTTTCGTCCTCAGTTATTTATCATGTTCGGGCAATCTCTTTTTCACTTCGTGGTCCGCGCGTGAAAGCATACACACTCTAGTGTATACCTTGATGATACATGGGATGTAAAGGCTTGGACTGCATATTTACATCTTCACCAGCAACAAAACACCTGGGACCAGCATGAAGACTGCTGGAGCTTTTTTAGTCCCAGTCGCCCGAAGGAGTGGTTTGATACCATAAAATGGAAGCCGCACGCCGCTGTAAATGTTCAGCTTTTCTTTCAAAGGCCCATACATCAGGAGCATCGCAGCCTAAACGACCGGCGTCTGATCAGCATGGCCTTGACTGATTGGATTGGCGGGTCAATTTGAGTGCCACTGCCTGCAGGCTCATCGGTGATCGGATGAGTCCATCTTCCTTCGCAGAGACCGCGCCCGCCGCATACATACTAGTCAATTTACAAAGGCGCAGATATCCATGGCATACGCCCAGCGCGACGGAAGGTGTGTTCCATGGATTTCTTCCTCTCTCCGCTGAAGTTGAACGATGGACGGAAGAGAATGGATGTACATCATACAGCCATCCACTGATTCAAATCGCTCGAGATGGCTGATCAGCTGTTTCTTGTCTTCGTAAAAGTATGTACCTGTACTTTGTAGGAAAACCGTGCAATCCTTGATCGCTCGCTCTCTCTCTCTCTCTCTTCGCGCGACGCTTCCAACAGGCTGTCCAACATTCTCTCGGAGACCCGCTCTTGACTGAGGATTGAAGATCATGATTCAAATCGAGCTCTGTTTTCGCGACCGCTTTGAGATCATTCATGGACCGAAAGGAAGCTATGCTTCAAAGCTTGTCTCCCGAATGGTATGTCACACTACTATCCACCCCCTGCTTTTCAATTTCCTCGTTTGTCACCTGAAAATGCCGACGAGAGGAATTGAAGTTGAGATGTTTTTATTGTTATTAATCATATGTTGTTTGCCACCACGATAGGACTTCCCTGCTGGACAGGTACTAGCCCACCTCGGCAAAGAGTGTTATGTTAGTCCCCAAGCATGAATCCATTGACGCCCAAAAGCCATGCGGAAGTTAACCTGAAAGTTCATTCTGCTCAGGTTGCCCAATCCAAAGCGTACACTTCGGTACAATTTGAGGACGAGAACGAGGTGGAGAAAGCGCATTTCGAGCTGGGCAGCGAGCTGGTGTATATCAACCATGGTTGCGAGCCCAACGTCGCTTTCGAGTTGCCTGGTGGATGGAATGGACTTGAAGAGGGCCATTGGTGCCTCAGATCACTGTCCGAGATCAAAGAGGGTGACGTGAGCTTGTTTGTATTTTTATTTTTTTTTTCTTATCTGAAACATCATCCCTACGGGGTGCAAATGAAGGATACTCATGGCCCCCTTGCCGTCATTCCGATATTTCTGTGGTCTCTTCCCGATCACAGGTCTTAACTTTTGCTTATTTTAGCACCGAGTGGGACATGGCCCAGCCATTCCAGTGAGTCAGAGGACCCACTAGATGCTTTGCAATCACCACCGTGGAGCTGAAACCGCACTGCTTTTCCACAGGTGTGAGTGTGGCTCAAAGAGCTGTCTCGGCAAGATTCGTGGAGCCAAGTACTTGCCAAAGGAAATGCTCAACAAGTACGTGGATTTCCTTCAATTGGACTATTCAAGATCCATGAACTAAACAGTATATGGTGCTCTTATTTGCTAAAGGTACTTCATCAATGAGCATATTCACAGAATAAAGGAATCCGCCAAATGATTTGAAGTTGACAATTTTGTATCCAACGCACTATCCATCCGATCATGAGGCCTTTATATAACTTGGGTAGGAATTATGTCATCAAGAATGCTTCACAATGGATTCATCTCTCATCATCCATAGATTCAGCATGTTTTGTACTACTTGTGCAACTACCATAAATTTAGAAAATGATTTGGGGAAGCCAGTAGTACTATGTATCATAAAGAGTCCATCCCGGAACAATTTCTTTGAGATGTCAATCAGCTGGCTTTGGCTTTTTGTGAGCCTTAAACATAAGACACAGAGCTTGGATCATTCACTCATCACAAGTGGAAATGAAAAAAACACCTCCTTGGTTTCTTCAGATGGTCATGTGAGTAGATGAGGCTTTCTAATTTTTCCTTCTTTCAAATTTTTGATTCAATTGTGTGGGCTGGTAAATCTACTTCTGTTTGCAGCTCAATACTTGAAATCTGGCTGTCTTTGTGGGAAAAAAAGCAATCTTCTTGCAGGACATTTCCATTTCCAAGACTCTGTTGAGCCATGTGCTGATGTAAAATTATGTAAGCTTATGTTTCGTACCCAGAGATGATATTTTCTTTGCCCATAAGTTGGCGCAAAGATCCATTGACCATGGCTGATGAATCTACTGGAATGAGGCATTTGAATCCTCAATAAGTTGGATGTTGATGGCCCAAATGTCTGGCCGGGACGTGAAGAAGATGCCCTGAATTCATATATCAGGGGTTTTCTGTGATAAAAAGTAGAGAATTTAAATGACCATGGCTATTATTTTTTGTGTCTTGTGTGCAGAAAGAACATGCAAGTCTCCTGGGCTACCAAGCTTTTATGAAGATGTTCTGCCCTGGGTCTGGAACCCCAATCTCACATGTTTTCTCTGCCTGCCCTGAATTCATGCAATATTGTTGCTAGCAATTTCCATCCTTTTTTTTGGGCTAGTAGTCATTCAAGGAAATCTATTTTACATACTGGGGTAAGGTCATGATCCATCTTTAAGTAAAGTTGAAATGTGGTCTGCTTAGGATAAAACTTAAATGGGATAACCATCAAGGTAGGAACTTTCATGGCTCATTGGCCTGGTCGGGAACTCTGGAGTATGGTCACACTGATTGTGCTGTACCTTTTGTGAGTATGTAAACCCTACATTTGGGCGGAAAGTGGAGATGATTGAGCCGCTGGGGATCGTCTCGCACAGTTGAAGATCGCTTGAAGTAACCCAATTGGGGTACCTGCACTTGATTATTAGGCTAACATGAGCCTCTTGACGTACTACTTTGCATTTCGGGGCTTGAAGCAGCGGGGCTGAACTCGGCCCTTGGTTAGGCTCCATGGCATGGATGGAGAAGGAATTGCTGATAATTTATACATTTCAACGAATTTATGCGGGATCAACTACAAAACCTGAACTGTTCACCGAGGTGCCAATTGGGCAGAGAGGATATGAAGATCGACCTGTCTTCTTGACCTCATCGGTAACATGAACTTGGCGCAAAGTGGTCCATTCCATATCACCCTGGTGTTACGAGCTCTAAGCTGATTCTATGAAAAACATGTATCAATCATCTCTAAAACCACTGGAGTCGCGTAGAAGTGCTCCATTAGGAACCATATACCAACTCTCGTTAAAAACATGACACTCATAAGTATAACCTCCAGAGGTCTCAGCTCACCTCCGCGTATTACGATTCTTTCTGGGGGAGGCCGTGGGAAGCTGCCCACTTCACTATAATTCTGTCTTCAAAAAAATCGATTTTGAGACAAGAAAACTAGGTTAACCACCGGTAGTATTCCAGAGCGTTTGGCTTGGCGGGCATGAAAAAGGGGTGCGGTCCAGTCGCCAAGGGAAATAAAATACGCGTAAGCATTGAGTCGAGCGGTTCGCGAAAGGTGACCCTGAAAACAAACATACCGTAACGAGGCCACGGCGCATAAATCTGGAATGTTGGTGGCTACTTCATTTTAAAGAATCTATTCTCTTGATGAATTACGCAACATTTATTTCTTTGCCGTAGCTCAGCGGCATCTAGCTGCTGCGACTGGTCTAATAGTAAAAATTTGATTTGAAAACACGAGGAGACTTGACTCCCAATCAGACTTGGAGGAAGCTGGAAAGGTTTCCCACTTAGGACAAGTTCTTCTTTGCATGCGAATCATCAAGTGCTTCTCGCCGTACGATTTTTTTCACCCATTGTGCTCGAAAAGGATCGGCCATGGTCTTCCAGTTTTCCAGAACTTCAATAAATCTGAAGTCTTGATTTCATGCGTGATTATTGAGGCATTTCTAATGACGGCGCTGTTTGCGCAGGGATAATAAAAATCAAAGGCTCCATCCATTCGGCGAGTTTTGCGAATTGGTCACAAAGAAGAGTCTGAAAATATAAATTCGCGAGGATTGTGCAGCCCACATCTTTAAATTCGCCGCTTTGGCGAAAGCTATGCCACTAAGAACACCGGAAAGGAAAGCAAGGCTATTCCTTGAAACCAGGAGGCTCGGAAGCTGTCGGGGGTAGAACAGATGGTATATAAGAAACTGGTACTCACATGTCACTACTGGTATTTCCTCGAGTAGCCATTTAGCGCTACAGCACCCATCAAACCAAGCTGGGCCTCCTCCAAAACAGCCGACGAAATGGATGTAATCTTCATAAGTGCCCTGTATTTCCACCCCGAGGCCTACTGTAATTGTTGCTCAAGTATCCTCAGCGTTATTGAGAGACGTAATGAGCCTACTCAACGGCCGCTGAAACAAAGGATGCCAGCTGAACAAGTGCTCCGCCCTTTGCCACTTGAAGGTACAGAACCGATCAAGACAAGCTGAGCTTCTTCTACAACAACCAAAGCAATCGATTTAACTTTCACAACTCATTTCAATCTTGAGGCCTACTGTAAGTGTTGTTCAAGTAGGCTCAGCGTTAATGAATGGCGTAATGAGCCTACTCAATAGCAGCGGACACAAAGGATGTAAGCTAAAAAACAAATGCCAACACAAAGGATTTAAGCTTAACAACAGCAGCCAACACAAGGGATGTAATGCTCCGCACTTCTCCTGTTGCAATTGCTGCTGAAGTCGGGCTCAGCATTGATGAAAGGTTCAAATAGATCCAGCTACACCCATCACCTTCCCAAATCCAGCCTCCATCTCTTCCATCCAACCACTTCCCCCCCCACATCCTCAAACAAGCTCTAAAAGTTAATCCGAAGAAAAACTCTCTCTAATAGTAAATATAATCAAAGATGGACGCAGAAATGCTCGAGAGAACTGAAGAGGCTTTGTCGCACCTCACTCCCCAAGATCGACAGCTCTTTGAGCGCCACCTTCGGTCTTTGCAAGCTGCTCACGACCAACTCGCCGCTCACCCTGACCGGGACCGGCTTGACGATGATGAGAACCGCCGCTACTTTTCTGATCGCGATGAAATTGAGGCAGCATTCGGACGTCTTCCCGAAGCAGTTACTCAACGCTTGCGGCATGTCTTGGGCCTATGGGAGGTGTTGATTTTCTTTCTTGAAGAATCTCGGGCTTGTTCCTTCGGCATTCGAAGACGTCTAGCCCAGCAACTATCCCAGTTCACTCTTTCCAACACGACCGCCGCCACTTTGACCACCTCCCCCGACGGCGAAGATTTGGAATGCACCATTTGCAATGAGGAGCTCTCCCTGCCCGACCAATATATTGTTCAGCTTCCATGCCACGCTTCTCACCTTTTTCACCGAGACTGCATTCTGGTAAGAATTTCTCTTCAAATTCATTCTTGCTACCTTAATTTGCCACTAATCTCAATCTACTTTCGCTGCAGCTCTGGATTGGACGCGACCGGACCTGCCCTATTTGCCGAGCTGCTATCCCACTTTCATCGGACCCCGCCACCTGAATTGCTGGATCATTTATGCTTTCCTTCTACTTATCTTTACCTTGTAGTATTAAATCTTGTTGTAGAATAATTCCCTGCCATTCTTGCCACTATGCCATAATAATAAGGAATTCCACTTATATATCTTGAATAAAAAACAAACAGACGCGCAAGACCCTTCCTCATGCTTCCCCACTGTCCGGAGTTTCAGTCCACAGCTTGAAAGAGTCTGAGAAAAAGAAATCGCGGAAATTGCGAAGCGCATACATCCTTGAATTTGCCGCTTTGGCGAACACTGTACCACTCAGAACACTAGAAAGGAAAGCAAAGCTTTGTGTTGAAACCGGCAGCTTAAACGCTGACAGGGGTAGAACAACTGGTATACAATAAACCCATCTTCACATGTGTGCCAGTAATCCCTCGAGTAGCTGACTCCAAGTTACAGCGCCAACAAAGCCAAAATGAGCCTCCTCTACAACAACCGACTCAACATATTTAAACTTCACAAGTGCTCTGCATTTCAACCCCAGGCCTACTGTAAGTGTTGCTCAAGTAGCATCAGCGTTAATGAAAGGCGTAATGAGCCTACTCAACAGCAGTCCACACAAAGAATGTAAGTTGAACAAGTAATCCGCCCTTAGCCACTTGAATTTACAGCACCGATCAAGCCAAGCTGAGCCTCCTCTAAAACAGCCAAAGCAATGGAATTAAGCTTCACAACTCATTTCAATCTTAAGGCCTACTGTAAGTGTTGTTCAAGTAGGCTCAGCGTTAATGAATGGCGTAATGAGCCTACTCAATGGCAGCGGAAACAAAGGATGTAAGCTAAAAAAACAAATGCCAACACAAAGGATTTAAGCTTAACAACAGCAGCCAACACAAGGGATGTAATGCTCCGCACTTCTCCTGTTGCAATTGCTGCTGAAGTCGGGCTCAGCATTTATGAAAGGTTTAAATAGATCCAACTACACCCATCACCTTCCCCAATTCAGCCTCCATCTCTTCCATCCAACCACTTCCCCCCCACATCCTCAAACAAGCTCTAAAAGTTAATCCGAAGAAAAACTCTCTCTAATAGTAAATATAATCAAAGATGGACGCAGAAATGCTCGAGAGAACTGAAGAGGCTTTGTCGCACCTCACTCCCCAAGATCGACAGCTCTTTGAGCGCCACCTTCGGTCTTTGCAAGCTGCTCACGACCAACTCGCCGCTCACCCTGACCGGGACCGGCTTGACGATGATGAAAACCGCCGCTACTTTTCTGATCGCGATGAAATTGAGGCAGCATTGGCACGTCTTCCCGAAGCAGTTACTCAACGCTTGCGGCATGTCTTGGGCCTATGGGAGGTGTTGATTTTCTTTCTTGAAGAATCTCGGGCTTGTTCCTTCGGCATTCGAAGACGTCTAGCCCAGCAACTATCCCAGTTCACTCTTTCCAACACGGCCGCCGCCACTTTGACCACATCGCCCGACGGCGAAGCTTTGGAATGCACCATTTGCAATGAGGAGCTCTCCCTGCCCGACCAATCCATTGTTCAGCTTCCATGCCACGCTTCTCACCTTTTTCACCGAGACTGCATTCTGGTAAGCAATTTTTCTCCAAATTCATTCTTACTACCTTAATTTTCCACTAATCTCAATCTACTTTTGTTGCAGCTCTGGATTGGACGCGACCGGACCTGCCCTATTTGCCGAGCTGCAATCCCACTTTCATCGGACCCCGCCACATGAATTGCTGGATCTTTTATGCTTTCCTTCTACTTATCTTTACCTTGTAGTATTAAATGTTGTTGTATAATACTTCCCTAGCCTTCTTGCCACTATGCCATAATAATAAGGAATTCCAATTATATCTTGAATAAAAAACAAACAGACGCGCAACACTCTTGCTCAAACTTCTCCACTACCCGGAGTGCAATTTCACAGTGATACCAGAAACAAACACTTGTACATTTTAGAATTTCTTTCGAAGTATCCTGTTCTAGAGATCTTGACCAAAAACAGAGCAGTTCTTACCAGAAATGAAAAGAAAAGTAAAGAAGTAAAAAACTTGGCAAGTTGTGATCATTGAAAGATCTTGTTACATATATGCATGGGATGGAGAAAGTCGAGGTCTGGCGAAGACCCGAGGTGCTTGGATGGCTAACTTAACACAAGTGAGTGGCTTGGTTATGTCAAGTCGCTTGGATTGGGGTTTTGTGACTCGGCGCTACACCACCAGTGCAGTTGGACGTCCCAGGGGCAGGGTCCAGGGGGACGGCCCCAGGACAGCAGCCCCCACATATCATAGCATCCCAGGGGCGTGCTCCTCCACAAATAAAAGGCCATCCCTGGGATGTCCTTGTCGAGCATCCCCGTGACGGCCACCCATTTCATCCCACTTCTGTCCTGGAGGTGTTTCAGGGCCGTCTTCTCAAATATTTTCCACTGCAGGATTTTGGACTGTGGCGTCCCTGAGCCGTCACCCAGACGGCATGGTGTCATTTTTTTGGCAAAAAAAAATGTCTTATGCACATTCACCAGCTAGCCCCAGGACACTCATCGCATAATAATCACACAGTGAATTAAATAGTGAAATGATATGCATTGTAAATAACACACCGAAACATATCACTGGTCATTTACAACAACAACAAAAAACACACAAAATCTGATTGGGAAATGCACCCGTGCATGCCAACCAGCCTGAAAAAGAAACAAGCAAGCCTGAAAAAGAAAAAAGCGCTATTTACATGAGAAAATAAAAAGGTAAACAACCCAAGTGGGTTCTTCAGACATCCTCGCCAGGATCTCCTACGGCTTCGATGTCCACAGCAGAGTTGCTTGCAACAAGAGCCTCTATTTCCTCGTGCGTCGGAAGAGAAATGGAATCACGGTCTATGTTGGAAAAGACCTCCTCGCCACCAAAAAGTTCGCGATCGTATCTGGTCACCAACTGGTAAAAACTGTTTCAAGCAAATAGTCAAAGCTCCACTGCATCAATATTGTGATAAATGGTCAAGTGAAAAATTATACGCACGCTGATCGGTAATCGCGACTCTTATAGGCCAAGTCACGCAAGTGTTCATCAATGTTTTTCCATTGTCGATTGGATTGCCCCCCTTGGCGTATGTGGTTAATTATCGTTTGGGGTCGCAGATAAGCCAACCGCGCCTTCAGAAGTCCATATTCCCTCCGCCCTTTGTCCGTGGTGTCTGTTGCTGGGGCATTGTTGGGGAGCGGTGGGATCAAACTAGACCTCATCTGTAGAAGCACAGATGTAAAAATGTAGAGCAGGTGAGGGACCACTCTTCATGAAGAGGGGGGAGCTGTTGCTTACCAAAGTCAAGAGGGATGATATTGTTGGAACCGGGAGCTCAGATTCCACATCAATGTTTGTGAGTAGCTGAACAAAGCCGGTGGTTAGTTGACACACACCCCAAAGATTACTGAATTCGAGCTCACCAAGTCTCTCATCTTGCCTCGGCTGTTCCTGAGTTTACCTCGTACATAGGTAGTAACACTGCCCCGTGCAGCGGGATCTGGATCAGAATAACCACGTGGCAGGTAACGGATCTTGAACTCGTCACTCTGTTCATTAATCTTCTCCTGAATTGGGCAATAATCCATACTAGTGAGTTTCACAAAGAAAAGGCAACACATGAGATAGGCCCACCAGTACTAAAGTGAGGAGTCCTCTTGCCTTCCTGGGAGCCCCCCGAGGCGCCTCAGAACTGTAGACGCCCAAATTTCGGCTCATCAAGAGCTCTCGGGCTTGTCGGGTGACATAGTCCTAGATTATTTGGTTCAGCAAGGAGGCAATGCACGTTCAGCTGGGGAATGTCAGACTGACACTGAATACTGCCACGTAGTGGAAGTTTTGAGCCTGGGACGCCATGGAAACTTCTGCAGAAGCAGCCCCTGGACCACGAGGAGCATGGAGAATATCGTGACGTAGCCTTTCAATTGCTTGCCTGACCGATAAGAGGCCATAAATCCCAACAACATATTGCCTTGGCAATGGTACCTGGTCATTTTGTTTTATTTTATTTTATTTTTAGCGTTTTTTTGGGGGAGAAGAAATAAGATTCTATGGTGTTTGAAGGATGATAATGTACAGTACATACATAGGCCAGTTGTTCACCAAGGTCAGCATACGACCCACCCAACTGAAAAATGGCATCGACCTCTGAGACGAACTCGTCGTTGATGGGCTCGTCATCAACAGTCAGATGCACTGTAGCTGGGGGCCATGCTCCCTGGGGGTCTGCCTCATTGCCAGTCGGTTGGACTGCTGTTGCTTGTCGAGTGCTCAAGGCAGTGGCCCGTGCTCTGCTTGGAACCCCAGGGAGATTGGCTAAATAAGGATCACAGGCACCTGTCAGTATCAGGTACAAGGATCATGTAGGTAGCAAAGATTCTCACCAGGTCTTGGTCTCGAGGCCCCACGGCCCGGCGCGGGAGCTGCTCTGGTAGAATCACCCCTTTGCGGGCCAGCAGGTAGTCGGCCACCAGCCCCATGGGTTCGGCGGACCGTCGGCCTGACAGGACCTGTCTGAGGTTCGCGGTTGGTTGACTGTGTTGTCACACGAGTGCGGGGGCCCGGGGTGTCCGGTGCAGGCGAGGGAGATTGGTCGCTCGTCCCATGGGAACGGTGGACCGTCGCCCTGTTTGCTCCAGTCTGAGATGCTCGATTGGACAACTGAGTCGTCGCACGCGTGCGGGGGCCAGGTGTGTTGGGCCCAGGAGAGTAGGATTCCTCGCTGCCACGATACTCGCTTGCGGAGTCTGAGGAAACAACAACGGACATGGTGACAAAAAAAAATTGGACCTTTGTTCACGTGTGTTTTCGGTTTTATTCTTTGTTTCACGAGTCCGTCGGTATGCCGTCCGGATAGCAAGACGGACGGTTGGAGCTCTTTGAACTAGACGCGAGCATGGAGGATGATAAAATCAAAAAGGGCTCCACTTAGCGCTATAGTGAAGAGAAAAATGATATCGAAACGAACCGGATGCACAAACCTGGGGATTTTCGTTGATGAACCGATGTCAAGGACTGTCTGAAGTACTCCAACCAAACCCGAGCTAGTAGGGAATCCGAACCCGAAAGTTATCCTACACGAACAACACGGGCGAATGTAAAAGGTTATCGACACCGGGCCCAGTCAGGAAACTGTGCGGCTTGCCAGGCTCGAGAGCAATCAGGTAGTATCAATCGACCTAGCGCGGCTATTGTCCGTCGCGAGTGGCTATCTGAGTATATCGTAAACGCAAAAAAAAGGTTTAAACGGATTTAGCAAGCGAGCGTGAGGGCCGGAAGAATAATAGTGTCGTTGATGAAACACTATTATTCTACCCAAAAGCTAAAGGGAAATTCAACCGGATATCAGAACGTACCCGAGTCCGAAAGCGGTCTGGATGGCCAGGCTCAAAAGCGAACACGGAGAATCAGTCGTCGTAGCAGAGCTATCGTGCGTCGCGAGTCTGAGGAAGAACGTAAACACAAAAAAAAAGGCTTAAAAACGAAAATTGAAAGGGGGAATGGATTGGATGGAGAGACTCAAGGACAGAAGGGACTTCGACCTCTGTCCTTGCGTAACGCTGTTAAGGTCGACTGCGCGAACCTTCCCAATTGGGTTGGTTGGCGCTGATCCTCCATTGTCCACCAGCAAGAGGCGGCGACTTGATCGAGGGGGATGCCCATTGAAACCATGGGTGAAATTAAATCACCCATGGTCGAGCATCCTTGGCCCATCGGAGCTGATCGGGCAACAGGCCGTGCCCTTGTGTAAGGGGACCAATGTCCAGCCTGTTGCCCTCGAGGCCTCTCTAATCGATGACAATCGATTTCCCTCCGCTCTCGATTACAATCCGGTCATGTCCGAATGCGACCTCCGACTCAATATCGGCCCTCGTTGAATCCTAGAGTCTGCAACAGTAAGTCAAAATCGCTTCACGGACTGGCCCAGTTGGCCCTGACCTGTGTGGTCATACCGAATACTGACTTCAAACCTTTGACACCGATGATACCGCAGGTCTTTAACCGCACTTCTACACAATCGGCCTTTCTCGGACCGACCGTCCGCTTGACCGGTCTTGAAGCGTAAGTCAAACAACACTTCAAACACTGGGCCAGTTGACCGTGAACGGTGTGGCGATACCGAAAACTAACATCATCGCCGTGATCCCGATGCAGCAGGAATCAGACCACGGGACGTGTGTATCCTTGGTTCATCAATCGGTCCTGCTACGACCTCGTCGCGGACTCTATCTACCCATTCATCATTTCCCTTTGTCTTCTCATCAATAGGTCTTGCTACAAGCTCGTCGCGGACTTCTATCTACCCCAACTTCCTCTCTCTTTGTCTTCTAAACCAAACAATTTCTTCATTGCTGGACTTTTGATGTGCTCATTTCTTCTACTTCCTTAACAAAACCAAGCTCCTTTCTTTAACTGTCTGCTTTGAGGGCCCTTTAGCTAAGGTAACTGTGCCACCTGCATCTTGTCCTTTATTCCTCAACCTACCATGATGACTAGATAGTTAAAAATGAAATCAACCTTTTTTTCTCATTTGAACAAGACAGTGATTCAGCACTGGTCCGGTGGCAACATCACATTTCAATTTCATCCATTCAGTGATTCTGCGCGTGTCCTGTGGGCAATACAGTAATTACACAGTACAGATAAGATACACAATGCCCCGGGGTATGGCCATCCAACCAGATGTGGAGCTAAACCCAGGTGAGCACATTTTCTTTGCAACCATCCCACACACCAACATTCATGTGAATATTCATTAATTTTTTTCTTCAGCTGTATGGATTAAGGTATCAGACGAGCCGCACGGTGGGACATGGTTGTGTTTGCTATGTGGGTCCAGGAAGATGGTATTCAGTTCCATTCGAAGACACATCAATTACCCAAAACATAAAGAATTAGAAAAAAATTTCTTGGAAAGCAGAGTTACCCACGTTGAGGATACAATCAATCATCCAGAGTCCCGCCCAAGCCCACATGAGAACGCAAATTCACCTGGTCTTGAGGTTGACGATCCTGCGCTGGACGTGTTGAATTATCAAACAACTCAATCATGGACCGCATGTGAGGATCTGGCCACCAATGGCAAAGACAATCATGAATTTCTGGATGCAGGGGAATCGAATACAGAGGACAACACATTCAGTGACAACGAGCTGGACTCGTGTGCAAGTGACCTTGACACATCATCTGATTTGTCCGATTTGAACTCAAACGATGAGGCCGACGGCGAGGATTTTGAGCTATCAGCAGAAGACCTGGATTTAATGCGCGAGCTGGGCAGGGCTGGTGATGGAGACTTAGCAAGTACCACACCTCGACCACATGTGGATAGGAGTTGGTGGCCCTTCCGGACAAAAGAAGTGTGTTTACAGTTAATTCCTGTTCATGATGCTTGCTTATTTTATCTCTTCTGTCAGTACATGATTGCTTCACTAGTCATTGGATACGCCCACGCAATTCTTTCGCAGAGCATCTACGACCGCATCCGCTCAATGTTTTCATTGGTACACGTCATCCTACCTGATTGGACAACAAACCGACGTGAGAAAAAAAAACACCGGGATTTGCTACAGATGGATGTGAACAAGTCTTACTCAATCCTGGGGAACCCAACGTACGCCCTGAGCATCCAGAAGATCCTCGCGCAGGAAGTTGGAAATCCTTTGGTCACACGGGCAATGGATTACTATCCCGAAGATGCGAGGGGCAAAAATATATTCAAGTTATCTCAATCCAAAAAATGGCTTGAGGATATGGACCCGGATTCCAGAGCCCCAATGGTTCGAACAACAAACGGAGATTTCTATCTATTCGAGCCGGTTCAACTCTCCAACAATTCCGTTGTCATTCCCATTTTTTTTTATAAAAGAGGTGAGGATTTGTGGTCAAAGTGTGTGAACCCAGCTTTTGAACCAGAATCCAACGGACACAACCTGCGAATCACTATACCTTGGCGTGTCAATTTCCACTCAGATATCGCTCACGAAATCAATATCTCTGAATTTTATTGTGCGTTTCCAAATATTGCTGGACCGGATGGACTCATGCTATCTCAACGATGTCAGGGTAGACTTTATGGTCAGTTGTTCTCTTTCTGCATATTTGAATGGCTATTCCACATTCACCTTGAAACTGATGTACCATTGCATCAATACATTAACAACAGAGTTGGGTGATCACATGACCGTGATACATTTACTGCCTAATCCATGGAGGAACCACGCGAAAGGAAGGATGATTCGACACATGCCCATCACCTTGTATTGTGATGACACCTCGGGAAATCAGTCAAAACGATGGAACAAACATGTCTCGTTTTATTTCACACTGTCTGGACTACCCCCAAACTGGAGCAACCAACAATATAACTGTCATTATCTCACCACATCAAATGTTGCAAATGCGATGGAGCTTGCTGGCCCAATCGTGGATGAAATGAAGTGCGGACAATCTCTGAAACATTTCCACTTGCTTTGTTTTTTTCCAAACTAATTTGTTTGCCAATGTACATATGTAGCCAATTGTCAACCACCGGAGCTGTCGCATGGGATGCTGGCTTAATGGAAGAGGTCCTGGTTACATCAAATGTCTTGTGCTTCCTGGGGGATTCCCCAATGCATGCTGAGGCAACAAGTACCCCAATACCTGCCAATTCACTCCACCCATGCCGCGCGTGTGATCTTTACTACATTGTGAATTTGGCCTCTTTGTCTTCAGTGGATGCTCACAGGGACTATTCAGGGGTACCGGTGGAGGCGGTTGACTGTAGGAAACAAATCAGAGGGGTGCATGAGGGATTGGCTCAATGGCATCTTGCAGGTACCAAAACTGGACCACCGGAGCCGCCTGTGGTTGTTGATCCTTCCCTGCTCTGAATTATTTGTTGTATCTCACTGGGCCAGTTTGAGGCCCCAAAGTGGCCCACCTGAGGGGCCAGGGCTTGTTCATACTGATGTGACTTATTTAGGGCCTGTATGTAGCATGAAAATTAAATTGTTCAAAATTTTCCAGGTTTTGTCTTCCTCAAATTCTCATGGAATCAAAGTTCACCATTGCCGAGGGCCAGTTATAAGCTCAGAAATGAAGAATTACAACGCCAGATCTCTACCCTTGTTTCATTAATTTTTGTACGATACCGGAAAAAATGATCATTTTTATAATATTTGTCATGTGGTGAAGCCCTTATTGTATTCCGCTTCCATTTGTGGCTAAAGTTGTACAAACAGTTATACTTTGCTTGATTGTTCTAATTTTTGGGCCATTATGGGGATGACTGTTGTCCCCCTGTCAAGTGTTGAAGCTGGTTAGGCTTCTGGAACACAGGGTAAACTCATGGGGAGACTCAGATGCCGTGCCCCCCCACGTGGGAATGGCTAAGTGACGGTTGAGTCAGTGTGGGACGTGAGATGGACGCCGGGGGGGGCAGTGATGAACTGGGGACAGCTCAGGGGCAATGACGTCCCTGGGCTGCAATGAATTTTGTGAGTTGGACGTCACAGGGATGCCCGGCAGGGACAATAATGTCCTGGGGATGTTGTCCTGGCCCAGGGACGTCTCAGGTACAATGGCATCCCTGGGCCGCGCTAGTTTTTGTGAATTGTGATGTCCTGGGGACAGCATCCCGTCCCAGGGACGTCTCAGGTGCGATGGCATCCCTGGGATGCACTGATTTTTCTGGAGTGCCCTGGGTGTGTAGTAAATTTGTTGCGCAGTCCGCTCGATAGCCTGTAGCCCTGAGACGCGCCGCGACGCGTGCTCATCAGGTTCAGCTCCACCAACAAACTTGTACCACCACTGCCTCGTCTTCAAGCTTCAACCAGAGTGACCTCCTCATCATGTCGAACTCGGAGGACCCATCCAGCTCTCAAGGGGCAGCAACGATTCGTGGTATGCACTCCGTCTGACCTAGCTCCCTCCCTTCGTCAATAGGCTTTGAAGAACGCTTACCAATCTGACAGAACTTCGGTCTCTATCTGTGTAGCAATTGATTCACATTCGGTCCAGAAAATCACTTCGAGTCAGGTCGTCGTCGATCTACAGACGGCGGTCAAAGAATTAGTCGAAAACAGTCTCGACGCAGGTGCGACGATTATTGGTGAGCAACGCAATTGATAACTTATGTGGGTAGACTTGTTTTTCTGAATTGGTTCTTCACTCTTGGGTATCATTCAAGACGTCAAGTTCAAAAACTACGGACTAGAATCCTTCGAAGTTTCAGATAACGGGACCGGGATACGAGAACAAGATTTAGACACCGTCGGTATATCGCAAATAACTTATTCGATGATCTGATTATCAAACTCATTTTTCCTGCATCTTGGGATCAACCCCACCGGCCTCCTCTCGTGGCAATGACAATTCATTAATATTCTAGGGTTGAACCATCACACATCCAAAATTTCAAGCTTTGATGATCTGGCGCAAGTCAAGACTTTTGGGTTTAGAGGGGAGGCTCTCAGTAGTTTGTGCGCACTTGCCAAAGTCAGTGGCTCACTTGCCATTTTTTTTTTTTTCACTTTTCCAAAACATTTGCTTACGGATCATCGATTCGTTCCTGGGTTCTCGCAGGTCACAGTCCAATCGGCTACAGCTGCAACTGAACCAAGAGGATGGATCTTAGAATTCGATAAAATGGGAAAAGTGACTTCCAAAAAGACCTGTTCGCGGCCTGTGGGTATTGTTTCGATCTGATCTGCTTGAGCATAATACGTGTGGGAAGACAACTGACGATCCATGGTTTTTGAAATTGCTACATCATATTCCGATTGTTTCGCATCCCTCAATAGAAAGGAACAACGGTCAATGTTCAGTCTTTGTTTCACAACTTACCCGTCAGACGAAAACAGTTTTCTAAGGATTTTAAAAAGCATTTCGCGCACGCTCAAACCTGGCTGCAAGCATATGGCCTAATATCTACGAATCTCTCTCTCAACGTCTCCAATCATCCAGCCAAAGGGTATTGTCACTCAATTTTTCGTGAAGTAAGGATTCAGAATCTGACGGATCAAACCGCTGATTTTTTAGAATCAAGACGTTCCAATTCCAGACGAAGTGCAACAGTCAAATCAAGCAAAACTTTTCCAATATCTTCACCCCTAAGGCTTGTAATATGATGGTTGATCTTGAACTCAGGTTCAAAGTTAAGCCAGATCGTACGGTGCTTCGAGCGCTAGGGCTACCCATAGATTCCACCTCTGAAGAGTAAGCTTACGCGGTTTCCCCCTGTGTTGGTTTACTCAAGGAGTAATGGAAAATGTTTATTGAACTCTTCTTACTGATCCAGTCTAGGGACAACAGTTTTGGTGAAAGGTTTAATGTCTCGCCCTGCGCATGGTCAAGGTCGAAACTCACCTGATCGCCAGTTCTATTACATCAACGGACGACCCTTCACGCCATCTAAAGTGAGCACGCCGTTTGCCTGAGATTCTCGCCATTCCATCATCATTATGTAGCCTAAATTGAGTGCGCCGCTCACAGATTTCGAAATGCGTCAACGAAGTCTACAAGCAATTCAACACCAATCAATACCCTGTACTCCTGGCAAACTTCATCTTACCCTCAGACTCTTACGATCTCAACATAGATCCAAACAAGCGCTCTATTTTCCTCCATAGCGAAGGCAATCTGATTGAAGCTTTGCGGGTGCGAGTTCTGAATTCTCTGATGAATCGACCTATGCGCGTATTAGCTCACATTACATCCTCGGCCATAGGAAGCTCTGGATTCTTTCTGTCAACCTTACCGGTCGACGTTCTCTGCTTCCCAGCTCACCTCTATCTCAGATAGTTTTCTCTCACCCTCTCTCAAAATGACACTCACTCAACCCACTTCATCAAAGCGCAAGACCTCGGCTGTGCAAACCGTTGCTGATCAAGATCAACACGATCAAAGCGAGATCGGATCTCAACCCTGTGATAGTTTGGATTCGTTGAATCACAAAAGGCCCAGACTCGATGAAACAGCAATGTCCTCTCAAAACGTCACCATAGACAATTTTCCCTCTGAAGTTACCGAGGGGAAAGACACTCTTTGCAAGGCGATATCTCCTTCTCCACCTCACGAAACCTTTCTGGACAAGTCACCGTCCCATCACTCTAGTGAAACTTCAGATCATGAATCAATCGTCAAGGCGTCTGAGATTATCGCGATCCCACTCACCGCAACTGAAAACTCGCCGGAACCTACTCCACGCAAGAACCCTGATCGTGAGGCTGATTCTATCGAGTCGCACAATCCTTCGACCTCGGAATTTTCACTCGATAAACCAGATTGGGTCCCCAGTATCTTGAGGGATCCAACTGCTGAAACCCCTCGGAAAATGGTTCAAATGACTCTATCGACATCGGGAGCCAGCTGGAATACGAAAGACAGAACTACTCATCCCACCAAATTGAGTTCGTCTCATAAGAGAAAGCCGGTCAGCAGCTCAGAGCGCATGAGGAGCAACATCCAGCGTTTCACGCTAGGCGGGCCCGTCAAGCCTGTGCAACTCCCAAGCGACAAGGAGGATGAAGACGATGAGCTGATGTCTGAAGATGATCAACTTTCTCAGTCCAATATACAGGATGAATTGGAAAATGTGACTCAAGAACAACGGAATACAGAAGATCACTCGAGTCCTCAGCCTCTGGAACCAATCAAGATATCTGATGAACTTCCTGAAGAAGAGGAGCCAATGCACTTAGCCTCTTCCCCCACCAATCTCGCCGTCGATCTCCCCAGCTCTAATCTTCACATGGCGCGGCCAGGTCAGAAGCCGGTTGTGGTCTTGGTGAAACCTCAGTCAACTTACAGTCACACGCGACGTGTCGTACGGGAGAAAGAAATCATTCCTTCCAGGGATCCTGCTGTTGTCAACCTATCGGTTCAACTGGAAGACATTACAAAGGTATGGGAAGCTTGTAAACACCACCAGTCAACCATCGGCACGAAAGCGAAGACCTGCAGTGATAGTGAACTTGAAGGGGCTGGCTTGAATCAAACTGAAACGGAGGCTGAAACGACCTTGAGCCGAAACGTGCAGAAAGCCGACTTCGAACATATGGAAATCATTGGCCAGTTCAACCTCGGCTTCATCATTGTTCGTCGAATAGATGAAAAACATTCAACAGATGATTTGTTCATCGTTGATCAGCACGCTAGCGATGAAAAGTTTAACTTTGAAAAACTGCAGAGGGAAACAAAACTGACCGGCCAAAGGCTTTTAATGTACGACCCAAGTTCTCTGTGTCGCGGTAAATCTGATGCTAACAGACTGATGAATTGAGCAGCCCCAAGATGTTAGATTTGACAGCAGCAGAAGAGATAACAGTGATGGATAATTTGGATATATTAGAGCTCAATGGGTTTAGTGTCCAGGTTGATGAGTCTGCGAAAGTAGGTGAACGGGTAAAATTGCTTGCCCAGCCAGTCTCAGGAAACACCAGCTGGGACGTTTCAGGTACGAATCCTCATAAAAGTTTCAGTAGAGATCAAATGGCTGACAAAGGCGCTGGCGAGTAGATCTAGGGGAACTTCTCCACTTGATCACCGAGCGCGGATCCAATGAGGTCGTTCGACCCAGTAAGACTAGACGGATGATGGCATCCAGGGCGTGCCGTATGAGCACGATGATCGGAGACAGCCTCACTGTAAAGCAAATGGCCCGAATCGTCAGTCAGATGGGAACAATGGACCAGCCGTGGGTAAGACGCATTTGTCTCTCTCTCTCATGGGCGTTATTGCTCTTTTACCGGGGAAATTTTTGAGAGCTAATCTTGCTCGAATATTAGGCTTGTCCCCATGGCAGACCAACAATGCGTTGGGTGAGTATCCAGCTTGATCTCAAGAACCTGCTAAAAATATCCTCGGTTTCTGTCGAGTCACTTGGCTGATTTCCAATTGGCTTTGATCTGTCTCTCATCTCAGTTAGCTCGATGTGATGAGAATCACAAACCGTTCGATCCTAGATACCGCATCTCCAACTGGATCACTGACAAGCTGAATTTCTGAAATTGATCGTTTTTGTGTATCGTCAATCGATTTGTGATCAATTTGTATGTCGACTTTTTTTGGATAAAGAATTGTAACTCAAAAGTTGAAACATTATAGTGTATTGTGTGGTAGTCACCCAGAATAATCGTCGATGCAATAGCTGCTATTCTTTTTTGAATTTGGTTATCCAAGACAAATAAACTGACTGCTCGTATCCTTGGTTATTTGAAGGTCAAAATAACCAGCAAAAATTGGAATGCATTAACATTCATCTTGTTCTGGATAATCACACCCACTTTCAAATCCATGGATACACTTAACAAATAAATATTGGCTGTTATTGCAGTGAAGTGCAGTGACCCAGGGTTAAGGGCTCCCATCCACAATGCCCTATTACTATGCACGTTGGTCAATTTTTGCCACATTGGTTTCGATTGCAGAAGTTTGAACAACAAACGGTGCAGTGGTACAAAATGGATTCCCCCCCCCCCCCAAAAATGATGATGAAAAGAAAACAAAAATGTGAAAAATGTTTGGCATCACGTCGTTTGAAAAATATTTCCATGATTGATTATCTTTTTTGGAGATTTCAAAATTAGAAAAGTACATATCACAGGTGGGTTTGTCATGATGATGTTAGCGAGGCATTGTATCCAAACAAAAAAGTTGAAGGCTTGAAGAGTTAGACCTGCAAGTCTATCTGATTAATTTCTTTGGCCAACAACCAAAACCTCAACAGAGAGTAAGCAAACAAATAAGATCAGGCAGAATTAAATTACAAGTCTAACAAACAGCTCACACAGATTCAGCGATATTGCACGAGTCATTGAGTCTTGACTGTCGGGACTTCTCTGCAAGTCAGTCTGAACGCTGAAGGAAATCCAACTCGCATTGACCGGTCAGCTGAACCCGATTTCCTCAAATTTATGTATGTATGTTCACTGTCTCCGTCCTCAGCAGCCTGCTTGGATTCTGATAACGCTTTCGAATACTTCTGGTTATGATTATCACCAGTTGAAAGCTTTCTAGTCTCGATCGTTCACCTGGAAACGTCCAACTTGGCCCGACAGACCAGCCGAGATGGCTCCACTTTTTCCGTCCTCAAACCTCAACAAGAAACCGAAGCAGAAACCCCTGAATTACTTGTTCTACCAGCAGCATCAACTCTATCGTCCAGTCGATCTCGGCAGGTCTGGTTTGTTTGGTCCCAATCGGAAGACCACCTTACAGCCCAAACCAACCGCACCGTCCACTCAACCATCTCTGCCAACCGCGTCAGGCTCAAGACCATCTCATTCTGAAGAACGCGACAAGACCAATAGCGATCATCCCCCAGAGCTAGCACAAATTGATGACGATGACTCGAGAAGTACGGACTCAGACCCCGAAATAATCTCGCAGCTACTCGTCCCGCGCCAGACTCATTCAGGAGCCCCTGAGACATCGACCAAAGCTGTGAATCACCTTGATCCGCGTCTAACCAATCCACAACTACCTGATTCATCCTCAGATTTGAATTCCAGAATCACACCGGATGATGCGCGAGATAGCTCTGGATATGAGAAGGTGCTTTCACCACAGCCTCCAGCAAAACAAGAGGAAGACGAAGTCGATGAGCTTGAAGAAGATCCGACAGCTGATGATGAAGTTGATCAATTGGAAGAACCATATGAAGCTCATTCGAATGATCAAGACCCCGATCTTACCGATGATAGGTTGAGTCACCATTCTCTATGCGAGAAGGTTGTGGATCCAATAGCCGAACTATCTAGTCAGCATAGAACAAGCAGAGAACAAACCAATGATCCCTCGAACCCTGAAAATGGCGACTATGTAGAAAATCCGAACACTCAGGATCCAAGCCAGCCAAAGCCTCAAGGAAGAAAAACACCTGGTCCAGCCTGTGATCCATCAAGCGACACAGCACCACCAAGAATTGAACTAATCATCATTGATTCGGATCGAGAAAGCGCCGACATGGACGTGGAAACAATGAAAGCGCTACCTCCCATGGAAGCGGTCCTGAATTCTGACATTCCATCAAAGCTGGAGAGGTCAACTCCCAAAGAAAACGTCCGATTTGATGATCCCCCAATCCCTCACAGTGAAAATCATGCGGAGAATTCAGGCGCTCCGGAGTCTAACCAGAAAACGCTTGAAAGAAGAAAGCCTCCTGAACCGGTCTTTGAGTCCTCAAGTAATGCACAAGCAGACGAACCAATCATTATTGATTCCGATGGAGACAGTGTCGACAAGGACGTCAACACAAATAGATCGATACCTCACCTTGAAAAAACCAACGATCCCGTGATTACGCCCAAGGAGAACGTCCAATCCGAGGATCGCTTGGACCCTCAAAATGAAAGCCGTGAAGAGAATTTGAGCAGTCAGGCTTCTAGTCAGCCGAAGCTCAAAGGAAGAAGAAGAAAAGTCTCCAAGGCAGTCTGGGATTCATCCAGTGAAACAGAGCCGCAAACGTCTAGACCGACCATCATCGATTCCGATCAAGAAAGCGTCAGCAAGGAAGTCGACCCGGTTAGAGCGGTCCCTCCCATCAAAACCGTCCCCAATCCCGTCCTTACACCAAAGCCGGATAGATCAGCTCTCAAGGAGAACAACAACTCGACGACGCTTGGAGCAATGCCTCGCAATCCAGCTGCTATGAACAACGAATTCGACCCAGATAACTTGCTCGGTTGGGATAACCTCACCTTGGAAGAGGCCACCAGGTTGCTCAACCAATTAGACTCTGGGAGGTTTGTCTTGAATAGATATGCAGATTGAAATCATCGCCCAACCGTCGAAAGATATCTCCCCAAAACCCGTACCAAAAATTCCAACCACATCTGTTAACAGCCTCATTGTGATTATCTATTTCTTCAAAAAATAAAGCAGGGATGTGACTTATGATTGTGTATCTTCTTATATCTATTATATATAACCTGCAATACATGTGTACACTGTTAAATGATCTATCTTGTTCTCTTTCACAAATAGCAATGGCTTCAACTGACTAGATATTGTTTGACTGACTGTTAGACACTTGTGTTTAAATAAAAATTTCAAACTTGTGAACTGTCTAGCAAATCACATAATTGGTTTTAGGATTTGTTATCAATAAAAATGCAAAAACTCCATTGTGAAGATCTTCAGGCTCTCCAGACTGTGTTTTATGGATTGACATTTATTCAAGACAGCAAAAAGTTGAAAACCCAGTTGGCCTCCAAGTGCTGGATCTGAATCTGATATTGAGGATGGGCTGGGATCCAATACTAAGGAAGTTTGAGAAGGCTTGTGGGTCATTGTCCAGCCCCTGGTCACTGCAGTCAGAAACTTGCCTGGAACAGAAATCTTGACCCACCAAATACTTATCTAGATTACAACTATCGTTGTAGCTGACTTCAGACATGCACCAGTGGATTTATACCTTCGTAGCATGAACCATATATGTACTCTCAAGTTAGATCAATAGACATAGCTTGGTGAACATGAAATAGGACCCCAGAAAGCCCCCTAATAGGGGGTTGAAAAAGGTATGTGATAATGGCAAAAATGGCAAAATCATACTCTTGAAATGGGTACAAATTTGTGTTTTTTTTTTTCTTTTCAAAATGGTACTCATGAAAAAGGCCAGTTGTATTTGTAGGAGTGCAAATCCTGCTTGATCCAAATTATGTGGAGTGCACTGAGCTTCACTCCCACAAGTTGGAGTGTTTTCTTGGACCCCCCCCCCCGGCTGACATCACACACCATTCATGGCATTCACCTTAATAAGATGTTATTTTGGAATTTTGGAAAGCCATGAGGGCCTGGTCAACAGACATAAAGAGAATTGTTTGAGGGGCTTGGAAAAACAACTCCCAAAAATCAGTCAATGACTCCCAAGGACCGTCCACGGACGTCCATTGGGAGTTGTCTTCTAATTTGGGGGTCGCTTTTGGGAGTCATCCCCCCCTTTTTTTGAGTATTTGGGAGTTGGCTGCCCAAACTGCCCCTCATGCATGGGGGGTTTGGGAGTTGTTCCCACCTGACCGGAAGGAATTCCTTCCGGTCAATAAGATATTTGCACCTCATCAACCAGAAGGAATCCCTTCCGGTTGGTGAGTTCTTTGCACCTCATCAATGGGAAGGGATCCCTTCCAATTGATGAGGTATTTGCACCTCATTCACGGGAAGGGATTCTTTCTTGTTGATGAGGTATATGCACCTCATCAATAAGTAGAGATCCCCTCCAATCCATAAGATGCAAAGACCACATGGATCAGAAGGGGTTCCTTCTGATTGGTGAAGTATTTACTATTTATCAACTGGAAGGAATGTCTTCCAATCAATGAGGTGCAAATACCTCATTGACAGGAAGGAATCCAAATAGCTCATCAATTGGAAGGGATTTCCAATCAATGAGGTGCAAAGACCTCATCAACCAGAAGGAATCCCTTCTGGTTGATGAGGTGCAAAGACTTCATCAACTAGAAGGGATTCCTTCCCGTCAATGAGGTGCAAATACCTCATCAATTGGAAGGAATCTCTTCTGATTGATGAGGTATCTGCACTTCATTGACTGAAAGGAATTAGTCCAGTCAATGAGGTGCATGATCTGTCACACTTTGCCAAGCTTCAAGAATCCACTTGGAAGCATATTAAGCACACATTCATGCACATCATGGCCTGTTGTATCATACTCCATAATATGATTGTAGAGGATCAATCTCCAGACAACCTCTTTTTAACAGACATCACATCTTCAGCTCACATTATTCCCAACCACACTGATCCTGACTTGGCTCATACATTTTCAATCAGTTGAACCAGAATCTACATAATTCCTTCATGCATGCTCTAAAAAGAAGACCTCAAAATCTACAACTGGCTACTCTGAGGTGGAGGTGATGAGGCTGCTTAACAGTCTTTGATCAGAGCAATTCATATTGTTGAATTGTTATCTCAATTTTCCGTTTTCTTCAATACATACATCTACCAATACTAGCAACGAAGCAAGATTGGCTCAGAAACTCATGAAATGTGACCTGTCAAATGGATCAATAGGCTCAATTGGTCTTACTGGCTCAAAAAGTGGTGAGGTAACAAATAGCTGCTCTTCAACCATCATTGCTTTGAAGCTTCTCAATAAAAAACAGAGTGATTTGTTGGTTGAGTTTGGTATGTTACAGTATATGTAGCCTCGGTGAAGGACTGCTTCATGTGTTGTTTGATGATTTGAATGTTTAAGATTGACTACATTACATACCTGTGACACATGGCCTGTGGTGGTGCTACATGATCTGTCACAGCTTGGCCTCCCCTCCCCGGCCCGACTCATAACGTGGAACTTGGGCCTTTCGTCAGCCAACACTGCAACAAACACCTCATCAACAATTTCGGCATCACTCCTCCCTCTCCCCCAGCAGAGTAGGACTACATATATCCCAAGTTAGTCTGGTTTCCAAGACCTTCTACATTCACAGTTACTCATTCTTTCTGTCTGACGAAGGAATCCAAAAAACAAACACAAAATGCCACCAGCTTTCTCACCGCACAATCCGACTGCCCATCTAAAAAGCGAATCCCATGAAGGTGGTGGTGGCGGCTGCTGTGGTGGTCATGGAGTCCCAAAAGTCGAGCTTCCAGACCCAACACCGCTAGATGAATTGATCACGATCCATAACCTCTCAGTTGATCCGGAGACTCATCAGGTATCCCTCTCGAGCAAGTCATCTGCGAGTACTCAGAAACCAACCGAACAAAAACTGCTTCAAGATACCCTTTCGATCATCAATGACTTATCCCAATACTTGTCTCGAGCACCCTTCCCACACTGTCCCCCGCCCCCACAGATGGTCCAAAACAACCCCCGATCCGCCCAAATTACCGCCCTGAAGGAAGAAGGAAACGCAGCGTTCAAGGCCAACGATTTTAATAAGGCGATCGAATTATATACCGTTGCCGCCAACGCAGCATCCACCCGACCATTGTTTGAACCTTCGGTTTGGATCCGTGAAGAACTTGCGGTGGTCTTGTGCAATCGGGCTGCCGCTTACTCTTCCGCTAAGATGTGGGTTGAAGCCTTATGCGACGCCGAAGTCGTCATCCAACTCAAAAGGAACTGGAACAAGGGTCACTTCCGTAAAGTCAAAGCGTTGCAAGGTCTAGGTCACATCGAAGAGGCTAAGGACGCTGCTCTCCTCGGATTAGAGTTTGAACCCGATAATTCTGTACGTATTTTACCTTCTTCTTTTCGTCAAAAACTCATCCTTAAAACTCTACTTGATACTGATTTTTTTTTCTTTTCATTTTGTGTTTGGGTTATCCAGGATCTTCAAGCAGCTTATCAAGAACTCCAAGCTTGATATTTCACACGCCGATTTCTACTGTCTCTCTATTTGCCCTTCGCGTTATATTTATGAATCTTCTTTCTTTGATCAAATATAGAAAAAAAATCTTCAGTTTAAGCCTATTAAATTTCACCCGATTCCACCCATCTTGTCTTTGTGTCATTCAAGGATGCATTTGATCCCAGCATTTCTCTCTTAATTTGTGTCTTGGTTTTCTTTTAAAGAAAGGAACCCTGTGGAACTTTGAGGAAAGAGATTGAAAAGTCATAACAAGTGCTACAGCCTTTGTGGACCTATGCACCCATCAAGCTAATCATGTATCTTGCATGGAAGAGCTGGCAGTTCTACTAAGTGAAGTGACTCCTTCAATATGACTGAGACTTATTCATGAACTCAACCGCAGAAGCATGCCTCCTCCTGATTGTACTGGAGAGCAGTCTAGGTGATCTGTGTGAGATATCAATTCCATCCTCAGCTAACTGACAGAAGGTGCTGGAAGGAGTCAAGTTTGATGGATTCTTCAGAAGGCGGTGAGCCAGTGCAGATGTTGACTGTAGGAAAATATTTCAGGTGGTCATGATGAAAGGTTTCCAAGTTTAAGGAGAACTAAACACTACAAACAATACCAGTTTCGCCCCAGGAAAAAATGGCAATTTGAGTGGGGAAAATTGTTCAATTTCCTGAGGCTTTTTTTACAAAATGACTCAGGAGTAAAAATCAGGCTAAAATGAGCTATTTTAGCCCAAAAATAAAAATGCCTCAAACTTTCCAAAATTAATTTTTAGCTCATTTGAGGCATTTTTATTTTTTGGCTAAAATAGCTCATTTTAGCTTAATTTTTACTCCTGAGTCATTTTGTAAAAAAATGCTCAGGAAAGTGACCTATTTTCCACCAACCAAATTGCCATTTTTCCTGGGGCAAAATCGGTATTGTTTGTAGTGTAAATAGGAATGACTTACAAGACTCAGGTCCTGGTCTGTTTGCTTACTGTTGCCTGTCACTTTGTATTTGTAGAAAGGCAATTTTACCACATTCTATGTTGACAGCCTCAAGTAGCATCCAATCAGTTCAAAAACCTCTTGTCCAGAAGAACAGATTCATGCATGGAGTCAAGGAATAATGAATATTATTGATTCAATACACTGTGAGGTAGAGTAAGATTTGTATTGTCAAAGATTCAGTCACAAGATGGACATCTGGTTCTTTGATTGTAAATAAGCTAGAATGATAGTGTAGAAAGAGACTGGTGGAATTTTGGGGTACATGAATGAGTGGCATTAAGTGAGAATTACAGAGGCACAATCTAGGGAACTTGATGGGTGGTGGTAGGACCCATGAATCCCCCTATATAGGTGGGTAACCAAAAATCCCTGATTTTGAAAAAATTCATACATATTTGGAAGCCATTCATACCACTTTCGTTTGTATGCTGAGAGGAAAATCCACCAGAAAAGTGAGAAAATTGCCCCCAAAAATTCGGGGATGTGTCAGTTAGGCAGGCTTTCCTCAAGATTGAGCCTAAATTCATACATTTTGAACCATTTTTGTGCGTACCATGTCAGGTTTTTGAGTGGCTTCATACCACTTTCGTTCGTATGATTTCGGGATTTTCCCCAAAAATTCATGCATTTTGGTTACCCATAGAGGGGGTTTCCTGGGTCCTGTGGTGGTAGGAGTCTAAGTATTCCGGCAAAGCTTAATAATTAACTTGTTACCACCATCATGGTCATGTCACTCACAATCATTCTCCATAGATTATGAAATGACTTTGGTTTACTCCAGGCCCACCAGTAGATGACCAAGGTGCAAGGTCCTGCAGTATGAGTACACCAATGGTAAGTAGCATGGATGTCACACATATTTACACAACCCATGTCACGCGTCCGCAACCAGTTTGCGGCCATATCACCAAGCCTTTGGAAAGCAAACAAAACAAAATGGAAAACATGAACCAAACAGGAACGGAGAACGCTTCGTCGTCTAATGAAGCTGTCCAGGATCTGTACGCTGAACCCAAGTTTATAAAAAAGAAGGTACGGTTCTGTTCTTTTTCCAGGGAAGAAGAGGACACTTTCCAAAAAAAAAAAAACTTCACAGTTCACTCTGTTACACACTGGCTGACTGATACTGTACTTCTGATTTTCTCTCGTATGGGCTGACTGCGGACGGGTAAAATAAAATAAAAAATGGGTTTCGAATGGGATGATTGTTATAGAGGAAGAAAGAAGTAAACGAAGGGATCGAGAATCCGGTATGGAATTCATCGACTGGTTCGTTACCGGTCAAGGAAATCATCTCGACAATCGTACCGGAGCACATACCTCATCTGGAGAAGAACTACCAAAGTAAAGTCAACGGTCGACATCTTGCCTTACATCCAACCAAACGAACTCAATCGGTGACCTAGCTTTCTCAACCTGAAAACACACACACACAGTTTTGATCGTTCAAGTGGAGAAGAACAGGAGAAAACCTGACGATGGGTTTGATTGCTTTTATGTTTTCTAGCGTAGAAATCAATTCTCCGGGATGAAGTCAAAGAGGAGATCCGCAACCAACAGACAGGTTCAATTCCTTGAACTAGAAAAATTGATTGAAGCAGAGCAGAAACGATACCGGTACATATATACACATTTAATTCAGTTAAAAAAAAAAACGTAGCCTTCCAGAATGATGGCTCGATTTGGGGATTCTGACTGATAGATAACACCCGTTAAAACAGGTATCAAGACTTTGTACCATTACATCAACTATGGCTGGGGTACATGGCCGAGCTATTGGAACTTCGCTTGAAGAGTCTAGACGATCAGAACAACATCCCAACGCTTCCAACCGAAGGTCCGCTATCTCGATCGGAAAAGTTCGCCGGAATGCCTGCGATCTCGGCCATCCAATCCAAACTACTCAAGGCGGATTATCATGGGGCCCACTTGAGCGGTAACCTCTCACCCTCTTGTTTTCCCTGAAACTCGGCTTCTTTGTTGATTTCCATCGTCTGTGCAAAAAAAAAAAAAAAAAAAAAAAATCCATTCAGTTCACAAAGCTAAGAATCCGTCTCTAGTCGACTTGCAAGGCATCGTCATCCAAGAATCCGAACAAACTTTCAAATTGATACAAGCCGACAACCGAATCAAAGGTCAGTCTGTTCCTTTCTTTCACTTAGTTCAATCACATTTTCCCTTCAGCTTATAATTGATTTAACCGTTGCCTCCTTCAACATTTGCGATTTCTTTCCTACCCAAATAGTAATTCCCAAAGCTCACACTATCTTCGAACTCTCATTACCCTTGCTTCAAGCACCCACGAAGGTGACCGGACCAAGTGAGAACAACAAGAGTGGTGACTCAAGCTTCCTAGTATTCAAGATCTTCGGAAACCAATTCATCTTTCGTCCCTCTGAACGCATCAACAAAAAATTCAAATCAAAAGCTTGCTCTCAATTGTGATTCTTCTTCCGCCTTCTTTGTAGATCGAATCATATCTGTTTTTTTTGTATGCTATCATTATGACACTTGACTAACAACCTTGATCGCACAGTCTGTTTCAAAAATAAAAGAGAGAATTGACTACGTAGTTTTAGTCGTGGCAATTGCGAAGCAAGGAAAGCCAAAAATACAGGGCCTCATCGGGAATTGAACCCGAGACCTCTCCCAGCCTTGAGGTATTTCAAATTCCGGAATCTTGCGAGACTGGGACACCCAAAGGGAGAATCATACGACTAGACCATAAGGCCTTGAGCCTTGCTCAGTGAGTTGTCGATCCGATGCGCAGCGTAGGTTGCGCAGCCACTGCGGTCACCAAAAGCAGTGACAGCTTTTTATTGACAGCTTTTTATCTTTATGTTTATGCTACTGATACTGCATTTGCATCTTGTGATCAGAGAATTTGACACCTATGGGTTTCACCAAAGTTTTAAGTGCAGTCATCACATTGGCTGCAGTAGCCAAACCCTGAGGTCCTCAGATTTGTCCTGATGTTGCTAGGCTGAGTATAAACAGAAACACCCAAATGGGAGCAACAAGTTGCCGTGAGGTCCTGCCCCTGGTCCCCGGTCGGACCCGGTGGAGCTTGAGCTTGAGGAAAACAGTCTGAGCCAGACGGACGAGAGAGAAAAATCCCAGGATGAAGAAGATATCAAGACGATGGTAATGTATTAATCACACACTTCATAGACGTTGGAGATGAGATTAGGCTAACAATTTGACGCGATCGATGCCAGTTAGCCAGAGATGATGGCTGTTCAGAGCACCCCACCCAGTTCTTCGATGTCGACAGCCAAGCCGGGGACGACAGAGGGAGCGGGGCCGTCGCAGCCGAGGCCAAGCACAACGATGCCGACGATAACGAGCATGGCTGGGCCGCCGGAGGTTGAATCGACGATCCAGCGGCTCTCCGTACACCGGAACGTCCGCGGAGTGATCATCCTCAATCGCGACAGCGTCCTCATCCGCTCCTCCGGCCAGGTCTTCCAATCCAGGGCAGTGACGGCGTCATCGTGCTTTGTAGGTACGCTTCGGAGGCCAGGAAAATCGTCGACGCCGTCGGGAGCTCCGTCGATCGCATGGAACTCGACGTTTGTCCCCCCCCCCCCCCCCTTCCCTTCTTCCTTTCACTTTTTTCTTTTCTCTCTCTCTTTCTCTCTCTCTGAATCCTTTGCACCTTATCTGACTTTTTTGTACTCTTTCTCCAGGATCAATCAAGGTTTCTCAGAATCAGGACTCAACAGCACGAATTGCTCATCACCCCTGGTTTGAGCCGGCTTATTTATCATCAGAAAGGAAAGAATGTTGATCCTGAGAATTGCTCTAATCCTTTTAAATGGCCGCATAGATTCCAAATTGACCCTGGTCGTCATTCAGGATCCGACAAAATGAATTCCTCCATTATCTCTTCATTGATAGCTTGATTCTTTATATTCCCCAAAAAGTGAGTTGATCTGCGCTCTCTTTTTCTCATCATTGTCCTTTTGTTTTTGATAGAAAAGGAATGTGAATGCTAAGGAATGGGGGGTCGTACCTTTTATTTGTAGTTGCAAGAGACAGCCAAGATAAACGCTGGAAAATTCATCCACACGCAGAGGCATTAATCTGGGTTGAGATGGAATGGGCAGTGATCTCAGCGACGGTTGTTTTAAGGAGGGAATTTGTCGACTGGTATTGGCTTCCATGTGATTGAGCGTCTCTTCCCCTCTTTGTGGAATAAAGCGGTTCTTGTGCATATAGATGACATGCATGTATTCTATCAAACCTAAAAATTAAATTCAATTATGTAAGTGCATTTCTTTTGGATTTCTTTCCGAACTCCATCACACCAACATCCTACTTTCTCTTATGATTTCATTTTAGTTCATTGTCTCTAGATCAGTTTCCTTCCACAAAATTAGTATCTATCATCAATTATGGTTGCTTTTCTTCTATTCTCTTCTCCTACTTTCCCTTTTCTTCTTTTTCCTTTATTATTATCTGTACACACGCTATCTGGTGTCACACGTATCTAGTTATGCCGCATCTTCCATGGCGTTATATTTCTTTTTTTTATCTGGGTGGGGGTGGCTTCCAGCTGAATGAGATGGGAGAGCCCATCGCGACCTTTGGTTGTTACCCTCACCCTTTCATCAAATCAACAAATTCAACATCTTCAGCGAGCGTTACTGCTTCGAATCGATCAATTTTTTTGGACCAATACGATATGCCAACCAACCAGTGATCTTCAATCTCATATCGACAACAAGGATCCAGCCACTCTGCCTTACTTCGTCCAATTTAATCGTGAGATAATTTGGGCTATCAACCAACAGGCAACAAAACTCATCTGTTTTTTTTATCATGAAATTAACCAATAACCCCTAATATTTATTTTATAGATATCAAGTCGAACTTCATAACCATCCATGTCAACTTATCCAGTCTCACCGTGCCCAGTCGATCCAAAAAACGCTGGTCGGTTATGGATTCCGTCTTTCGCACCCACAACAGTAGTAGCAGTATTCGTTTGATACGCTTTTAACACTTCAGGAAACACACACAGACATACTACGACACCCATCAGATGGCCAAGAAAAGAAGAACGTCCTCCGTCAGCGGCGAACCGTCCACGCACGCCGAATTGCCGACCAACAAACCCAAGAAAATCAAATGGTCTGAGGATCAAGTCAAGACTAAAAATTCGAAGGATGGCAACAAACTCAAGAAGGAGCGCTCACCGGATAAGAAGAAGACCTTGCCTTGGAAGGATCCAAAGAAGAAAGAGCCCGCAACAGAGCCGGACCAGAGAAAGTTCAATAAACCCAAAAACCAACCCTCCGACCCTCCACGACTCCCAACTTCGACTGCAGACGAGATCGATTTTCCCCGTGGTGGTGGAATCCAGCTAACCGCATACGAGCAGGCGGAGGCAAAGACAGATGGCGCACAGGAAGCTGAATGACACCTCCATTCACTCGAGCCTTCTCAACCGAAACCTCACTCGAAAAAACGCACCCTATCCCAATCGAAAACCACCGACTCGGGCAAAGCAAAAGGGAAAAAGCGTGCACAGGACGAGGAACCCGGTAGCCATATCGCAGATGCCTATCGAGTCGAACATCTCAACCACAAACGTCTCATCCCCGGGATCAAGCTTGCTGGCATGATCACCAAGTCCGACCGCTCGAACTTATCGTCGCCCTCCCAAGTCATTTACTCGGCCATGTGCCGATTACCGAAATCTCTCGTCAATATACCCAAAGATTGACCGAAACAGCTGAAGACGACGAAGGATCGGTTGCAAGTAATAGCGATAGTGATCGGACGGAAAACGCGCTAAGGGGCTTAGATGAGATGTTTACCGTGGGCCAATGGATCCGTTGCTCTGTGTTAGCCGCAGTCTACATTCATTATCTAGATGCCAACCTCCCACAGCTTACTAATTATTCCAACATAACTCTATACGATCAAAACCGCGACCGAAATACCCAAGGGCAGTCTTCGAGCATCTCCGCTGGTCCGTTCTGCATTGAAGGTCACCCTAACCATCGATCCCGTCCACATCAACTCTGGAATCGATAAATCCGATTTGCAAGGCCGTATGACCCTCACTGGCGCTGTGAAGTCGATCGAAGACCGGGGCTACATCATCGATCTTGGAATTTCAGTTGATTCAAACGTCGACTCCGCTACATCTCAGGCATCTGCGAACAACCTCACTGCATTTATATCCTTCGCCGACGCTACGAAAGCTACCGGAGTCAACCACCAAGATGAACCATCGCTCCAATGGGAAGTGGGCCAAGTCCTCTGGTGCAGAATCAATAAACTCTCCGAAAACGGTGCAACATGCATGGTCTCAGTCAATGCTCAAGATATCTCTCGATCAGTACTGACTGCGGCTACCAACATCGATTCCATACTGCCTCTACACATGGTCTCGTGCCTGATTACCTCAGTGATACCCGGTCAAGGCCTCAATGTAACCTTGCTGGGATTCTTCAAGGCTACAATTCAAGTCCCCCACCTCGAATGTCACTCAACAACTGGAGTCGATCTGAGTGAAAAATTTAAGGTCGGGCAGAAGCTTCGTGCCCGGGTGTTATGGGATACGATCCCTTCGAAGAACCACGTTTCGCTTGAAGGAAATGAGTCCTTGCTAGGACCTAAAATCTTCAGTTTGAGCATATTCGATCATGTCGTTAAGCTTGACACTCCCGGCCTGCCGACTCACCTACAGAATGGAGAGCGAACCAGATGCGACAAAATCGACCAGCTGCTCCTGTATCCAATCGGCTACACTTTTCAGACAGTCCGGATATTCCGTGTTGACGAGGAATGGGGAGTATATGCAACTTGTGTTAACGGTGAAGACGGACTTCCAATCGAGATCGATCCTCCAGTTGCCTTTGCGCATATCGCTGCCATCTCGGATTCCTTCCTGTCTTGCCTCTCAAAAGATAGTGGCCCTTACAAAGTAGGCACAACTCACAAAGCCCGAGTCACTGGGGTATCTCCAGTCGATGGCGTTCTACAGTTAACCCTGCAGCCCTCGGTGGTCGAGCAAGCCTACATGCGCTCTGAAGACATTCCGATCGGTGCATTGATGAATGGCACAATCAAAAAGCTCACTGCCACCAATCTCATTGTACGCATCGAAGGAGGCCACGACGCTGTTGTTTGGCCCGACCATTATTCAGATGTCAAGCATGCCCATCCTGAGAAAAAGTTTGCACCAGGGGCCAAAGTAAAGGCTAGGGTTGGTCATTTTCAACGCTAATTCTTGCTCTCAATCATTGTTCTGAGTACTGTTTTTCCTTATTCCCAGGTTCTTTACACAAATCCGGACAGAGATCAAATCGTCTTAACGCTACGGAAAACACTCGTGCGAGCCGATGAAATCATTACCTCTTACGAGTCAGCCTCAGTGGGTACATGCGCCTGGGCGATGATAACGAAGGTCGAGGAAAAGTTCATGCTCATTGAGTTTTTCGGCCATACTAAAGGTTTGGTTCCCAGAGCTGAAGCAGAGTGAGTAGCTTGATTTGAAGTGCTGAAGACTAGGTTTCATATACTTATTACATCATTTTTCTACGTTTACTCAGGGCGGGATACGTCGAATCAATGAAGCCAATCTTCACGCCTGGCAGGCTAGTCAAAGTGAAGATTATTAATGTTGATGTTGAAAAACGTCGCATTTTGGCGAGCGTCAAGCGTTCAACCTCTGGTGAAGCTTCGAAACTCTCAACGGTTATTGATGTTGGAGATCAAGTCTCGGCCTTTGTCACAGTGATTCGTAATGCATTTATCCAACTGGACTTACGCCACACCAACGCCGACCCCAGCAGTAGCGAACCAGTCAAAGGACTAATAAGTGTTGAAATTCTTGCTAAAAAGTACGACATCAGCCCTGAAGCGCTGAAAAATCAGTTGAAGGCAGGCGATGAGGTGAAAGATTTGATTGTTCACACGAAAGACAAAGAAAAAGAACTCTTGATGGTTGGGTACAAATCTGCATCGATACCTCAAGAACAGATGACTGGCCCGATACGATTTATCCATGACAAGAATCTTGTCCTGAACCTGCGCAAAGTACATCAGGCGCCATCGAGTGAAAGCTATGTTGAAGGCTTTCTACCAATTCACTTACTTGCCGAGCATCGAAAAACCCCCATCGATACGTTGAAAGCCCAACTTTCCATCGGAGAAGAGATCACGGGGTTACGGCCGATTCACAAAGACCCCTCTCGAGGCCTATTGATCGTTGGTTTTCCGAACTCTGACCCTGGCAAATTTTCCTTCACTTCACCTCAGCCAGAGACACTTTCGGTTTCAGATCGTGTTGTAGGTCGAATTTTTAACATCTTAGACACAAGTATAACTTTAAGTCTACGTAAAGAAGGTACTGAAGGATATGCCAAAAGCCGAGGCATCATTACACCTAGTCAATTGGCCAAACACCGCCAGATATCCGAAGAACAGCTGCGATTGGAGTTAAAGCCCGGTGATTATATCTATGACCTGATTGTTCGGAAGAAAGCGGAGGAAATCGACTGTTATCATTTGGGGTTTGCCCCTTCTGAAAAGGCTGTCCCAACTATCGAGCTATCAGTTGGCGATCCCGTCATCGGCACAATCGAGGCCATTCACGAGAAAAACGTGATACTCTCTTTGCAAAGAGAAGGGTGCGAAACCAACGGAGCCGACGTCATCAATCAAGGGCTCATTTCAGTGCAGGTACTGACTGGTCATCGCAACGTAAACGAGAAAAATCTTAAACAAAAACTGAAAGAAGGCCAGAAGGTTACAAAGCTGGTGGTTAAGAAGACCGACACCGGTAGGGGCCTCGTCATCGTGGGCTTCGCCTCTCCTCACTTCCCACTCCCGCCTTCTCACAGTGAATTTGCGGTCGGCAAAACCCTAAGAGTTCGCGTTAGCGGTAGAGATGCCAATGGTCTGACTGTGACGCCCGTCGACACCTCACCAGTGGAAGGTAGATTTCTCATTGATTATACTGTTTCGCTTCACAATCACAAAGCACGGGTCAGCCTCCGAGAAAACCCTAGCGCTCCGAAAGGTGTCCCGGTCTGGGAAAAACTTCAAATAGGCCAGATACTTAAACATATACTTCAGCAGCAATCTTACAGCCGAGTCAAGCAAGCCCTCCCTTTGCACAAGCAGGCAGCTTGAAAATAGGAAACGGCCGACACATACGCGGTGAAGGAACATGTAAGTGGCCGCGGTTTCTTGGCTCCGCACGTATGTTATGTAGGCTGCTTTTGTCAGACTGAGCCTGTTTACATGACTAGCAATTACACACTGGAAGTGCTGAGCCGACAAGCCCTGCTGCCACTGCTGCTGCTGCTGCTGCTGCTGCTGCTGCTGAAGGCTCAGCAGCCACCAAAGGTTTATAAAAGGCCGATGGTTCCCCCCTCTACCAGTCTTTCCCCCAACTCCAGGACCTGCCAGGCGCATCCACCTTTCCCATCTTCTCCTCACCTTTTTCTTACTCCACCCAACAACAACAAACTTAAACTACTTGCTTCAATAATCATTAATCATGGAGCATATACCTCATTCCAACATGTTAGATTCTCCGGCAGAATTTTCTGCTGGCTCGTTCACCCCCCCAGGAACTCCACCCCCTCTTCCGGGTGTCTCATTCACCCCCCCAGGAAGTCCTCCATCTCTTGCCGATGGCTCCTCCACCCCCCAAGGAACTCCTCCACGTCCTACCGCTGGCTCCTTCACTGCCCCGGGAATTCCACCTCGTGTTCCTGATGTGTCCTTCACTCCCCCAGGAACTCCTCCTCCTCCTCCTCCTCCTTCCAACCCCGTCCCCATTCCCACCCCGGAAGTGATTGAAATCTCTGATGATGATGACGAGCCGATGGAGCAAGATCCAGTTGAGCAATCGTGGCGGCGACTCAGCCACCTCATCAAAAACCGTGAGGAGCGAATTCGAGCGGCTCTTCAGACTCTGGCTCCTGAAGATGGAGAAAGGATGATCGGTTTTTTCCGCAAGATGATGAAATATTTCCTCGAACTCTCCGAAAACACGCATCGAGACAGACTCGATGCTAGAGAGCACTCTTACCTCCTCCGCGATATTCCTCAAATCCAGCTTATCTTGCAAGCGACCGAGGAATCCAATGCGCAACTCTTGGCCGATCTGATCAACCACTGGATCTCTCTTATCCAAAACCTTTCCAACGCTCGCAGATCCCAGAGAATTCAAGACCTGTTGGCCTCCATGAAGAATCCGCCCGCCCGCTCGGCTCGGCGGCGTGCCCCCTTGGAATGCCCAATCTGTACCGATAACCTCTCCGACAACAGACGCAGCAATGTTCGAGCACCTTGCCACCTTACCCATGTCTTCCATCGAATCTGCCTTGAAGTAAGCCAACCCTTTATATGCTTTTTTCCTCTTCTTCTTTTTTAACACTCATTGCTGATTCCAATGATCTATTCTAGGAATGGTTGCAAGGACAACTCAACTGTCCAATGTGCAGAGCCCCATTTGCACTTCCTTGTGGGCGCCAACAGCAAAGCTCAGAAAGCTTGGGCAGCCACTACCATGTTTATCAGTTCTTCATTCAGATGTGTATGGACCTCTAAGTCCCTCCCCCCCCCCCCCCCCCCCTATGTCCCTATGCTTCTCTCTCCCCCTATGCAATTTCAAATCTCATTTCATCTCATGTTTGAAAGTCTCCTTTGACTTTCCTGAGCTCCCCTGTCGCGGCTCTGAGTGCAGTCTCCTTCAGGTACAAGTCCTGTCGGTCCGGAAACCTGTTGGTACACCGTCACCAGTTTCATGATGTCATTGTCTGAAGGCTTTCTCTGCTGAGTTGTGTGGATGATAGCCATGTCAAAACAGCTTCATCTATAATTTCGCGCTTGTGAGCGTGTCGCGTTGGGTCAGACTGTTGTGCTGGGACTGTTAGGTAACCTCAATACCATCATGATCTGTTCCTGGGTGCACTGCACGTCGCGTTGAGCTTTAATTATGAGCATTGAGGACCATGCCGACCAGTTTATCTCTGCCTCGTGCATCGGGAGCGTGTCGCGTCGAGCCCTTTGGTTCAAGATCTATCATTGCGCTTGCAACATTTTGGGGGGTATGTATGACGTGCAAAGCTATCTGTTTTTCAACACACTCCGGCCCGCAATCTTACATGATCTCAAGTTACCTGAGCGGATCCGTTGGAACGCAGCTCAAGTCCTCTTTAGCCAAGTTCAATTCTAAAAAAAAACATGTTTTCCTGTAGGGAACCCCTAATCTGCGCAAATAGTTACATATCGCTGTTTGTTAATAAATTCTGCTACAAAGAATCTGATGAGTTGATCAAGTTTTGATTGTCAGCCATCTTTTCTTTGACTAGATCCACTTATATGTGGGTTAATTAATTCTATGGCCTTTTTCAACCTCATTTTAGAAACTTGCTAAGCTGGGAAGATTTTAAATTTGAGGCTTCTGCAAAAAATGAGCACATTCTTTTGATTTATTTAAGAAATTTATGATAAACATCTTCAAAATTTTATAAAATTAGATCATGAAACCCCCTAACCAATTTTCAAAAAGTAAATTTTGAGCCATATTCAAGATATTTAGGAACCATGCAGTATAAACCTAGTAACATGGTGATGAAATCAATAGTGCTGCATGGAATTTTTGTCAAACCTTCAAATCCAGCTCAGAAACACCCCAAAAATGGACTCAAAGACCCATCATGAATCCCCTCATGTGTTTGATGATTCAATGATGTTTGTGTTTTTTTTTTTTCTTGGAAAGCAATGCTTTGAAGTTTTATAAAATCAACAAATTCTGGGATATCTGGGGAGTTCTCCGGCTTGGAAGTCACTCATCAAAGTACTTCTCATTTATCAGCAAAAATGAAAAAGGGGACCAACCCTGGAAAGCATATCTTATGATATTTTCAACTGTTTGGACCACTTTCCCAACATGAGATTGAAAAAGAAAAGAAAAATCAAAGCTGGAATTATGTATCATGCTTTTTGTGGGCTTCTTGTCAATAACCCCCCCCCCTTTGACGCTGATACATGATGCCCAACCCTACAGACCTAGCTGAAAGCGTTTTACATTTATAAGAGACGAAAATAACGCAATCTCCCGCTGTTTAGAATGGAACAATTGATGACACATGTTCACAACGTCGGGTTATGGCGATCTAGTGCAACCTGGAATGCCCTTACCGGCGGCGGCTGCATGTGGTATTACAGAGAATGATGTGTGGGTGGGTGATCGTCCCTGCTGCCATGATCGCAGGGCCACTATGTCATAGACCACTAGAGACTTTTTGTAGAGACTTTTTGGAAACAAGTCTCATGAGGGCATCAGGATTGAACCATGGCAATTCCTCTAGAATGTTAGGTAGTCTCATTTCACACTAGTTTTTTGTATCAAAAAAAAAAAAAGACAAGAGCATACATAGGTAAACGGGCTGAGACGCAACTACTGGTGATTCAGTTTGTGGTCATGTGGCATTCGAAGCAAACTTTTATGTGCTCTAAACAAGCTTAATTTTTACCAATAGGAGACGGGTGAGGTTGTCAGGAGTGACTGATGATGTGACGGATTCAATCAGTCAAGTATGATTAAAGGAATGAAACACCGGCTCTATGAAAGAAGAGCGTTGAAAGTTAGAAACGTAGAATTGGAAGCACTGTACATGTTGAGGTTTGGTTTGAAATAAAAATAAGAAAACGTTTGAGATAGTTATACAAAATTGTCCTCCCAACTATTATCTCATCCCCATCCCTCCTCTACTGTTTATTCTAAGGGGCCAATCGAAGCATGTGCCAAACGAGCCTAAAATCCGAACCAAAAACAAAAAACAAGATAAACATTTGTATGCAAAAGAAGAATTTAAAGAAGAAGAAGGAAAAGTTGTGCAGAACGGACCTCCATGTTCCGAAGACTTTCCTCTTTGGCCAAGAGTTCTTGACGCTTCTCACTGATCTCGCGTTGGACGCGTAACTCGATCTCCTTCAGCTTTTCTTCTTCTTTCTTCAATTGCTCTTCCTTCAATCTGAAGGATTGGTTGGCCATGTCTTCCGGCTGGATCGATTGATCCATCTGGTCGGCATCTCCTCTGCTTAAGGTTTGCGTTCTGTAATTCTCATACAAAAACTGGTATGTATGCATGATTCCACCATCCCATAGATCACATCAGTTAAAGTAGTCAAACAGAAAACTTCGACATGAAGAAAGATAAGACTTACGTCATGAGTGATTTCTTTGAGATCGGTTAAATGAGTCGATAATAAGGCCGTCCTCAAGCGCAAAAAATCGCTGTGAGCGGGGTTGTCAACCTCAACCACTCCCCAAGGATACTCTCTAGCTCGCACCAGTTCGCCTCCGACCTCGATTTCATGTTCGGATCCTACAAGAGCAAACGGCAATAAGGCCTTTGTTTTGTTTCGTTGTCGGACAGCAGCGAGTAGGATCAATACATGAGGTCAATATTAGGACGACGACGACGTCTCATTTTTCAAGTGTCAAACTTACTCTTAAAGACGAGTTTTCAGCTACTATTTCATCGTCATCCTCTTCGGCATCAAACGGAAAGTTGTAAATCGGAATCGAATAGTGTTCAATATCTTGCATGATCTACAAAGCAAAAAAGGAATCGTGTTTTGATGATCATATGAAGAAAAAAAAATTCAGTCAGCTCAAGGATTATCTAAAAAAAATAAAATAAGGAAGGAAAGACTGACTCTGGCCTTGAAGCCCTTTAATTCACTTGGAGTCAATGTGTCCGCTTTACCGATCACCGGTATGACGTTCACTCGAGGAGACAAACGTCTCATCAACTCGATATCGATTTCCCTCAAACTAATGAATGAAGGGTAAGTAAGTCGATGGTCCCAAGATAGATCGAATGAGGAAAGCGGGTTATAACATATAGACGAGCTGGACTGGGAAGTCGAGCTTAAGCCTTAGCGTACCTGTGACCGGTGGGGGGGATGAAGTAGAGCAAGGCATGGATGCGTTGGTCTTCGAATCTAGGGTTCCGCTTGATCCTGGACTCCTCGGCCAGGATATCATCGTACTGTTTCTCGAGATATCCAATGATCGTAGAGAAGGCCGATTCGTTGTCGATGTTGTCACCAAACCCAGGAGCATCGCATACCGACAGCCGGATCGTCACCCCATCTTCGTCTAACTCGATCGTCTTCTTCTCTACCTTAATGTGAGAGGTACCCTCTGGATATAAAAGTACATCGATTTGTGAGCTTTTGATCCATCTGCACGCTATCTCCTGAGGCCGAGTGGCATGAGCTTACCAGCAGCCGCAATCGGGTCGCTCGAATCGGCATGTGGCAACCATCCCTTTTGGTCGACTAAGGTGTTGACAAAGGTGGTACGACCCGTACCAGAGGCACCGACCACCTGATCAAAAAATGATCCGGGATTAAGCCGACCTCATATATTGCAGCGAAAGCCAATGCTTGAACACCCATAGTAGATAAGTAATATGACACTCACCATCAAGGTCTTTTGGATGATCGAAGAGAATAACAAGTCAGATCATCCAGAGGTTTCAGGAGGCTTTTTTTCACACTCAAGAAGATGCCATCGAGTCCATGAAGCAAGAAGAGAAACATGAGACGGTTGGAAGTAAGTACTCACCAAACCGACTCCCTTCTTGACAGTTTTCTTACGTCTCGTAGGACCAGGCGCCATCTCTTCACTTCTATTTTACTTGTAAGGATGCAGTGGAGGAGTGGATATGAATGAGATGTTTCTGGATCCAAAATCAGAAGCGGATTCATGAAGAAAGAGCCCACTAATAAATGTCTCCATTCGCTTAACTTCATAGAGATGAGGAAGCGATCGAGCGAGAGCCTTATAAAGAGTAACACCACGGAAATACTTTGTGACTGCATCTCATAATCACATCGACCACCTGATGCTCCGTTAGACTATAAGGAAATTCCATGGAATACCCGCCGCGTCCTGCCCTTGAGAGTCGGCAACAATTGTCGACGAAGATGCCACTCTCGGCTGATGGCCCATGGGTCACCACTACATAAATAGATGTCAAAATGTAAGATGGGCCTCGTGCATGCTGGACTACATACCCGCACCTCCTTGGATGCATCATATGCGACATGGGACACCGATACATAAACAACCAACAAAAACTCCAGGTCAATTTATGAACAGGAATATGAGAGGAAAAAGAAAGGATGAAAAGTGTAACAAACCGTGTCGACTACATCACTCGCCAGTGAAAAAAAGAAGGGCCTCATCGGGAATTGAACCCGAGACCTCTCCCAATCAGATCCGTTCATGAGAAGAAGATGGAACCCAAAGGGAGAATCATACGACTAGACCATAAGGCCAATGACGTCATCCCCAAAAAAGCCGATTACGTCATAGCCTGATTTGTCGGTTCTGTATGTCCGATATGCATGTGCTCTTTGAATGTATCTTGTGTGTGGGGATTGTTCGTTCGTGTCCTTGATCTCCTTGAGAAAAGACCAGTCAAATGGTGTATTTCTGTCTTTCACTTGGGTTCTCTTTAGTCCATCAGATTTCGACATCCACAGGACCGGAGTTGTGATTATTTATTTAGTTTGTGTTCATCCAGTATGCAAGCAAGTACATATGTATTCTTGTATGTATACAATCAAACTTTTCGAAAAAAAGAGAATGAAATAAAAACAGACAGTTTCTCGATCATGAAGATCAATAATAATCATTTAAAGTTGGATTTTTTTTTTTTTGTAAATGTTTTGTGTGAGATCTCTTTTAAATCTATATACACTCAGCAAAAAAAGAAAAGAACATGGGAGAGGGCATGTACCCAACGACCAATAACAACCAGCAAAAAAAAAAGTTTGGAATGGAAGACGAGGGATCAAGAGAGGACGAAAGAAGCCAGTTGGTCGACCTTGAACCCCAAGACCAGGTTCTTGACCTCGTTATCTTCAGCATCACTGTTCTTGGCGGTAAGCGAAGACGGGAAAAAGTTCTGTAACAGATCATGATCGAACGAGTTCAAGACATATTGATCGTCGAATTTAAGGACAGTTTCTTTAGGCTGTTGTTGTGGTGGTTGTTGTTGAAGGTTTGATTGATCACCAGCCGATGGTATCATCGAAGACTGTTTCTAATGTGTGTGTGTGTGTGTGTGTGGGAAGGAGATAGATGAGAAAAGAGTATGTTAGTCAAGGTTGAATGCATGAGAAGAACAAAATAGATGCATATATCTTGAAGGAGAAAGAAGAAGGACTGACTGGTTTCTCTGCTCCAAAGGGGTTAGAAGGCTGAGGGGAAGTAAGTGTGAAAGAGGGAGTAGGTCTCGCGAAGGGATTACTAGAGCCCAAGAAGTTACTCTTCGTGGATCCGGAGAGAGCACCGAAAAAGGGGGAAGATGATGATGAGCTTGTATCTTGGGGAGGGACTGTAGCGGAGGACGGGGCCGGGTTGAAGGGGGAGGAGGAAGAGCCAAGCGGGGTGGTTCGGCCGACAATTGTCGAAGGAGCCGACGGCTCGTTGGTGGCCGAGCCAAATCGGCCCAGCTTGGTGGTCGACGCCTTGTTCGCTGAGGGAGACCGGTCTGTAATCCCTGGTGTCAACGTTCCTGTCGAGTCACAAAGGGTCTATCTATATCAAGGAATACATACTTTGACTCAAACCGGACATCGTTTGTGGACCCTTCTCGATGGCCATCGCTTCCTCTTCTACATGAGATGGCCTAGATGGCTTGGATGATACGGTGGCGAAAGGGTTGAGAGTTGTTGATGTCTCCTTGGGCTGGGTTGAATTCAGTTTGGTAGATTGATCCGGCTCCTGACTCTTCTTCATCTCTTCGCGTAGCTTCTGTTTCTTTAGGAGTCGTTCAGGCAATTTACCTACTTGTCGAGTCTTCCTCTTGGGGCGATCAGATGAATTTTCTGCACGATATTCCTGATGACAAGAAGGACAACATCAGGTCCTGTAGTATTTTTTGCAAGAAAATAAATCATGACTTACTTGGGGCATGGTTTTTTGTAAGATGTGTTCCATTGGATTGTTTGAATTTTTTCCGTCATCTTGAGTAACACCATAGACAGAAAGGTCCAGGTTGGTACCGTCCAGACAACCCTGAAGTTTTCTTTTTCGATTCTCGACTTGATCGGGATTGATATCCTTCTTTGAAGTGGTCTTTGAAGGGGGAGGGAGGATGGGACGTTTATGTCTGGAGGGTCGTTGGAGGTTAGAGTATGGGTTGATGATCTCGGAGGGTTTGATTGGCGATGGGACTGGTGATCGACTCTGCATCTCCAAGTTGACCTCTTTCATGACTGACGACATGATCGAAGAGCTTGCCTTAGCTTTCCGTTTCTTTGGTGTCGTCGTACTTTGTGAGTGAGGATCGACGGAGATGATAGATTCTGAAGCGAGTCGTCGAGGTGGAGATGAAGTGACTGAATTGAGTGATCCGATGGTTAGTCAAGCTGTGTTTTTTTTTGTCTTGATGGGTAGTAATCATTTTCTTTAGGTCGCTTACCAGAGGGTAGGGTAACATTCCTTAATGGACTCGGTCGAACCGGTGTTCCGGCGTGATTCTTGAGTACTTTTAAAGCCTGGTTGTCGACGGTCTGGCGAGGCAGTGGGGTGCGTTCTTGTCGAGGTGCTTGCGGGGTAGCGAAGGCTGATTGGGTTCGATTGTCTGACTGGTGATGTTTAATCCGTTTGGAGCTCGATGGTTGATGCTCTTCGAGTTCTTGTTCTTGTTGTTGTTGTTGATTAGGGGTTTCTTCAGGAGGTGGAGTATCAGGCTTGATAGGTAGGATGAGTCGATTATTTCTTGCGTTGGCTAGACGGGTGGAGTTGCTCATCAGCGATTGACCTGGGCCGAGGTAGAGAGTTCTCGGTCTGGATGTCCGCCTGTTTCGTGAGCTGAGACTTGAGAATGCGACGCGTGAAGGGCTGGGTGCTGGTGGGATGTATTGGGTGGGTTGGCTGGGTCGGGAGAGAGATGGGAAGTTGGGGATGAATGCGGTGGGTACATGTTCGAACTCTTGATGCTGCTTGGGTTGTTCTGGTTGAGATCGTTTGATGAGTGCTAATACTGCCTCGGTTTCGTTTTCGGTGAGTGGTTCCTGGTTCTTTTGAGCAAAGAACTTGGAGAGGGTGATATTATTACTCGATTGTTCTTGTTGTTCTTGTTCTTGTTGTTGTTGTTCTTGTTGTTCTTGTTGCTGCTGCTGTTCTTGTTGTTGTTGTTGTTTGGTTGTGGATGTGAATGGTGAGATGAAGAAGTTGAAGATGAAGTTGGTGATTGTGCTCTTCTTTGAGCCGAAGATTGGTTCGGATAGCATGTTTTCTGTTGGTTGGTCTTTGCAGGTTTCGTTGGTTGGTTGGTTGGTTGTGGGTGGTTGGTTCTTGAGTTTGATGGAAAACACTCTGTGGGTTTTAAAGTGCGGGTTCGGAGTGAACCCTGCTCCAGTTAAAGTGTCCACACCGCAGCAAACGACAGAACAACCAAACTGGGCTGAGATGGCAAAAGCACCGGGGCCGGACCGGTTCATGGATTGGGATCTTGTACCTGGGTCCTGCCCTCAAACAATATTCACATTTCCTTATCTTACATATTCTTAGGAGAGCTCAAGGAAGAGTCCGATTTGATGGCCAGCAGCGGGACAACAGCCAATCAAACCTTCATCGAAAATCCCCCAAGTAAGAACCATTACACCCAGCTTGCTGCCTCTCAATGGGTTGTGATGGACATTGGCTAGGAATTGGAGGCAGCATCTTGTAGTATCTGAGATGTCCATGTTCTTCTCCCCGGAATCGGTTGGCAGCCAATCTGGCTGGACAACATCAATTCTGCTATATGTGCCCCTCCAGGGTGCAAAGCATCCACCTCCGCCGGAGGGCTTTTTTGGAGTGAGAAATTTTGTTTTTGTTTGGCATGATCTTTGACTAGCCCAGTTCATGTTATAGGCTTTCTTCATGATAAGTTATAACTTTAACACAAATTCAGGGCTTACATATAATGAATGTTTTCATGATGCTTTATAAATAGGAGGCTGATTCAAACAGACCAAAAACAAGGAGTAAATATGGTGTTTGTTCAAAGGAATGCATGATGAAAAAGAAGCAATGACCACATAGTCAAGAAAATACAGAATATATAAGACCAAGAGGTAGACATGACCATCTCAAAAAAAAAAAAAAAAAAAAAATCAAGATGACCAGAGAGAAAAAATGTAGTGGTAATAGAGGAAGTGACTGAGGCATTGGTATTGTAACAAGGAAATGAAGAAGCTCAATTATATTAATAACTTGACTTTGATTGCACATGTCTTGTTTCCCCAGTCCCAACAATTTGTGCTAGACAGTTTTTCGAGAACAGCAAAAATGAAACTGACCTTAATTGTAATTGGTAGCACATATATTTATATTCTGGAAAGCAATTTCATGAATCCAGGATTCACAAGAGTGGCACAACTGGAGGATCCACACTACAGGCCCCAATCCATGCTTCCAAATTACAACAAACGCTTCAATTGCATGGCTGCTTGTGAAAATTCGCAGAAAGAGCTTCAGGGTCCAGTAGTTTTTTGCTTTCTGCTTGTGAGGAGAGACTGCCATCCTGTTTTACTTACAGTGAGTCATGTGTGGAATCCCATTGACTCGAAATGTGTACAAGACTTCAGAGCTACAGTTTGCTCTGATCAGAGAATCTCGTAGAATGGATACGATTGTTTTTTATTTGTCTGTAAGTGATTTTATTTTTGGCCCTGATATCCTTCCTGTTATGGCCAACATGTTGATTCTGACTTGACTCATAAGCCTCTTTTACGGAAACCGTCCTGCAGTGCGGGGACGTCGAGGGAGATCAGGCTTTGTTATCCGAACCTTTATTTGGGCTGAACCAGCGAAAAACTTTTGCCTGCCCCTCTCTTGCTTGAGCCGAAATAGCACAACAGTACCGGAGTCAATATCCTCTGAGTTGGGTCCTTTTGCGGATGATGTCGGATCAGTCCGGCTACGCTGCTGATGTTCCAAGGGAACAAAAGATGTCGAGTATAGAACGAGCCTAACAAAGCCTCTCGAATTAGAGCCAGGGGGCTGCCTCCGGCCGCATGGGAGGTCGCCCAAGCGGCCGGGACTAGTTCGAGTGTAGACTGCTTGAGCACATATCATCACATCTGGTGCCGGTTGCATTAGGTTATATCCAAGTCCAACAGCAACTGTTTGCGGGCAAGTTGGAGCTCCGTTGATGAACGATCGAGACAGATTTATAGCCATATGTCCAACTTAAGAGCATTAGATGATGTCTGATATCGTGCCGCAACTCTCAGCCAGAGAGAGAAACCAATCCGCGAACACACCCAAGCAAACGCCAAAGGGAAATATTGAGTTCTGATTCTGAGCTTTGTGTTCTCTTCGCTCCATTTTTGGGCATGAATCGATGGCTTTGTGATATCTGGCTCTGGCTGGATCCGGCTCGGCTGCCTTGCTTGGTTGACCGGAATAGGATAAGGTCTGATTGCTTGTCCGTCTTTTAACGAAAGTCATGTTCTCTTTGTTTATCCCGTACGTTGGGTATTTGCTATACGCGGGCCCTACCCGGCCTGCCTATTGCATTTCCTATCATTGACCTCACACGCCTATGAAAAAGGCCATCGCAAACACCAGCTCCGGTGGTGCATCTTCCCCTTGGATTCCTTCATCATACCCAGCAGATAAGTTGAAGCACATCTTACAAATCGACATCTCATCTAGACCCATTACCCTCCACATTCCCACAACTTTTTTTTAAGGTCTGGTAGTCTAGCTCAACCGGTTCATACCAATCGCCGATTTGTTACTACATCACCAAACCACCTTACAGCGTAAATTCACCCAAAGAAACAAGCAGCACATCGTCGAAAACAAAGCAAATAAATACTTTAACTTAACCGATTCCACTACCATTTCAATGGAACCAAGTGGTAAATCGGCGCCTTTCGTCCACTGCTTAAACTGGGATTCAACACTGACGCAGATTAGGTTCAATTCTTTACAGTTCGCATCATCAGCGAGTTAGACAGTTTAGCCAGAGGAACTTGGCTAGTAGAGGATGACAGAGTCGGCACACATCCCGAAAAGACTTTTTCAGGCCGTAAAGTCAGCGTCGGCGAGGCTCTCCTGGTCCAAGTACAGACCAGATCCCTACCCGCATTGCGGCAGCGCCTCACCGGCCTAGTGACAGCATTCGGTCTAGATGTTGTGAGGATGGGCAGGTATGCCAAACCGAAATTCGACGATGCCCTAGAGATCACACCTCAACTGGTTCCCATCTTGACTCTAATCCAAGAATCCATCATCGCCCTCGCTCCCGCTGTTATTGACGGATTCCCATGTCCCAGCAAGATAGACCATGACTACGGCTTCGTGAAAAGATTCAGGTGTCTGGGTCTTGCAGAGAAATTTGCAGTCTTGATCCCCAAACTCCGCACTTTGTTTATCTATTTCTCGGACTTGGCTCAACTTTTGAATGATATCAACAATCGTCCGGCCGACTTCGAACCCGATTATGATGAAGACCTCGTTGTGTATCACGCTTCATTAGACGTAACGGAATTGGCGGAGCAGTCATGCAAACTGATCGATGATATGATCAGATGGTCCCAACAATCCGATTTTGGCATTCTCCAGGAGAATTGGAAGCAACAGTCCGACCTGCTCTTTAAAGTTCTCAACAGGGTAACCAGTCATATTTATGACACTGTCAACTACAAAGAGCCAGAGGTCCCAATGGATGAGGACGCAGCACTTGAGGAGGACGCACGATTTGAGGAGGACGCGCGATTTCCGGAGGACGCACGATTTGATGAGGATGGATCCGAAGAGAACAGCGAACGGGGTGAAGCTGTGGATGACGATCGATCTATAATTGACTATGATCAATTATCGATCTTCATACGCCTCAACCAAGACCTCTTTCCACATATCCACCGCTCTACAGTACTTCTCAGACTAGGCAGAATATTCTTTCTTAAATTGTTGAACACCCCCAGAAGTAAACCACCCTTTACGCTCAATCCTCGCCTGAGCTCCCACGACTGGGTGTGTTTGAAAGAGGTTACAAAAGATATTGATAGCTGTATCTTCAATATCGTCGAAGCCGTCGTCTATGCTGAAAATCTAGATGATATAAATCTCGAAGACGTTTCTGCGTTTGCCAAGGAGTTATTGCATCGTCTTGATTCCTCGATGGCTCTTTTAGCATTTTCCCTTTATCCTATTCCTTCTCGAATTGATTCTCCTCGCCCTGACAGTCTTTTCAAATCGTGGTTCTTTGATGTGCGAGCTCAATTCTCAGTGGCTCTAGACAACTTGCTACAAGGTTTAAACATCAATCGAGATGCTTAACTCGCTATGAGTATGCACTTCTTTGGGTCAGCTCCGCCAAACGGTTTATTATCGAGTCTTCGAAGTAGTAAACTCATACATTCCTCCCTGCTCTCCACTTCAAATAATTGTGCCAACATTTTTTGTTGTTTTTTCTCTTCACATCCAACATGTTATAGTGTTGCCCTTCTTCATCTCCTCCTTCCACTGAGACACATATTTTCAGATCATTCATTCCAAAAAAAAAATTGTTTTGTATAGAATCATTGACATTGTAAAATTATCGTATCTTTAGTTTTATCTCCTCCTTCCACTGAGACATGCAGTTTACATAGAATCATTCATCTGAAATAAAGGAATAATAGGAATCATTGACATTTTAAAGGGTTTTTGACTCTTTTTTTTATCTTATCCTTCCCCTGAGACATGTGGTATCAAATCATTTACTGTCAAAGATATTTGAGCAGGAATCATTTTTTCAAGTTCTTAGTATTCATAAAGGAGATCCCTCTTCTCCCCCTGATGCATTAAACTGATATGAGTGATCTTGTAAATCACTGAATTATTCCAGGAATTCTTCTTCTTTACCGGGTGTATTTCCAAAGATAATTCAAAAGAGGTTATGACACTAAAGAGGGCCATAGTTATATTCTCACCTTGTCTGCTTGACGATTGCATTGGATCTTAAGGATTGTGAGCTTGATGTACTATTTGTATGATGATGAGCAACCTGGGTATGTCTTACAAAGCAGTTTGTTGAGGCTCAGTCAAGCCTTGGGCACACCTTGTGTGCATCTTTGTGGCCCAATTGTGCCACCAACTTTCTCAAAAAACCCCTCTATGTTATGGTTGTTCTCAATTGACTTTGTTAAGATGCAGTCTTTTGAGCCTTGGTTTCATTCAAAGGGAATTGTGCTCGGTCAATGCTCATCTGAGATTTCCCAGAGTTCCAGTTTGGGTGTGTGTGTGTGTATTTTATGATATTATGCAAAAAAGTGGATGAGTGAAAATCTTGGGTGCTTGAGTTTGTGGGGATGGTATTGCCCTAGCTGGGAACCCACCAAGATGACCACCATCCTCAGCAAGCTCAGCCGATTCGCACCGAAACCAACAAACACCAAGAACTTCCCACAGGGCTTCAAAGTCATCGGAGTACACTGCGGGATCAAGAAGAAGGAGAAACTAGACTTGGGACTACTACTCTCGGAGAGGGAAGAGACGAGCGGAGCAGGATGTTTTACGAGGAACCGATTCAAAGCAGCACCCGTAAAATACTCGATCAATAAGCTACTAGAAACTCAAGGACACAAGATTGCTGGGGTAGTGATCAACAGCGGATGTGCGAATGCAGTCACCGGAACGAGAGGGGATTCGGATGCAGCAGAAATCGCCAGGCTGGTCGACGAACATCTCCACAAGAATGGTTCAGCATCATCGCTGGTACTCTCGACCGGGGTGATTGGACAACTACTACCGACCGAACGAATCCATGCTGGAGTGATCGAGGGATTGAAGCGACTAGGGGATAACTACGAGTCATGGCATGCCCTAGCAGAAGCCTTCATGACCACCGACACCTTCCCGAAGCTACTCACCCACTCATTCCAACTCGATGGGCAAGAGATCAGGTTCGCTGGGATCGATAAGGGCGCCGGGATGATCACCCTTCGATGGGCCCACCTCATGCTACCCTACTCGGCCTTATCGCCACCGACGCCGCCGTCCGACCGGACACGCTCCAACGAGCACTCACCAAGGCAGTCGATCGGTCCTTCAATCGGATCTCAGTCGACGGCGACATGTCCACCAATGATACCATCCTCATCCTCGCCAACGGAGCCGCCGGCAATAAACCCCTCGACCACGCTGACCCAGCCGACCAAAAGAGACTCGAGATCTTCGAACACGAACTGGCTAGCTTCGCTCTCCGTCTCGCCAAGCTCGTCGTTAGGGATGGCGAAGGGGCCACCAAATTCGTCCAAGTACTCGTCCGTGGAGCCCAGAACGAAGCAGACGCAACCACCATCGCAACCACCATCGCCACCTCCTCGCTTGTCAAATGTGCACTGAATGGGGAGGATGCTAATTGGGGCAGAATCCTCTGCGCCCTCGGATATAGTCCTATCAGCCATCCCATCGACACACAAAAGGTATCGGTCTCCATCCGAACTGCCGACGATCTTCAGCAGATCTTGTTGTTATCTAATGGCGAACCCGTGCCGGATATCGACGAGCTCAAAGCTAAGGAGATCCTTAAGAATGAAGACCTGATCATCGATCTCGATCTCGGCCATCCTATTGATCATCAAGCTAGCTTCTATACCTGCGACCTCTCCAAGGAATACGTCGGTGAGTCTTCCTTCTTTCTCTTTCTCTTTCTCTTGTTCAACTGTCATTGTAACACTCTACTGACTCCTCTTTACATTTATTAGCTATTAATGCCGACTATAGATCTTGATACTCTTGTCACCAAAAAAGAAATGCACATGCACAATCGAGCAGCTAGTACAACTTCGTTATACCTTCGTTTACCTTCTTGCAATGTGTCTCGATAATCATTGTTCTTTACAATGAGCCAAAAAAATCAAAATTAAACATCTTGGGGAATGCAATCATCAAACCAACCAAGTTATCTTGTTGAATCACAAGCATAAAATGTGAATAAAGACATCTATATCCACATATACACAGCATATATGTATACACGTCCATTTCCCCTTCAGTGATTTTTATTTTTATTTTCAGTGCAAATTTATTTTCAATCTAAAGGAAGCTGAGGGTTATGCGAATGAGATCCAAGTAATGAGATGGGGGCTATCATTGCAACTTAACAAAGTCCCAGACTCCTACTTCTACTGGAGTGATGAGACACACTGGGTGTAATGTATTTATATATTGGGCCAACTGTTAATCTGGCTTTACATTTTGGCTACAGTAGGACCTGATATGCTAAGATGAATGGTCTTGTGCAAAAACCAAACCCCTGATCTGCTCAATACATATATCAGGTCATCATGTTACTGTTAGCCTCAAAAGAAACAATGAAGGAACAATAGCTAATAATCATCAAATATACCTAACACGTCTTGGGTGGGCTACCAATCACAATCTCCAAAACCAGCCCATGTTTTATTTTGCTTGTCATCTTTCGACCTGATCTCAAAGTGTTGATGGCGTGCTTTATTACCTCTTCTTTTTTGGGATTTTTGAAAATATGTAAGGTTAAAAGCTGTTAAGTCCATGTTAAAAATACCTATGCAATCAAATTATCTACACAATTTCCGACAAAATATGTAACACTAGCCCAATCGTTTGATTTTTTTAGTTTTTTGGGATTCGTTTTGCAGATTAATTTTTTTTTTCTTGGGCTTTAACTGGGGTCTTTGGGAACCCTGTTACCCATTGTTTTAACTCGTAGCGGCGCATCTTACGATGGCCCACCCGATGTATGCTGGAAAATGAGAACTGGATCGACTTTTTGAATCCTGAGCCACTGCATCATTGATGAGGTCAAAGTGAGGGTGAAAATTGTAAGGCCATGAGACAAGAAGGGATCGAATACCCCGCTGGTCTTAAGCATTCAATATATTCTCGCTCGGCCACAGGAACTAATTACTGAACACAATCCTTTTTCTCAATCGGCCAAATTCAGGTCGTCATAAATCTTTCCATCCTTCGGTCCACCAATTTCCATGGCCACAGCATCGTCAACACGGGCGGATATAAGATTGAAGATATGAACGGATGAACTGGTTTTGTGCCCTTGTGACCGAGGATGCAGATGCCGGGGTGTGTTTGGCTTTAATACGCGTATCCATAGCGTCATTGGGAGTTACAAAGCATGGGGTGCTGAGTTTGGAGGCTCGATAGCAAAGCTACCTGCACAACACCCTCTGCTCACCGGGGTTGGGTGCTTGAAGAGCAACCACTGAACATTTTTTTCAACCTTGGCGGGGAGGGTGTGGAAAGGCAAGCCTCGGAATCTGGATACATACATGGGCGATTGGGATATTGAACACCTTAGCGACTGCCTCGAACGCCATGCTTTTGAGTTTCTCCGGCCTTTGGACTGTATATAAAGCTTTTTGCTGTATTCAATGTATCGCCAACCCATTGCCATCGGACTCCAACAGGATCATACAATACACTTCAACCCTCCAGCAACCCAAGTTGGTCACCCTTTCTTCAGCCCATTGAATGGGACTTGTCTAAAATTATCCTGGCGAGCGACCAAATAATACATAATACTCTAATATTCATCAGTCACCAGCGGAACCAAGTCGAGACCACAAGAGACCACCAGTTCTTTAATCAGTTTTATTGTTTTTGTTTTTTTTATTGATTCGCTCTCAACCTCCACCTTTAATTCTACACATCAGTTGGACCCATCCAAGCAACAAACATCAAGGCTTCATTTAACCTATATTCACCTCCGACCAACGAGCCCGCCCCGTTGCTGAACTAAATTTCTACGATATCAGAGCTTGCTCTCCAGTTCATCAAACATATTTGCACGCCTATATCCGCCAGAGGAACTACACTTATCTCGGTAATTCACTGATTCCATTTTTTCTGATCAAGGAGATTGTAAAAAAAAAAACTGACTATTCTGGCTGGTTTGCTATCACTTAGTTAGATCTGCTGCACTTGCCTTGGTCACATAATGCAACTTTGAGAACCGAGACGCTCAACTGTTGTAAGAGCTCTTTTGTAGACCATAATATTCTAAGTAAGCGTGGCACCCCGGCTTGAACCCAACCCCCATCGTGTTTTTCAATCCCACTTTTAGGAACAGCAGAATAACCGCAAATTGATATTTTTGTAGACTTAAATCACCTTCACACCATCTCACTTCGAACACCGAGGTATTGATTAGTCAATGGCTTTCTTCATTCCCGTTCCTGCCTGTAAGTGTCAAATCCCCCCCCCACAAAAACTGGCTTTTGTACAAAGGCCCCATGGTGGGCTGGTAATTTTCAATGCTTGTTGACTGACGGGAATGCTTCACTGCTCATACTTCGTCTCATCTCACGAATGAACCTCTGTTTGCCATTTATGAATGTTTAGCCTCATTTACATTTCCGCACAGATCACAGGTGATTGCGAATTTCTATGCGCACACCAATCCGGAAAGCCATCCTTTCCCCCAACCCATCGAGCTTCGCTCGTCAGTCAGCGAAGAGGAATGGCAAACCAGAACCGTGGCGATTTGGAACCACTTTGCACGCTACACTTGGTCAAAATTGTTGCGCGCATACTTGATCCTAGCCCTTGTATTCAGTTTGATTGGCCCAATCACTACCAACCTCATCGTTCATCGGTTAGTGTGATGTCTCTTCTTGATTTATATTTTTATGCTTCTTCGTCTTGGGAGAGTGCAATCATCGTCACTCATCAGCCTACTACTACGCTCCAACAGAATAATTTATAACGGCGTTGAGCCCTTGAGCCTGAATCCAAGCGATGACGAGATTCGCGAACGACTGTCACTAATCAGAAGAGGACATTTGATCAACTTCATCGCCATCATTCTCATCTTTCTCATCATTTGGGTTCCCTACTTGAGTTACAAGTCATTGGTAAGCCGCCTCTAATGATTTTGACTGTCGTACCATGTACTGGAATACTGATTGGGAGCTCCTTGCGAATTTGTAGGGACGAAGACGACTTGTGGCCTTACTCAGCTCTTTCAATCAAGCTGATGCAGCCAAGGGTAACATGCAGGCTCTAAACTGGATTTGTAATCGAACTTCGACATTCCAATCCAGCGGAACCATTGCCATTGAGCTTCCCGTTGCGTAAGTAAACATAGCAATCATGACCTCGTTTGCTCAGCGAGAAAGCCGATTATCTGTGTAGATGAGCTGATCACAACCTTCGAACACGATTAGCTTCGTCTCCGCACACCAACCGACGCTTTTTCATCAAGCCGCGTACCTACCTGAATACCTCCACAAACCGACATCTTCACAGGCCCCGCCGATGTATGGCTATGAAGCCGCCCAAAATGGACAAGTTTACGATGGTACAACTAAACCAGAGCAACGCGACGTTGGACGCAAAGCTTGAGGCTGTGCACCCCAAGGGGCAAGCGTTGGCGTTGAGCATGGACGATGATCCGGACCCTTGAACCCGGCGTCCAGAGGAGTCCGCATTCAGACAAGGTTTGCAATTGTCGTATCACCCTCCTCAATCAACATAATACACATCAATCATAACGACATCCATCACCCCCATAAAACTCTTCCGATGAGAACTTTCTGAAGGAGGAGCAGCCTGTGGACATTTATTTTTCTTCTTTTATTTTCCTTTTCTTTCATTTTTTTGTTGCCAACATTAGTCGTTTGAGGAATGAATTTTGTTCCAGGTTCTCCCAATCTCTTTTGGATATCTTGATTCTTAACAGACAAAGGATGATTCAAACTCTCAAAAAAGATCCCTTCCATCAAGAAAAAAAATGCTCCATAACATAATCAATGTAGTAGCATTCACAGAGTTTAAACAAATACAGATGTATTCTTGTCTTCTCCGATAGACCCTTCTTTTCAAAAGTGATTCTGATTTTCAATCAGTGGATTTATCTCATCTTGATTTTCCTCTGGCAGAACTACATTTTTTCCACAACAGTACACAGGTGTAAATAATATCAATCATATTGTATGTCAGCTATAAGTTTCATGAGTAGAACTTCTTTTGTTTTGTATCTATATATAATTTTTTTTTCACAAAAGGCTTTCTTAATCCACATGTTCCTCCAGTCAGGCATATCGCTTTTCAGTTTTTATAACCTTGATAATATAGGTCCGTTATTCATTCTTAGTTTTCCTTGCTGCTTCCTTTATCCATTTCTTCCCACAATTCAAAAATTTAATCAGCATACATACAGAAAGAAAACAAATTTGTAACTAAACCAAAATACACAGGTGTATATAATGTAATTATCAACAGTAATTGAATTTTTTGTTTGTTTATGTGATCTCCTTATAATACATTGTAATATTTGGTGCAAAGTTGAATTAACAAGCTTACAATAACATATGTATATGAATTTCACTGCTATGGACATTTATTGTTGATGCCAATTTCAAGCTTATCCAACCATTCATGCATTTGTAGGGGGGGGGGGGTCACAATCAACACCTATGTATGTACATGATTGGAGAGCCAGTTTGAAGGTCTTTGCCAAGAACATCTTAGAAAGTTTGCAAGCTGGAGAAAAGTTTGGGTCTGAAAAACAATTAGTGTAGTTTTTTCCATTTTGCAGCAATTTGTTGGTAGGGACCTTTCAATGGACTTGTTTGAAGGATGTCTAGGTGTGGGATCAAGTCTACAATTATTAATGTGATTCATGTGAATAACACTATGAAGTGATTCATTCCTACTTTGTGCCCTCCCAACTGTGACATGTCTTCCTGTCAAGATTGACTTGGTGCAATTCTGGAAATTATCCATATCATTCTGTTGAACTGGAAAAGCAAACATGTCAAGTTTACCAATCTCATAACAATCAAAGCACAAATTATTTGATGATTTTTACCTGCTTTCCTGACTAGGGAGTGAAATTTTGAGGAAATATGGCTTGAGAAGTTTTTGGAAATTTGGCAAACCAAGAACTCTTGGAACTCAGTGAGAATCTGAAATTCGTTTTCAAATTTATCCCTGTCATTCTCATGGGACATTCCCATCTTGTCACTGAAAAAGGGATTGTATTGGTTACAGCCCCCTGTGGTAAAGTCCCGTGGAGGTGATAGATATAAGATCAGTCTCCTCAACCAATTTTCTATTGGTTGGACCCATCAATACATTAGAACAAAGGAAAAATGTATTGGTGGGCCCAGCCAACATGAAATTGCTGAAAGTCCAAGCGCACCATCATGAATCAATATCATCTACAATACTAATTAGATATCTTCAAGTATTCAGTCTTCCCATACCCCTGGGCCTAAGGAAGCATCAACCTACTAATTCATCAACACAAATCCCACAAAATTACCACTCAACTTTGCTTACAGCTGTTCGAAGAAAGGTTGCTGCTTGGGAGCTGGACTGTTTTATTTTGGTATTTTTTGTTTTTTTACCTTTCTTGGAATGGATGTACTTTGAGTTCAAAAGAGAGATAGGAAAATTTGTTGCTTTGGATATCTTTCGACTACATAAGGCTGTGTATTTTAACCCCTACAGTTGCTTATTTCCTTTTGAATGAACCACTATCACTATCTGTAATTTATCATCCAAGCTGGTTTGGCCCAGAAGATATTTTGCTGAGATATACATATCCCCCCAAACAACTGATCTAACAGGATGTTTCTGCAAATTGCTGCTCAAACCTGTGTTTGCAAGAAACCAATATAGGCAGAAAATCATGCAGATTGAACCCAGGTATTTGATATAGTTTCACCTTCTATAATCTTAGATTTTTCAAAAAAAAAAGCAAACAAATGGCCAGCTTGTTGACAACCCAATAGACTGTATATATATGTTCACTTTATGAACAGATAAAAAGGAAAATAATTATGTAGGCAAGGCAATTTTGTTGCAAATGAGATTGATTGAGCTGAGTAGGAATTGAATATTGGAACTAATGGAACATATTTAAGGTGGTTAAGGTTGGATATTAGGAATTGTTGACAAGGGCAGACTGTTTTATTGGATTACTAATTAGCAACAAGATCCATGGAATCCTTGGTTGGTTCCTCAGAAATTAGCCTTTGGCTTGGGTTGTGCCTAAACATCTTCCCACCCTATTACATAAAACATCCCTTCTGCAACCCCCGAAAAGTCATGAACTGCATGCGGTCCTAAAGTTTCGTTCCAGAGCCACATGTTGGTTTGCAAGTCACGTGCGCAGTATTTAAGCGGCCTGTTGGTCTGGTTCATGAGCCGTACCGTTCCTTGGCTAAAAATAGACATGGCTAAATGTTTTTCATTTCTATAGACCGGCACTGGTAAAAGTACGGTGGACCTGGACCGACACCAGTTGTGCCACGAAAAACGAAAACCAAATACAGGGTACAGCTCCGTTTCCGTAGCTGTAGCCGAAGACCGACTGCTGTACGACCAGTATGTACTGCAGTCGGGACGTCTTCTGGATTCTCCCTGTCAGTTCGCGGGGTCTCTCCCGACCCCCCGAGGCTCAGGGCCTCAGCGAGCTCACCAACGCCGGGCCTGGCCCGGCAGGACTCGTTGTTGTTTGTCTGCAGGTTTGTAAGATTGTATCGCTGTTCTTCTTGTCGATACTTCGCACGAGGGCAATGTACCCTCGTTATCAAACGAGGGGACCGTCATTAGCCAACAGAAGCGCGGCGAAGGTGCCATAGTGGAGGTGACCTGCTCCAAGCGCCGGGCTCGACTGCAGAAGCCACACTGCAAAGTCAGGATGCAAGTGGGTCGGGTCGACCCGTCGGGTACCCGCGACCCGGCGGGTCATGGGGCGGGTTTGGACATGTACTGGGTGAAAAGCAACCCGGCCCGAGAATAACCCGACGGGTCAGTGGGGCGGGTTTGGACAGCCCAGCTTGTGCTCGGGTCGGCCCGCATTATGCCCACTGACCCGACCATATACTACCAGGAGTCCAGACCCCCGTAGGGGGCATGAGGATATCTGATATCCCAGTAGTCTCACAGTCTCACTCCGGTTCCTGAATCAGTGGATATCCATTTCCTCCAACTCCACCGGTCCGATCCTCCAATCTGACACCAACGGCCATCCTTCAAGATGCCTAGAGGAAGGAAGCGACCTCATCATCCAGCCGCCATTGCATCAAGTACAACCAAGGCAGCTACCACTACCAGCGGTCGATCCAGCAGAAATTCCGATTCGGAATCGGATTCCGAATCAGATGTCGAGATATCACAAGATCCGCCTTCTACTGCCCCAACTCCAACCCCTCGGAACCGCGCTCAATCTATCAAGAATTCACAACTGAAAGACCAAGATTCGGAGGCGAGCACTGAACCAACATCGAAGAAGAGGAAAACAACAAGCGAGGTTTGGCTTTATTTCAAGGAGCAGGGATCAGGTGAGTGAACTTACTTTTTTTTAAAATATGTTGCTTTATACTCTAGTCACTGATCCATCACTCATGTCTCATTCAAAGGTGATAATCTGACCGCAACCTGTTCCAGCTGCAAAACCGTCTTGAGCGGTAAGAGTAAAAGCGGTACCAATCACCTCTGGCGACATCTCGAGCGATGCAGTGATTTCAAAAATAAAAACAAGCAAAGCTTGCTCAAGACCACAGGTGCATCAACTGCGACGTGGGTCTATTCTCAGGATGAATCTCGCAAGCTATTGACGAAAATGATAATAGCCGAGGAGCAACCTTTCAAGCTGGTCGACAATCCGCTCTTTCGAAAATTTTTGGCATCGCTTCAGCCCAAATTCAAGATTTTCTCCCGCACAACCCTCCGTTCCGACGTGATGCAACTTTTCAATTCAATGAAGGGCGATCTTGCCCGCGAGATCAGCCAGGTAGATCGAATCGCATTAACGACCGACCTTTGGACCTCATCTAATCAAACCCCCTTTATGGTCATCTCAGCTCACTATATCTTGCCCAACTGGACCCTCCGAAAGCGTTTAATTGGATTCAAAGAACTTCCAACGCCTCACACGGGGATTGCGATTGGAAAGCAACTCATCACCACAATTGGTGAATGGAAAGTTATCGACAAGGTTGCCTTTATAACGGTCGACAACGCAAGCTCCAACGATGTCGCGGTCTCTCACTTAAAATCAATCCTTATCGATCGATCCCAAAACGCACTCGAATTGGATGGTAAATTTTTTCATGTTCGGTGCGCGGCTCACATAGTCAACCTGATTGTCAAGGATGGACTTAAGATCATTTCTGAAGGCATCACTAAAATCAGAGAGAGTGTGCGATACATCAAAAGTACGCCTTCACGCAAGCAGGCCTTCAACGAGGCCATCAAGCTTACGAAACTTAAAAAGCAAGCTCTCCCTTCAATTGACGTGCCGACTCGATGGAACTCTACCTACCTGATGCTCAAGTCAGCCCTACCATACAAGGAAGCTTTCGAGAACTTGACGACCGAAGATGCCAATTTCACAACTTGCCCCACGGACGAGCAGTGGGAAGAAGTTGCAACGATGTGCAATTTCCTATGTATATTCAACACTGGTTAGTGCTTTGTCATATGTATCTATTCATTTATCATGATCTAAATCTAATCATTCGGTGTCTTCCTACCGCAGTGACATTGAAACTTGGAATGACTCACTTTCCAACAGCACATCTCTTATATAAAAACATGAAGAAGATCGATAAACACCTCAACAATGCTCTCAAAGCTGGCCCGGAATACATAGTAAACATGGTAACTCCCATGAAAGAAAAATACAACAAATACTGGCAGAAGATGAGCGACTTCGCCGCAATCAACATAATCTTCGACCCTAGGTGCAAATTGGAACTCATCGACTTCTTAATCTCCGAGGAACTAAGTACCGAAGCGGCTGCAAATAGCCTGAAGGATATCAAATCTAACATATACAGCTGGTTTGACGACCTTACTCGACGCGAGACCGCACCAACTGACGATCGCCAGCCATCAAACAGCGGAAAGACCAGGAAAGCCCCTGAAGAAGCAAACGATAACGATCGATTCAAGGCATATCTAGCCGGGAAGAAATCCAGTAACGGCGCTGCCTCACCATCGGCAGAATTGGACTTGTACCTTCAAGAACCAACAGTAGACATCGACTCCCCTTCGTTTGACCTCCTCAACTGGTGGAATGTCAACTCTCTTCGATTTCCGACCCTGGCCAGGATGGCCAAGATTATCCTCATGATTCCGATGACCTCAATTGCATCGGAGTCAGCATTTTCAACCGGAGGTAGGGTGCTTAGCGATTCTCGTAGCCGCCTCAAGCCAGAGACGCTTGAGGCTCTTGTCTGTGGCCAGGATTGGATCCGGCACGACGAGGGCCTCAACAACCCTGAAGAGAACGCGGAAGACGATGATGAAGTCGAACTTATTGACTGAGCTTGCAAATCGACCTTCCTTTTTCTTCTACATTTCATTTCTTTCTATTTATTTCTTTTTATACACGTGATGTCTGAGCCGTCTTTTCTTTTATCCGATTGTCTATTATATCTATACATGAACAAAATGCCAAATATACACATGTAGTCTGTTCTACTCTTATTATCATGTTTTTTACAATATATACACACAACAAATCAAGAGAAATGAAACAGATTGCGATTGAAGTGCTGTATTTGCTCGGGTCAGGCACGACCCGCCCCGGACCCGCCCCGGACCCGCCTGCCTTAACATCGGGGCGGGTATGGACATCTTAATTTCAAATCTGACCCGACCCGCCCCGACCCGTGGGATTGTGCGGGGCGGGTTTGGGCACTGTTTTTGGGCCCGAACCCGGCCCACTTGCATCCTGACTGCAAAGATGTGTATGAGCGGTCAGACAAGACCAAGGCCCAAGGGTTACAGTCCGGTCCTCCTATCACTGTGCCAGGTGACATGAGGTCACATGATATTGCAGTTGGAAAATGAACTACATAATCCCACCAACCATCCTGGCCCAGTCTAACAAAGCTGGCCAAACAACAGCTGGCCCAATGTGTACTATTTTTTTTGGCAGGTGGTGGGGCAGGCCATGGTGTTGCCATCCATGATTCCACTTGGCTTACAACACACCCTTGGGTTTAACCCAGGCCAGGGCAAAAAGTGGGCTTTTGAGGGCCTCCTGACCACTGCTTCAGTCTATAAAAAGACACCACCTCCCATGGATGGGAAACTGCCCAACAAATCATCCCCCAGAAACCTCCAATATTGCTCCCCCCTCAGCCAACTTTAACCCCTTTTCCACCAACCCAAACCCAACAATCTCCCTGATGCAATCACCTATCTCCCCCAATCAAGAATTTGAAGAAGATGTTTTATCAGAATATTCCACCATCAGTTACCCAGACAGGTCTGATTTTCCTGAGGTTTTGTCTGAGCTGGATATCAAGGAGGCCATTGCATCTTTGGTATCTCAAGGGGTTACTGGAAAGGAGATCCACAAGTTTCTTCAAGGTGATTGTGGAGTGAAGATTTCACTCAGAACACTCAACCGCAAGCGGGCAGAATGGGGCCTACGAAATTGCGACCTTCCAAAACCACCAAAGAACTCAAAGCTTACCCCTGACGTAGAGGCTTCCCTCATCTCCTCTCACCAACAGGGCTTCAAAGTCTCAGAAATTCGATCCCGCCTCCTCAGTGACACTGGCAAAGATGTGTCCCACCGCACCGTTGAAAGATACTTGGCCATCCTGGATTTGAAACTGAAGAGGAATGACCTTGCGGACGGGAAGGTCACCCGGGATGACGTGGTGTGCCTCATTGATCATGCAAGAAAAGAATTACTTGCCACGTCAGCTGGTTATAGGAGGATGAACAACATCTTAAAACAAGAATACAAGATACATGTACCCCGGTATGCTCTGATTTTTTACCAGCTTATCTGATGTTTGATTACTGACCATCAATCCTTTTATCCCCATGTAGTCTTCTTGTATATGAAATCTTGAGTGAGCTGGACCCACAAGGAATGGCTGACCGTCTGCGGCATTCTTGCAAACGGAGGATTTTCAGAACCCATGGACCCAACCATATCTGGTCAGCTGATGGACATGACAAGTTGAAACCATTTGGAATCACAATTTATGGTTTTATCGATGCTTGGTCCCGAAGGATTCTAGGGATGTATGCTCATGTGACCAACAATGACCCATTGCATGTGGGAGTATACTTCCTACAGCTTGTAGCAGACACAGGTGGAGTACCACTTAAAGTTACTGTAGATCGTGGGACAGAGACTGGGGAAATGGGGACACACATGATTGAACTCACACAAAGATACACCGGTATCACCTTTGAAGAAGCCCAGACGCATATGCACCATACGAAATCCACTCGAAATCAGAAAATTGAGTCATTATGGTCCAGAATGATGAAAGAGCACAACAGGCCGCTCATTGACACCATTTGGACACAAATAGAGGAAGGAAAGTATGACCGGGATGATGATATTCAAAAGTAAGTTGTAAATTCACCCCCTTTCACATTTCTAACTAGCTACTGACTTCCCCACCATTAGACTACTTTTTCTATTCCTTTGGATGCCTGTGGTTCAGAAAAGTGTGGACCGCTGGGTCACAATATACAACGCTTCAAGGAAACGCAAGGACAAGTTAACAGAGCTTCCAACAGCATTCTCCCCAAATTTTTCATACTCAACCCCTGAACATTTTGGTGCAACAGATCAATTGATCCATGTTCCCCAGGAAGACACAAATTTCATCTTGGAAAATACTTACCCAGATAGGGATGCAATGTTCACCCACACACCAGACTGGTTTCATGGTTTGGCCAGTTTGATCATGCAAGAAATGGGTTACCATTTTGATCAAATGGCCCCAGGAGGGGTCTGGGCCATCTTTGACGAAATGCTCCCATACATACAAGCAAACATACCAAGTGATTACATCCCCAACTCATCTGTCAACAACTCAGCAACACAATCTTAGTTGTAGATTCATTCATATAGTTTTCCTTGTGCATATATTTTAACATTTTGATGGTGTTGCCTATTTTCAATTATTTATTCATATACTCTTTCTTGTACATATATTTCATCAATCTCCTGGTAACTTCATTAGATTGCTTGGCCTTTTTTAAAAATTCATATACTTCTTCTTGTGCATATATTTCCTCATTCAACCAGCAACTGATTTTGATTAATTTGCCTTTTATCAATTATTTAGATTTAGGTTGAAATTTCTGGATAACCCAACCCCAGTTCCACAACTTTGTTGTTGTTGACTCAGTTGGAACATTGTGTGCCAAAATAATTTATTATGATCCTTACCCCCAGTAGATTACATACATTGAGTTTGACCATGCCTGGGTGATTGGGTGATCACATAATAGTTGCACAAACATGGTTTTGCGGTTCAAATGGAGCCGCTGGAGGGGCAGTGTTAGCCCTGATGGGTATAATTTGATATTTATAGTGGACTGTTCTAGGCTGATTTTGGATGAATTATGTGTTCTGATATCACTTACACAAAATGAACATTTAATGATAATAGCAGTCAAAACAGGGAGTGAGGTAATAGAGAAAGAGATATGAAAAGAAATCAAGCATCAAATGAAATAAGATATAGGACAGAGGAACTCAGAAATGAGATATAGGACAGAGGAACTCAGGTTAGATGGCCAGAAATCCAGGTGGGGAAACTGGAGGTGGAGTATGTGCTTGTACATATGAGCCTCCAATGAAAGAAGATAAAGAGCACGGGAAATTATTCCATGACATTGGCCAGCATTTCCATTTTCTACTGGGTTAATCAGTAGTCAATAGTTAATTCTAAACGGGAAAATATGGACCAGTAGGATGTATAGTGCATGTTGAAAGGTTGTTGAAAGATAGTCCTGGTGTTTTAGCCACGTTGTGAATAATTCTCTGGATGCCACATGCCCTTCATGAGATTGAGAATTGACCATATTTGTCACTCACCTCCAGATTGTCTGATTATTCCCTCAGACACATATAGGAAGATTGTACATTATAATCAACCCACCAGTAAATGATTGGATTTCCTTGAGTATATTCAATGGGCATAAGGGAATAAGATCAAATTGTATTGGTGATGTGGAATATGCAGTGGTGATGTCCAGCTGATGAGTTTTTTGGTTTTGGAGGGCCTGATGACTTCTCAATACTACTACAATTGCAAACAAAGCAGCCTGTGTTTGGGTGACTAGTAGAATCATTATTCTCTTGAGGACAGGTGGATTGCATTTGAGATCCATATGCAACCAGTGGATCTATTTGGACAGTAAAGATGATTATGATCTTGTATTTTCACACTCATAAATTCTACTTCCTCGGTTGAAAGCTGGGAAGTATGAGATAGAGGGAGTCACAAAGCCGTGCCAGTGATGGCATTGGAAGAAATATGACGACAAAGAGGAGATTGAAAGTCCAAGAAAAAAAAAGATAACAAGCAGGCATACGACTCTGAACTCGGGGTTCTCATTAGTGACCAAGCCGATCTTGATCTCGGTCGCTTTGAAGTCAGTAGCTAGGACGGTATTGAGGGTAGTGATGGCCAATTTGATCGCGCCGTTTCCGACCGAGTTGACAGCATTTGGGCCTTCTTTCTTGAACTGTTTCTCGAGATGGTTGGCTGCCTCGGACTGCTTGGTCCCTGTGGCGGTGGCCTTGTACCCGACAAAGTATCTGGCCGGGTCGATCTGGAAACATGGTGGCCCTTGTTCATCGATGCCTATCGATATCATTACTTTGCAGATCCGGGTTTTGTCCCATGGAGAACTCTTGAGGTCAGAATTTGCGGTGGCGCACTCATTTGGTTGCACATTGGTAACGAACCTATGCCTAAGGGTTGTGTCGCAGCTCCTCGAGTGTAAACCTGATTGATGTTCGACAGCCTTTTCTCCAGCATATCCGTATCTGAATGAGACCATAGTTTCGGTAACTTGTTTGTTTTGTAAAAAATGGGAAATCATGGACGAGAATGATGGGTGCAATTCAAATAACGACTGACTGGTATGCAAATTCAGTGGCTTCTGATTTGGCTCTAGAGACTTGAGCTCTTGCATCGGCTGTTGGGACCGGATTGGATCATGCATCAGATTCTGTCTTTCATCCTCTTTGTCTGAAGAGTGATATATCAGTCAGGGAAATCAATCAGTTAGAGATTGAGGAAGAGCTCTCAAATGAGTACACTCGTTCAATCTATGATTGCACATGGGGTGTGTGGTCTGACAGAGGTGAATCACTATGGCCGGTCGTTGCTCCAACTTGACCGTGATTGCTGCCCCGGAGATTGTCTATTCATATTATTCAAGTGCCACTGAGAACGATAAGGACAATGTGGAGATATAGAAGAGATTTAATTGCACCAATGTGTGTATACACACTGAAGAATTGACTGAGTCAGAAAGGAGGATCAGACATGGAGCCGAGTCCGATCTATCAGGGACAGATTGGACTCAAATGAGTCATCAGCAATGGCAATCTTCACATGTCATTTGATAGGTCCAATGACCAAAAGCAGTTACAGATGCCTGGTTTGAACAAGATGGGGTTCTATTGACCATTCGGCACGCATCTTTCACGAGGTTGAAGAAAGACAAGACGCCTTCACACGGAATAGGCGTAGAGAATTGGGCTCGAAAGCCTCGAACAACAGAATACAAGAAGATTATTAAGGACAACACCGACGACCAGGATGATCACTTGGGACACACATGATCAAATAAGTCTAAGTGACAAATTTCAATTGGGCTGAGTGGGGTTCTGGCACTCACCATAGCGTCAACGTACGACGATTTCCAACAAGACGGAGTCTTCGATGAGCGCGTCCACCTCATTAAGGACCTGTCTCGTCCATCGGGGCTTGGGGGACCGGCCAAGAGGGTGATGCCTTCGGCCTCGGTAATCTCGCCTGGGCCCCCGTTGACTGGCACTTGCGACAATCTTACGGACTCTCTTTCGAAACTGGACCAGCTCTGGGTGCTCAATGGTGGTCGCCAGAGCTAATTTGACCTTACATTGGCGTTTTTTTGGGCAACCTCCGACCATGAGCGGTTGGATTCCTTGTTGGTGAGTCTGTTCTGGGTGCCCTTCAGAGTCTAACGATTCAATTCGCTTGGTTAGCTACATCCGCAGTTCACAAAATCAACTCCCATTTCGTACCTGCGATTGAAGATTCAGCGGTTTGATTGGATACGCAAGAGGGTGAGTTGATTGTTGAGTGTGAAGACATCTTGGGTATAACGATGCGAGATTGGAGGGGAACAATAAAAAATTAATACGTGTCTGTAGAACATCTGGGCCCATGGATCAAGCGAGGATCCCTTTATGCACCCCACGACAGCACATGCCCCCCTGGTCCGTCCAACAATACCGGCCCCCACCCATACAAGTGGGCTTTGATCAGATGCACAGAACCTTTCAGGCCCAGGAACCTTGATCAGGATACTATGCAGGTGCTTCGTGTGGATCTGCTCCGCATTCCTATTGTGCTGGTTTTCCCGCCGGTCTAGGAACATCCAGCCGCTCGCATAATGGCCGGCATAGACGGGGAACACACATCTCATGGCCACTGGTCCATCACTCGAGTCGTGTGCCTTGTGAGGGATTAGATTGAATGACCTCCCCCTTAGGAAGACACCATTGTCTACCGCTATTTCCACACCATATGTGGCTTCCACCCCATCATGTTATACTCAAACATTCTCCACCAGTGCAACCCAGAAAATCCTTTTCAATGTCTCCAGGACCACATTTTCTCCTTGTTTCCTTGACAGTCCAGTAGATTTTGATTTCTGAAATATGGCATCATGATAAGAATATCAAGATGACATATACAAGTACGAGAATACACAGGAACCCCACGTCAACGTAGAATTAAACCTTTTGGGATTAATACCCCATAGAATTTGGAATTAATCCCCCACAGCAGCTCATAAGACAACACGGTGTCAATGATTTCTGCAGATATTCTTCATTTTGCACATGACCAACACCTGAGTTGTGCATGCAAAGTGATTTTTGAGAAGGATCCAATAAGCTATTGAATCCAATGCAAAGAATTGTGAGTTAGCTGCACATTACCCTAGGTATGAATTGTGAGTTAGCTGCACATTACCCTAGGTATATCATCATTCAACTAGGAAATAAACATATTGCTTAACAAAGAGAAGTTATTCATTTGGGACCTTATGAGGATGGTTTGAAACCTTTGTTCAACTTGTATGCTTCCTATCACATGACCAACCTCAAGATGTATATAGTATAGTTTCTCCTGTGCATTCAATGCATGAAAATTGAATTTACATGCATAACCATTTTCATTGATGCCATCTGTTCATGTATCCTTCCGCTGAGGCGGGTGGTTCCACCAGTGTTGAATAAGAATTGATGTCAGCTCAATTCAAATCCATCCCCTTGAGAGCACTCATGGATCCCATCTTTCAAATTGCCACAGGTGGGGTTTCTTCCTTTTATCTACCTCTGGCCCATTTCTCCAGGCGGGCTATCTTCCTTTTCTCTCAAGGGGCTTCACCATGCCTCTTGATATTTCCAACTCCTTTCAAATTGTGGGATTCCTTTCAAATTGTGGGATCACTGAAATGATGTATCAAATCACCAAATTTTCTAATCCAGTTACTTGAAGAGCATTGATGTGCATGCTTTGTAAGGATGATTTAATTCACAAAATACAAATACCCCTGAAATACACACCATCCAACCCAACATGTGGTGGCAACGGAACTCAACCAAACAAGCCATCCAGAATGTTCATTGGGATTAACCATGTTTTTCCACGTCAGGAATTGCCCAAATACCCCTCTAGACATATCCAATGTGGATATACTGTCCTTAAAATGTCACTGAAATAGTTTATCTCTAGGCTATTAATATTGCACGTCCAAAGTCAAAGACTTGATTTGGGATTGAATGTGACCTAGTGATTCCTCTAATGCCTCCAAAAATCCTTGTACACTCTTTCACGCTGTTCATTGACAGCTCACAGGCCCATCATTTTCCGGGTGGCCCACAGACCAATTACCAACTGGGCATTCACAATGCCTGGCATACGGCCAAAGAGATACTCCGGTTTCATTAACATGTGAGATGTTTCAGAGATGTTTATCTCTTGAACTCCAGATTCATGCAGAGCACCTTGCTTGTGAAAAATCAAAAGCAATCTTCAGAAAATGCCGCTGCAGCTCTGCCAGGTGATCTTATCCAGGGCAATCCAACCAATCCCAAAACATGGGGCAAGCAATCAAAGCGGAACATTCCACCCATCTCCTCAAGTTCAAAAAACCATCTGAATTACTTCTCAACCTTAATTTTCTGACCTTAACACTAAAGGAAATCTGTGTTCCAAATCAAATGATGTGAAATACCCTCATCAGATCATGTTATTCGACCTAATACCTTCAAACTTACCCTCTGAGATGTTAATCCAGAGTTAAGTTGATCCCAATTTACCCTATGGCTTTTCATTGTATCTTTAGATAAATGATAACCAGCCCTTCTCAAACTGTTGCTTGTACTGGCTTGAGATTTTGTTTGCCAGAAAAGGAGTAAGATATCCTTGGCATTACATTACATCATAGAAATCTCATCAGACCACGATCCTTCCCTTTCCTTCTCATTCCACAAAACCTTACGTTTTGGATGACAACTTCATCTTCAACACATCCAATCAATCAAAAAATAAACACCAATATAATTAAAAACCATCAGATTTGATGTTAATTACCCATCCTTGTCATCAAAACAAACAATAGATGATCACATGAAAATTAATTGATTCATCCCAATGCTAACTTGAGGAATAGCTTCCTGGGTGTCCCTTGCCCCGCTTTAGACACTTTACAAGAATAAAACCAGTCCCAATCAAAGATATCCCACAAATCAAAAAAATTATCAATCCATCTGTTTCTCTATCTTTTAACCTCTTTTTATCTAGTTATCTTCCTTATTGTAGTGATACACTTATTACTACTACCCCTTCTTGAACACCCCAACCCCTACACAAAGTCTACAGGTCACATGAAAATTCAATGGCCCACAGAATAGATTCCTGAGGAAATTGTGCAATTCAAAAGACTTTGACAGGCCAAAAAAACTGAGTTGAAAACAAACATGATCAATACATACATAAAAAGGGAATATCAGACCATATGAATAAATATTCTAAGTGATTCCATGGGAAATAATTTTAGATAATAAGAATGAAGACATAACAGGGGATTTAAGGTATACAAAGAAAAAAAAAGCTGCAGGATAATGAGGGAGTAGAATAAAGACACAACAGGCTATTTGTAATATGCACAAAGACAAAAAACAAGGGGTAGATCAGAGAAGGTGACCAGAGGCCAGGGAAGCAAGGGAGCCATCAAGCTGCATTTCTGGTTCTGACAAGGTCAGCCAGTGAACCCTGGGGTTTAGCCCATTTCAGGTCCACTGCCTTTCCCAACTGAAGAGCTTCACAGACTTCATTGCCTGGGTGGCAGATATGATCCTTCAAAAATTGGGCAATCCCATCACTACTGGTGTTCCCATCAGACCAGGAGCTGAAAATGGTCATCTAGTCAATACTTGAGACAATGTGAGATCAAAATGGAATGTGTCACTTACTGTGGATCCATATCAATGATCTGGGGATCAGTCAGGGTTGATCCCACCCCCTGCAGGTCACTGACCAAGTGCTTTCCCATAGAATTATTGTATGACCAGTGTGTGAAAGCATTCATGAGTTTGAATAAATCTAGGTCCATTCCTGGCTGATTATTGGGTACTGCAAAATTGTCATTGCTCGAATATTTGACATAAGGACCATCCAGGAAGGCTTCCAGGAAGTAGACATTGGTTGGTGAGTTGATTGGGCCATTGGTCACTACTGCATGGCGCACCAGCTGATCAATTGGAAGGCAAACAGATCAAGGGAAATTAACAAAGAATCCTATGTGTGGCCTGTTTAAAAAATACCAAATTAAAATCACTTGCCTGAATGGAGCCTCCCTTGTTCTTGAGCTTGCTCCTTAAGTATTCACAATGGCTGATTTCCATCTTGAATTGAGCCAGGAGGTGGGAAAATCCTTCATACATCAATGCATCAGTGGCATGTTGGTCAATTGATGGCTCCACCTCATCCAACCTGATCTTGGCTACCCAATGATTGATATGTTCAATCCCATCTGCAACCTCTGTCTTCACCTCAGCTGCATATGCAGTCCTCATTCCACCACTTCCAACTACTTGATTGAGGTGGACCTTGTAGTTGATGGGGAAAGTGATGCCTTGTATGCCATTGGAAAGCTGGAATCTGGTGCTTTGAGGGTCAGAGTTGGGGGGAGGATGAGTGGTAAAGAAACACAATCGCTGGCCAAGAATCCAGGTTGCAGATGGGCCCCCAGTAGAGGAACTTTGAACCCTTTGACTGAGCCTTCCTAGGTGAGATGTGAGATTGGTTTGCTGGGTGGCTGGCTTTGAAGCAAATTTCCCCCCAAGGGCCCATTGTTGTTGTCCGGATTTTGGAACACTTCCCTCTGGTTGGGTATTCCTTCTCTTCATTGGTGGTGGAGATTCGGATGTGATGACTCTTTTGGAAGACTTGGAAGCTGTGCGGATTTTTGAAGAGGTGAGTGGTGGTTGGGGATCTGAAGAATCTGAGTGGTGGTACATCAGGTCTATCACCAGTTTTTTTTGGCTGGTGGTCTCTTGGATGATGTTTTGGAGGACTGTTTGCGAGGGGATTCTTGATATTCCTTGGCAGAGTGAGAGAGAATCCCTGGGGAAGTATGGGAGTGATTCGATCTCGGTTTGTTTGATGATTTCTTTGGAAAAAACTTCCCAGAGTTGGTAGCAAAGGTTCTCATAGAGGGAAGGATCTGTCAGGATCGCCGTTTGTTTGCAACAGAAGAGGCCTTTCTTCTCCCACAGAGTTCCATCTTGGTACAGAAATAGTGAAGACTTGATTGTCTTTTTGGCCGGTGGTTTGCTGGGGTCCTTCGACTTGCCCATTCAAGCCTCTTTGGCAAGGTGACGGGAATAAGCATTGG